ACCACTACCACTACTACTACCACCACTACCACTACTACTACCACCACCACCACAGCTAGTGTTAGCGCCTTACTATCAAGTTCTTTAATGCTTTTATCTCAAGATAATGGCAATAAAACACAAAATTTAAACCCGCAACCAAATGATAGTTCTAATTTAATTTTTCTTACTCAAAAAAGGTTATTTAACACAAACCCATTCGAAATTACGAAGGAGGCAAACAATACCTACGATGCGAACTTAGATTCAAAAAATAAAAAAATTGAACTTAATAAAGTATCAAACAGTCAATCAGAAAAAAAAAAGGATTTATCCCAAAATCAAAACCTCTTCAAAAAGTATTATACAACAACCACAACAATATCAACAAATTTGAAAAATGATGACTTTAACTCGACTCAATTCCAAGACTTTGGATCTAAAAACTCATCAAATTCAATTGACCCTACTTATATAAAAAGTACTTTTGATCAGTTTAATAAAACAGCAACCAGTTCAAGCACAATGAATCAAACTACAAATAACAATAACGTTAGAGACAATATTTCAAACAAAATGCTTGAAAATACCATGGTTAACGTCGTATCCAACTCAAATAACACTTCACAAGACAAATTTGCTTTATCTCCCTTAAATGGTACAGAAGTCGCGCCTTTATTCTCTAAGTTTGTTTCTAATGAAGATACTTCCGGCTCTGTCAAATTTGGATATTCTTCACCGCCTGCATTGAGCAGAAATAATGCGAGTTCTCAATCTAATGAGTAAAGTGAGCTCAGAAAATATACGAAATATTCAAAAGATTATCGCTATTTAAATACGATTTGAAAACCTGTAGAGTATGTATCACATTTAGAACGTGTTTAGTAACATTAAATTTACTCAAAGTTGATAAATTATACAAGTTATATTTTAAAAAATCTTTTCTTTAATAAAAATATTTAGTATTATTTACAAATAAATGGATTATTTGCTCTTGAATATAATATTTCAAATCTAGGCAATGCATTAATGAATTCATTTTTCAAATCAACACAAAGGTTTGAAATAAATGACTCATCCTCTGAATAATTTGCAGAAATTTTGTTAAATAAGGTCTCTGAATCATAATATATATTATTGGTATATGTCGAAATATTTTTTACCGGATATTTCAAATCATTCTCGGAACTAGATGACGGTATCTCTTCTGTTTTTATATCGTTAATATCAGATTGGTTTTCATTACTTGAATGACTGCTTGGATGTAGCCATACCATTTTTTCATAAAGTGCATCATATGAATTATCTTCAAATTCGTCATCATCATCTTTATGAATGATTTCCAACGAGACTGATTTTTCAATTTGAATATCTTGCTTTTTTCTACTAAAAATGCCGTCATTAAACAACTCTCCCTTAATTTTAACAATAGATTTGTCAGAATAATTGTTATCATCCATGTTGCTATTTGAATAACTTATTTTTTCGCTCGATAATATAGGAATTGCAATTCCATCATCATCAAAGGTAATAATATCACTCTCAAAGTTACATTGAAACTTTCTTGGTTGAAATATGCAACTCAACCTATTTAATGCAATCTGTTGTGATATTAAATTAGCAGTCTCTCTATTCATTCTATCTGTCATATTGTATATGCGTTCATAGCAAACTACAGGATCGGTAAAGTTTGAAAATTCAATGTCGTTAAACGGTTTGTCCAACCAAATATAAACTTCTTTATACTTGTCATGAAGAAAATTCATCATAAAATAGTCATCATTTTTATCCAAACAAACATGCAATGATGCAATTAATTGTTTAATTTCATCATGTTTTTTTTTTGCATCGTTAATTTCCTTCAAAATAATATCTTCATTATCAAACCATTCTTTTAATAACTCATTTCTAAATTTGCTGATATTTTCATTCAATATTTGGCAAGCCTGGGATGAGTTACTTTCAAGCTGTGGTTTCACTTCTTCAAGAAATGACTTTTGTTGTGTCCTCCATTCAGATGTTGAATCTTGTACTGAATCTAGTTCAGAAATACGTTTAATTGCAAAATGTTGGAATTTCCCTAGAATATCTCTTATGCAATCTATTGCTTCATTAGCCATTAAAACCTTATGATCACGGTGCATACCAACTGTTGCACAAACTTCACAAAAGCAATTGTGCTCGCATGTTAAACAGAAGTACTTTGCCTCTGTTTGCTTATGTACAACACAATATTCCTCTGCTGATTGTTTTCTTTTCTTTTGAGTTTGTTTCATGTTTATATTGTTTTCAGTGCCATTCATTCCAGACAAAATCTTCTCTTCTTTTGCAGCTTTAACAAGCTCGATCGCCGTATTAGCCTGAACTGTATCGCCATCATTATTTATATCTAGTTGTCTGATTATGTGATTTTGGAGTGTAGAAACACTATTATGAAATTCCTTTACACACTTTGAACAAAATCCTTCGCAACAATCAATACAGTAGATGGTAGAACTTCTGAATTGGCAAGTTGAACATGACCCATTTGGTATGGAACCTAGACTATTTTTTAAAGAGATTAAATTTAAATCTCGAGCTACTGGAGCTCCAGTTTTTCCCAAAACAGCTGATTTGAATCCACAAACCTTGCAGATCATAAAATCTCCACTTTGTGTAATAGCGGTAATGTTATTTAAAACACAAGAGTAGTGATATCTATGCAAACAAGAAAGTAAGATATAAGATTCTTCATAAGTAGGTTGGTTACAATATGAACATGGCACAATCTCATCATGGTCATCGTTGACGTTGTCGCTATTACTATTTTGTTTATTTTCTACAATATTAATGCCTGTATATGTAGTTTCACTAGCGATGTTTGGAATTTCGTTAAATTCATTAGCGTTCATTAATACATTTTTGTCAAGCTGATTATTTGAATTCATTTTGCCAAATTTTTCATCAAAAATTGCTTGCATAATTCAACACACATACCATGTCTTGTCTCATTAAACAGTATTTTTGATTCGTTGTTTCTCACCCTAACCTATCTTAATATTATGAAATTTGGGTGATTCGTTTATCATCTGTTTTTCTTTCGTGCCTTTTGAAGTTATTCTTAGTTCTTCTCTTTTGAATAAATAATGCTCTCTTATCCTCGATTGCAAATTCTACTATTGGTCTCTTTTCAGAAGTAAATATTTTTGGATTGTTGTTCAAAATTCCCAAAATTGCATTTGATAGAGAAAATGAATTAGTATTTACGAATGCGAATCCTCTGGACTTGCTTGATTTCAACGAATTTTCTCTGATTATATTTACTTTATTTATTAACCTTTTAAATATAAGCATGCACTTTTTAGGAGAGTTAATATTCTGTTTTAAATCTATTAAAATTTTCCTGGAATTAAACTTATTAGAAAAACTAGAATATTCAGATTTCTCGAACTCGGAAACAATTTCATTTGCCAAATTAATAACTGCTGGACCGCACATTTTTGAAATTTCTTGAATAATGATTTCTTTTAATTCACTTGAATTAATTTTTGTTGGTATATTACGAATACAAAGCCTAAATCTATTAATTTCATAATTGGGGTTCTTCATTTTAATTTTTATCTCTTTCCACGAATTTTCACGTAATCTCAAATCATGGTTGCTGATACCTTCAGCTTCTTTCATACCAGGGAGAAGTAATCCCTTTTTAAATAGATCTAAACTTTGGCAAAATTTATCTGAAATGTTTTTAGATACTTTTTTGTTCTCTATAATCGCAATTTCTGACCTATTCAAAGCCAAGTGGGCAAAAATTCTTCTTCCATTAAATTGAATTCCAATTTCTGGAGGTAAAATCAATGTACTAAAGTTTTTTGAGTCTTTAATAGTATTTCCTTTATGCCTAAAAACATGGCTATTGTAATATTTGTCTGCCGTTTTCTCTCCTTCGAGAACTTTTTCAACTGATTCAGTATCCTTGAATTTAATAAAAGCGACTCCTTTTGGTAATTGAGTCAGCTTCGAAAAAACCATTTTAACATAAAGTGTTTCTCCAAATTTTCTTTCAATCAATTCTTTAAGAGAAAGCTCAGACATTTCAAATGGAACATTCCTTAGGAATATAGTTCTCCCCTCATCAGTGTCACTTGAAGTTTTATGGGACGTTCTTTTTATCATTATTACTATTTTTGGATAAAAGTCAATTTTGAAAAACCGCAATATTAATGCGCGAAAAAAGAAAAAAGTGTTAAAAATATATGATAAAAACAAATTTCAAAAAATTAGAAACATGGTCTATTTAAAATTATGAAATCAATTTAAATATTCACTGTGCATTTGTTTGGGAAATTGAAGCAATAAAGACAGAAACTGATTTTTTTCGAGTTAAACATTTCTATTTCAATTTTTTTGAATCCACAATGTTGGCAATATTCGCTCGTTGCATTAATTGACTTGTAATCTGGAATAAATAGAGGTCTTTTACAATTCATTTCTGACTGGCTTTTGCATATTGCTAGTTTGGTGTTTTTAGAAACACGAATAACACCGTCATTGTTTGTTTCGGAAATAGGAGGAAGCCCATTTAAACTTTTTTTGATTTCGTAAATATTTATACTAGACCTACAAAATCCACACTCAGATATGTTTTTTCTACTTATCTTCCCATTTATCACTACAATATTTGCGTCCCATTTAGGGAAATAAACATTCAATGCAGAATCTAAGTGGTCAATAAATACTAGCATTCTTTCATATATATGTTTCATAAATCCAGTTATCTTTTCAACGACATAACTTCTAGAGTACTCACCAGAAATTATTTTTTCGGCATAGCGTTCAATTATTTGTCTAATTTTAAAATGCATCAGATTGTAGGTTGACGTATCTTTTGAATGAAATTTTGTTTCACTGTTTAGTTTTGCTTTATTTCCATTTAATTCCATTTTTCTTGAAATCAGTTCAAACCCATTGTATAAAGCAATCCCTAAAACTGTTGGAGAAAGTAGTGACTTTGAATTTTTTTTTACATATTGCCTAGTTTGTACTTTTTCGATATGTTCGTGCATAGTAGCATCAGTTCCTATCCTGTTTTTATCCATTAAATCAATTAGTTCAGCTTCGCTTAGTAATGATGGTGGAGTTGTTTTGCATTTACGAAAGACTAATTTATATGGAAATACTAGACTACCAACATTGAATTTTGGTAAGGACTTTGTATTTATTTTCTCAAATGGAGAGTATATCTTTAACCAATTTTCTTCAAGCAAAACCTATAAGAAATTAAAAACTTTATTAATTTAGAAAATTAACTTACAGTTCCTTTCGTCTTGAATATTTCCCCGGAAATATCAATTTTAACGATTGATTCCATCAATACAGCATCATTTGAACAAGAAGACAAAAAGTGGCGTGTAATGAGTTCATATAAGAGCCATTCTTCATTTGAAGAAGCTTGTTCTCTATTTAAACATTTCACCGGATGGATTGGTGGGTGAGAGCCATCGTTTTTACAGCCTTTTCTAGGTGCTGAAAAACGATTTAAATGCAGTAACTCGCTTGCAAATGATCCAAATACACTACTTTTTTCCTGTTCTCTTATGTACAATAAAATGTCAAAGCTATCTGAAAAACTATTAGTATCTGTCCTTGGGTATGAAATGTAGCCTTTTCTATAGAGATTTTCTGCAATATTAATGCACTCTACTGGTGTTATTTTTAACTTATTAGATGCAATTTTTGTCATTTCAATTGTGTTAAGTGGGAAAGGTTTTCTTTTTGTTATTTTATTATTAGTTATTTCTTTTATATTTGCATTTGGATTTTCTATACAGGCTTCATAAATAATAAATGTAAACAAACGATCAAAAATTTTACCTCTTTCCCATTCAAAAATTATAATTGACGCATTTTCGTTATTTTTTTCGTGAATGTTCATTTTGATTTCCAATGTAATTGTCCACTCATTTTCTTCTCTGAAATTTTTGATCTTGTTATATCTATCTACAACAAATCCAAGAGTAGGGAATTGGCATGTTCCATAACTGAGTGTATGCTCGGGAATGGGGAACAACTTGCTATACCTTAGTGTTAAAAATCTCGTAAAGGACGATCCCACTCTTAAATCAATTTCTTTTCTAGCCTCAACTGCATCGCTCAATTTGCGATTAGGAAATGTTAATTTTTTCATTGCATTATCAATTTCAAACTTAGTAATTGCTGAAAAATGCGCTCTAAAAACAATCAAATTTTTGTTTGAATTTAAACAGATACTTAATACTTCGAATGCAATGTTTTCACCTTCCCTATCACAGTCTAACCATAGAATCAAATAAGTTGAAATTTTTGAAAAATATGTTAAATTATCCGCAATTTCTGTACAATCAGGTAAAATCGAACTAACAACTGGTGTAGATAAATCTAGCAATGCAATAGGGTTTACAGAAGCCCAGTTTGAATATTTTGGCAAAAATTCAAGTTTTTTCAAATGACCTCTAACTGATGTAACTATCATGTTACAATCATCCCCAAAAAATTTATAAGATATTAATAGTGCAACATTTGTCGTACTCTTGCTCTTCAATCTAATGGGTGATTGAAATTCTGGGCAAAGAAAGCTAGCAATTTCTTTTGCAACTGAATTTTTTTCTGCAACACATAAAATTGTTCTTTTATTATTTTTTATCAAATTATTGGATCCAAAATTTATAAATTTGTGATTGTAACTTTTTTTTTCATTCTTAAAACCTTCTCTGTTGTTATTTTTTTTGCAATTTAGTAGATTTACTTTACGCTTTTTCTGCATTAATTTTTATTACAATTGAAAAGTCTGATCGGCGAGTATTACCCGCGACCAATTTATTTAAAAAAACATTAAAAAATGACAATTTCGATTATTCCACTAGGTGCAGGTCAAGATGTAGGAAGATCATGTATTCTAACAAAAATAGGGTCGAAAACTGTTATGTTTGACTGTGGAATGCATATGGGTTTTAAAGACGAAAGAAAGTATCCTGATTTTAAAGCAATTAGTGCCACTCTAGACCCTTTAATAATAAATGATTACATTGATTTGGTAATAATATCTCATTATCATTTAGATCACTGTGGTGCACTACCTTTTTTTACGGAAAAAATAGGCTATACAGGTCCAATTGTTATGACCTATCCTACCAAATCAGTTTCATCCGTTTTACTTTCTGATTGCTGCAAGATTATGGAACAAAAACTATTATTGCAGAGAACGAACAACGACGTGGCCCTTGCAACAAATGAGGTTATATCTAATAGCGAATATGGTTTTTTTACTGTTTCAGATGTTTGGAGTTGTATGGAAAAAGTAAAAGCTATTCAGCTTCATCAAACTATCGTTGTTTCAGGGATAAAAATTACTCCATATTATGCAGGCCATGTCTTAGGTGCTTCAATGTTTCATATTCAAGTTAACGACGAATCTATTGTTTATACTGGTGATTTTAATATGGTCAGAGATAGACATCTTGGGCCTGCACTAATACCCAAGCTGTTACCAAGTTTATTAATATCAGAAAGTACATACGCAACATACATTAGACCTTCGAGACGATCGACTGAAAGAACCTTCTGTGAAATGGTATACTCTTGCTTGAAGAGAGGTGGGAAAGTATTAATACCTGTATTTGCAATTGGTCGGGCACAAGAACTATGTATACTATTGGAAATATATTGGCGAAGAATGCAAATAAGGTTCCCAATATTTTTTGGAGGTTCAATGACAGAAAAAGCCAATTCATATTATCAGTTATTTACTAATTGGACGAACACACCACTGGCCGATAATATTTTTACTTTTCCACATGTAATGCCATATGACAAATCCATTTTGACACTTTCAGGGCCAGCAGTACTTTTTGCAACACCTGGGATGCTTAATACTGGACTTTCTCTCCAGGCATTTAAAATGTGGGCACCTGACTCAAACAATCTTACGATTATTCCTGGCTTTTGTGTATCTGGCACTATTGGCTCGAAGATTATTAATGGTGCAAAGCGGGTGTTCATTGACCAAAAAGATCCTTCTACTTGCATAGAAGTAAGATGTAATGTAAAATATCTCAGCTTTTCATCCCATGCAGATTCAATTGGAATACAATCTCTTATTTCTCACTCGGAACCGCAAGCTATAGCATTTGTTCATGGAGAAAAACAAGGAATGCTAAGTTTGGCATCATTCATAAACTATGAACTTAAAATCCCGTCATTTTGTCCACATAATGGTTCAATTACTTCTTTACCCACTAAAGGGAAAAACAAATATTTATGTTATCTATCAATTAAGTTTTCATTGGCACATGCTGTCAACCCATTACAGAATTTAACAGAAAGACAATTAGAAGTCAGAAATATTATTGAAGAGTTGAAGAAACAACAAATAAACAATTCTTTTGCTTTTTTATTTGGAAAATACGTTCTTTCAATTTCCCAAATACATTCATTGATTATCGAATATTATGCCACACCTCAACTTTTTCCAATCTATGTATTTACTTCTAAGTATATTAATCGTGGCTATTCATTTGTTCTGACAAAAAATGAATTATATATCTATATAAAAGGAACTTACAAAACTTTACAGAAAAAAATAATGAAAGTTAAGATTCAACCAAAAAAAAATAAAACTATATGTGAAACAGATAACTCAATATATCAAGATAAAATTCTCCAAATAAAAAGCTCACTTCATAAAACCAATTATTTCAATTTGCTGTTTTATTTTGAAATATATAACATTGAAATTGTAAAATTGTTAACTGCAATACTAAATTTAGTAAATATCATTAGTAAACAATTTATTAAGAAAAAAAATTGCAATTTAATAAAACATTGTTTTAAAGATTTAACAATAAACAATAAATTAATGAAGTCATATTTTTATGATGATTTTGCTATTATCACTTACAAAAGTTTAATTGCTAAAATTAATGCTGAAAGCTACCAAATAGATATCATTAAGAATTTTTTTTCAAGCTTAATTAAAGGTAAACCCAGCTTTGATCTCAAGAAAAGTACTGTAAGCAAAATAGCAATTTCGTGGTCCTTCATCGATAATAAAAGCATCGAAATATCGGATTTTATCAATATTCTTGAAAAGAATTAAAGAAAGAAATACTTTTATATATTAATTAATCAAAATATGAATGAATAGTCAAATACAAATTAAAAATTATTCTATTGGCTTAAAAGCTTTTTAATTTTATTTTTTGCTTTTAAACTTTTACTTTTTATATTCAATTATGTGGCCAATTAATGTATTTGCAATAATGGAAAAGTCATCACTTCTTCTAAAAAAATTTCCTACTGATCTTAAAATAATGTCCGAATTACACTGTTTTCCAATTATCATAATTGCCCAAACTGATTCTGTGTTGATATTTGCAATAATCAGAGGTATACAGGTATTGTATAGTGATTTAATTCCATATTTATCTGAAAATTTGAATAGATCAATAATTTCTTTCCATTTTTTAACATTTTCACCACTCAATAATTCGCAATCACCAGTTAAAATATAATCTAATGCATTTTTTAGAATATGTGGTGATGCATCATCAATCGGAATTGAAAAATGCACGGTTTTTGAATCCATGAAGTTTGATAAAAAAAAATTCTGGAAAAATTTTGATCTAGCAGCTAGAGTAAACTTAGGGACATGAAAATATTCGTTGCCACAATTTATTGTAACTTTTTCACACAATTTATTTGAGCAATCTGTTGAGAATTTGGAAATATCATTTGCAAGCCATAAGTAATCTTGAGTGGCAATTCTGTTAGAAAAGAAACTAGGAATTATTACGCTTCCATCTGAATGAATAATATCTCTATATGACTTGATATTTATTTTAACACGCATTGCACCATCGAATATAAAATATTTAAGAATGGTTTTCTCCCAATTGAAAATTTTGTCTTGTGAAGATTTTATCTCACAATTTTCGTCTAAATAGTTGCTTTGTAAATTATGCGAGTCTAATCCTTCATCAGAAAAATATATCAATTCATCTGATGAACGAATTCTTTCCTGTGTATCTTCAAACGGGGAGGGAATTAATCGGCTTAGAGGATTTTTATTCTTATTCTCGCCCAAAATATTATCTTCAATTATATTGATTTGCATATAATCCTCCCAGCCCCAGCTAGAATCATTATTAGTAAAAACTCGAGGCTGAGAAAGAGAAACTGTTGAACCTTCAATAATATCTAATTTTTCATCTAATAAAGATATTTCAAATTCTGCAATCCTAATTTGTTCTGAGTAAGAAAATAAATATATTGATAACAAATTACCATCACAGTTTATGCCTGCAGGAAACAAGGCCAGAAACCAAGTTCCATTGTGTTGATCTCCAAATTTTTGACTAATTATTCTGTCATAATTAGGCAATGCACGCTGTAATGCAAGCGTTCTAAGTAAAGGAAAATCTTCAATTGTCCAGATGAAATCTATAGAGTCAGTTCTTAAGCGTGTAGAACTGCAATTAACAACTGACATAATAACAATTTTATATTACTCAATTTAACTTCGAAGTAGATCTACATATTAACCGACCTGTAGGTCAAAAAAACTGACTTACGTTACCCTTTCCCTCTGTGGTCAAAAATAACTAAAGCTCAAATTTAATTTACAATAAAAGATACTTGAGTTGTTTAAAAGGTATATTTCTTATTTAACCACTTATTTTTTTGCTTTATATATCTTTGTTTTTTTTATTTATAAAGATAATTTTTATTCATTTCATTGCGGGCGAATGTTCACAATTGTTTTTTTTTTCAAATGGTTGAAATAAATGAATTTGATTCTGGGATATCAAATAATGAAAATGCTAGAAACGATGAACCAAAGATAAATGGGGAGCAAACGCCTATAGAGTCTTTTAATTTACATTTTTTTTCAGAAAAAGAGCAGGAAAATTTAGTAGAAGAAAAAAGAAAAAAAAGAAAAACCATTGAAAAAAATCCTAATCAAATTCACGTAAACGATGGAAAAAGTAACCATTTGGATGTTTCTAATAAGAATAATTCACATTACGATGACTTTATAGTTGAGGATGAGTCTTCTGATTTTGATGAAGATGATATTATTCGAGTCGAGGGAGGGATTAAATCATCCGACGATGAATACAATGAAAAAATGGGTAGTAATTACATTGGAGTCACTAATCTGAATATGAACAAGAATTCAGTTGGGAGGAAGTTTTCAGAAACAGAAATCCTAACTGAAATTAGGCAATTTATACAATTAATGAAAGATGCCGCTAATAAAGATGAGGTCGCTTACTCAAACGGAAAAGTTGCCATTTCAAAACTGAAAATGGTTGACGAGGTTTGTAGAAAAGTCTCTATGAATAATTTGTCGAGTTACTTCATCTCAGAAGGAGTGCTTGATATTTTAAGTCAGTGGCTTTCGCCCTTTAATGACGGTACACTTCCAAGCTTATCAATACGAAATAAGATTCTGAAATTAATAAGTAATATTCCTTTACGGGAAGAAGAGATAACTTCTACGGAATTAGGAAAAACACTGTGCAAGCTTTGGAAAAACCCTGCTGAAACTATTGAAAATAGACAGATTATAAGGACACTAATACAACGTTGGGTAAGATTAATCTCTAAGACCAGACAATCATCATCCTTGGAAACGGTCAGTAAAGCTGCGGCTGCCGCTGAAAGCCTGAACTCACAAATTAAATCCAATGGCAGTGAGCCAAATTTGAATAAAAGTATGCTCTATGTAGAACCGAGAACTGCAAGAATACCAATTACCACTGGTTATAACTTTAAAGTTATTCCACAAAATGACAGCTCAAATATCGAACATGGCACAAGCACATTTAAAGATAAATCAATTGGGAATATTAGCATTAACAGAAATAACCGCACAAAAAATAGGTCTAAGCATGCAATGAAAATTAGCCTTGAAGGCAGAGGGCTTTAGTTTAGTTGCAATCATAACTGATAAATTATATCTAGATATTTTAAATTTTACTTCTTGATATCAAACTTATTTGATAGGTCATTACATGTATCTTTTACAGATTCAAAAGTCGGTAGAAACCTGTAATTAGGGAAATGTGATAATAACCTACCGTTGCTGAGTAATATTCTTTTCCCTAGCGATATTTTCAAAAAGTCCCTTTCGTTTTTTGAAGCAAATAAAGGAAGAACCATTTTAGCTATTAAGGTAGGGAGGCAATGATTAGGTGGGTTAAATTGAGGTGAAGTATGCTTTATCATTCTGGATACATCAAGAAATGTGTACATTCCTTCAATACAAATAAATCTACCAGAAAAATCACCAGATTCAAAAAGCCTAATGTGTATTTCTGCAACATCTCTAACATCAACCCAACCTGTCTGTAAGTCTACAGTCAGTGGCATTCTACCAGTAATCATATTATAAATCCATTGAACTGATTGATTAATTTCATTTCTATATGAAGGACCAATTACCATACCTGGGTTCACAACTATTAAATTGAGTGATTTTCGGCATTCATCCACCACTTTATAAGCTATTTTCTCCGCTTCAACCTTACTGTATAAATAGGGGTGTATCAAAGGATCACAATCGTCATTCCAATCAATTTCAGAATATACTTTCCCATCTTTATAGGCCCCCACAACTGCAGCAATTGATGAGGTCAAAACAACAGTTTTGACATCATCACACATACAACATGCATGAATAACATTCTTTGTTCCAATAATTGCAGGATTGATAATTTCATATGGATCACTGCAATCCATTTTATATGGTGATGCACAATGAATCACAATATTACACCCTTTGACCAATTCTTTCCAACATTCACTATTTAATAACTCTGCTTCACATAATGTCAAGTTTTCGTTGGCAAAATGGAAATCTAAAAGAATATCGGAATTTTGATTATTCTTCGATCTCGTTGTTGCACGAACTTTATACCCTCTGAGCAATAATCGTTCTACAACATGCGATGCAATAAATCCGGTTGCACCAGTTACAAGAACAGTGATATTATTATTGTTCTTATCATAGATTACCGGCTCCATGCAAGAATAAACTTCGCCTTGAACTGTATATTCTGAAATGTTATTTGAACTATTTGCATTGCCATCTTGTTCAATTGAGTAATTCCCGTCACACTTAACTTTAATTTCATCCTCTTTTTTACAACAGTTATATTCAGCCTCTGTGTGTAAGGAAATTTTTTCTATGGTTGTTTTTGTGTTCATAATTCGGTTTATCCCAGTAACAACATTAATCTCATCATTTTCACTTTTACCAAATTTCTGGAGAGGACTATTATCCAAGCTATCTTGCTTATATTCGTGATTTCCTGTCATAAGTTCAAAAATTAATATTATTATTACTCTTTTTATTAAAATAATAATTCTAATAAATGTTGAATAATTGCGGTAATTAACTTCTTCACTTATGGGGGATAAAATTAACAGAATATAATTTGTATATAAAAAAAAGTGTTTGATTAATTCAGTGAGATGATTGGGCAACTAAGTTATTTTTTATAATATTTAACACCGATAAGACTAAATAAGTCATATTTGATTGATTATGTCAAATAAAAATTACATATTTTTAAATTCAACAGTTTCTACAAATGATGAGGTTGTAAAGCTACAGCTTCGCGAACTTGGAGAGCCAATATGCTATTTCGGAGAGGATCAATGCGGAAGAAGAGAAAGGCTGTTCAATATTATTGCAAAAAAGAAAAGTCCTGCTATTTTAAGAAAGGAATCAGTCAAACCTCTAGCAAAGGAAACATTTTTTTCACAAGGTACAGATGAATTGATATCTTTTCGGAGACAGATCCTTACATCATCAATTAAGAAATCGTATTACAGGCTAAAATACGCCAGAGAATTTCCCGAAAAAAATTTATTGGAAGAAAAAGTCCATTTTTTAAAATGTTTTACTCAAAAAATTAGAGAAAATATTTGTGAGATGTGTGATACTAGATATGTATTGGGATGTTGCATTTCTCCATTAGGAGATAAAATAGCTACCTATGGTTTGAGTGGTGATCTTAAAATTTGGAACTCAAAAAATTTAATTCAGGATAAAGTCCTAAAACACCACAAGCACAGCATTACAGATGTGTGCTGGATTGTTACAGATGAAGGATATTCAAAACTATTTTCTTGTGATTTAAATGCAAATATATTTTTATGGAATGAAACTGAAGTTATAAATAGGTATATTGGGCATGAAGATCAAGTAAACAAAATAGTTGTGCATCCATTCTCAAAACACTTGTTTTCTGCTAGTAATGATGAAACATGGAGAATTTGGGATATGGAAACTTCAAGTCAAATTCAAGTTCAGGAAGGTCATTCCAGACCAATTTTTGGACTAGATCTACATCCAGATGGTGCTCTTGTAATCAGTGGTGATTCAGGAGGAGTATTTAGGGTTTGGGACATTCGTTCAGGCAGCTCAGTTTTATTTCAGATAGCCCACTCTGGTAAAATTATCACTTCTCAGTTTTCACCTAACTGTGATGCTACATTTCTTACATCTTCTCAAGATAATTATATTAAAATATGGGATTTAAGAAGAGTTGATAAGCCGTTGTTATCTAGCCTTTTGGGACACTCAAAACAAATTTCAAATGTTCAATATGAACCGAAGAAGGGAAGATATATTGCATCTGCATCTCAGGACGAAAGTATAAAGATTTGGTCTACATCAAAGCTTAATGAGTCTATAGTTGACTTCAATTCAAATTTTAGCTATATAACTTATTCGTGTATAAAGCAAATAGAAACTAATTCACATAAAATAACAGGTATGGATATTTCTTCAAATGGTCAAAGAATCGTTACTGTAGGACTAGACCGTACTATTAGAGTCTGGTCTTCTGATTATTGAAGTTCTCTATTTTGCAACTAAATATTTAATAATTTAAATCTCATTTCCAATTATTGCATCATTATGTAACAAAAACTGTTCGTTTTGTGTAGAATTGGTGGGCGCAACTATACTCTGTCCATTTAATATTTGTATAGAGCTCAAATGAGCTCCATGCTGATTAGGAAACCCATTTTGTTGAGTTAAGAACCTCGAAACATTTGATTTAGACCTCTTTCTAGGTTTTTCAATTAAATCTCCATCTCTTTTCGCAGATTCGTTATTATTCTGTGCAAATTGTGAAGCAATAGATACGTTGTTTACATCTGGAATAACGATTTGCCCTGAAATTTGTTCCTGCGTTCCCCTAATAGACTTACCTCTAGTTTTCGTTGAGAAATTTCTCGATACGTTTATTGCAGGTGATGGAATAGAGACATGGCATTGTCTTCCTGTTGAATTAACTAGTGAACCTCTGTTTTTTTCATCATGGTCAAGTTGATTTGCGTGCCCAAATTCATCATTCTGTAGAATTGCGTTTCTTAATTTTTCTTGCCAAGCATGTTTAAACGAATTAAGACGTTGTAGTTTTTTTCTTGTCGAAAGTAAAATTAATAAGTCACATCTCATTGCGCAATATTGCTCTGCTATTTCAATACTCAAAAATGGTAATGGAAAAATGTCAAGCTTAAAATGCTTTAGAAAGTTCTCTACATCTGAAGAAAACTTCCTTGGAAGAGAGGAAATATATTGAAAACATAATGCTCCGACAGTTGTTACGCCACTTTTCTTTGGGCCGAATGAATCATGTAATTTCAACTTGGTAATGAATTTAAGCTCCTGCTCAACTTCGTTTTCAATATCAATCAAATCACCTGCATATTTCTGCAGATTAAAACCCCCTTTTTTGTTATTGTGTTGAGTTAGCTTTGGTTGAATATCCGAAATAATTTTCTTAGCATTTTTCCTTATATTCCGCTCATTAAAACTCTCAATCAAAGCAATTCTTCTATTTTTATCTTGCTCAAAATTATATGAATACCTAATATATGGATGACGATTACGTTCTTCTTTGAGAGAGGCAAGAACGGATGGGTCTGGAGAATTTCCAAGTGTCCTCCTCTTAGAGTCGAAACTGAGTTCAACCAACTTTTTTGAAACAGAATAATACCTTTGTTTAAGTTGTTCTAGTGTACGTTGTTTTCCAGAAGGTGGTATATATCTGTCATGAATGATAATAAATCTCAAGTCAAATTCTTTACATAACTCAAACAGTAAAAAAGTATCATCTTCTGTCCAGTCAGGGTCAATATCTTTAATAAATTTGTTGTATTGGTCTGATTGAAGATTGAAAATTGTTGGATGCTTATTAAACTTTGAAAAGTAATAATTACCTGTCTGGTTATTTTTATGCAGATTATCTTCTGAGGAAATTTGAATAGAACTGCTATTTTCTTTTGTAACCTTATCTTTTATATTCAAATCTCTATTCCCATTTATTAAAAAGTCTTTGCGATTTGAATTTTGAACTTTTGACCAATGATATAATTTAAGAGAATCATTACGTGCGTTATTTTTAAATTTTACCCATTCCCATTTAGATATTTGCATTTGTTTAGAGGAAGTTCCAATCGAAGTATTAATTGGAATGCTAACCATTTCCAAGTTAGAACTTTTTGGTATTCTTTTCCCACAATTTTCAGCTGATTCATCACTCTTCAATTTCTCGTTCATCTGAGAAACGATTTTAACATTGGGAGTAATACCCAGCATATCACGAATGATGGACCCCATGTTGTTTATTTGTTTTCGCAAATCTTATGAAAATTTTGTTTAAGCGCTCTAAAAATACAAAGCAAATAAATGTTTTTCAATAATTTGTTTGTATTGTATCAATAACAAAATAATTACTTAGTTTTATTTGCACAATTCATTAAATTTTTACTTGGAATTGATAATAAGTAACAAACTCCTAAATTTATTTGATTGTTGGCTACCCTGAATAGATACCTAAATATCATAGTATTTTATAATATTTGCCTAACCAATGTTTCTAGACAGGAATTCTCATTCATTAGGAAATAGATATTCAATATACATTAATACTTTCGCAATTCGGTAAGGTTTAACTTTATTTTATTATACCGCACGAATTAATAATTAAAAAAAAATTTAGGTTTACTATTCAACATTATGCCATATTGTAATAGCAATAATAATTCCTTTTTTTCACATGAGCAGGTAGAAGCTATAATTCAGGAAAACAAACAGTTAATATATGGTATTAACTCATTTAAAAAAAATGATGGACAAGAAGATTTTTTAAGAGCGTTGCTTTCAAGACTACAGAAAAACCTGTTCTTACTTGCTCATTTAAGCAACCAACCTAAAGCTCCGAACCACCTAACGGTTAATGATCTTCTAAGGCCCATATTTTCCTGCGATTATTCGACAGAAAATAAAAGGGCAACTCTTCAACAAACAATTTCTAATAGAACACCAATAGTAGCTTTAAATTCACCTACATTATCATCAAACACAACTCAGCCCCTCTACTTTGAAACTAGTAATGTAGATTTCAGGATAAACGACCAAAAGATTACTGAACAGCAAAATTTACAATCGTGTGAAAATCCAAATAATATTTCGAATCCCCAATTTTCAAAATTGTGTTACGAGTCGATTGGACCAATTTCTTCAGAATTTGATCATCAAGACAGCATAGGAATACCAATTGGAAATTCTTCATCAAACTCTAACTATATCCAAAATCAGAATAATGAACACTTCATATGCAGATATTGCCAAAGAAAATGTAGAAATCAAAGTGGACTAACGCAACATACAATGAAAGTACATCCTGATGCACCTGAAGTGCAACATCTTTTAAAACAAGCACAATCAAGATCAAATCCTAACCCTCTTTCTATAATTAATGTTAGCTCATCAACATACTAATTTCCTAAACTTATCTAAAGCAGTATATTATAAACATCTTTACTCGAAATATCAAAGTTACTCAATTTTGCATTTAACGGCTCAATTTTTAATCCTTCAGAAGTCTTTAATTTCATCTCCCTTTTTACTATTGGTCTTCCGTAACTCTTCCATTTATTATTCTTTGACACCTCTGTATTCATGGAATGCTGTATACTTTCAATTATTTTCTGTTTTGGAATATACGGCATTTCTTGATGAGACAACTTTGGAATTGGCCTTCCTAAGTAACTAAATACAGTTGGTGAATGATTAATATTTCCAGCTTTTATATTGTCTATTCTATTTAGCTTATTAATTGTATATTCAGAAATTGGATCATATATTTTATTTTCTGTATTCATTTCTATCTTATTTTTTATTTCATCTTTTAACTTGCCACTTGTCCTTAATTGTATTAGTTCTCTAAATGCAGGATGCACGACATCGTTTTGTATCCAGTCAATCTTTCGGAGGTGCATATGGTTTAAGTCTGCATCGTTTTTTATTGGATCCCAAATGCCATTTTGAAGGTTTCTCGAAATGACTTCTTTTTCCCATAAACCAATTTCATCTACAATGTTATTTGGAGCCCCTCCTTCAATTCTTCCAAACTGCAATAATTTTTCAGGCGATTCAAAATCTTCGGGTAGGCCCTCCCCACCATGTGATTTTCTTATTTGAAGTGCTTCTTGGAGTGTTAGTATTTCTCTATTGAGTTTTCCTTCAGATTGTTCCTCGCCTTTATCGATACAAAAAATCGTCTCACATTCAGAAAAGTCCAATTCTTTCATTTCACCAAATTGTTTAATAATTTTCCAGGCTATTTCATTCAGACGATTTACCTTTGCTTCTTGTAACAATATTTTGTTTTGTGCAGTCTCTAGTCTTTTATTCAAATTAATTGATTTTTCATCAAATTTATCCATAACTTGGTCAATTAATAAATTAGTATTTTTAGTAAAATGATCTAACAAACCTTGCATAACATTTATTTTTTTTTTAATAGTACCGTGAATTAGTGGTTTTAACGCCTCACTTAACTCTAAATTGTCTAAATTTTTTTGATATATAGTTTCGATTAAAATATTTGGTTCCTGCAAATCTGACTTGAATCCGTAACTTTTAGTCAAATCTAATAAAAAATATTCTTTTTTTGTTGGATCTTTATTTGAGAACGAAACAAAAAAATCAAAAAATTTGAAAAACTTCAATTCTTCTAAAATAACAAGATTTTCCACAATGAATGCCAACTTCCTTAGCTGGTTTGAACTAAACATTCCAATAGGAGTACTTACAATAATATCCTCATTTGAAACATTCAAACCTTTAGGTGGTAAAGTCAAGCATAAGAATTTCAGTTTATCCCCAAGACATTCTACTAAATCGGTAAAGTAACCATTTGAAGCCAACTTGGTTAAATCAAGTACAAAATAGTCTTCTATATTCTCTAAACATGATTGGAATAAACCACTATTTTCATTATGAAGATTTTTCATTACTCTTTAGAAACGGTTATTAAGCCAAACATAACTTATTCTAATTTTTAAAAATATTCTATAATCACCCATAAATACACACTAAACTTACAAAAAAAACCTAAATTGGCATAAATTTTTTAAAAATAAAAAATGTGCCACACAATTGTGTATATAATACATGTTATCATATTAAAATGACTATTTTATTTTTATCATCCTATTCAAGTAGTACAATTAGTGAGATAAATAAGAAAAAAGGATACATCTCGTATCTAATCTTTCCGTTTATTAAGATTTATAAAAAGTCAATTTTACATATTGCCAAGATAAATGGTCTAAATAATTCAAAAATAGTATTAAATCTCTATGATAATAAAAAAGATATATACTTTATAATTAAACTACTGAAATATATTTATATTAAAGAACAAAATATAAATAGAAAAAAATGGATCACAAACCAAATAAAAAAAATAACATGTTTTCAAGAGTATACAAATGAATCTAATTCAGGCTTAGGAACAAGTGCCTTAATAGACAAAAAGGAAAATTTAAAGAATTATATCTTTTTTGAGAAAGCTGATATAATACCTACTTATGAAATGATTATTCCCAGAAAAAATAATATAGAGACACTTAATTTTTATTGGAAATTGCAAACTACAAAAAATAATAAATTAGTTTCTTTAAATAAAAGATTGGGTTTTAATAAACATAGCTTGCGTAAATACGAAGATAAAGGATTAATTGAAAGTATATTTAAAATGAATGATAAAAAAGATGTTTACCAATACAGTTGTTTTGCACAGAACTCTAATAAGTGGTTACCTACATATAGTTCAATTATTTTAAGTCCGAGCTTTAAGGCAAAAAATTTAATGCTTACGAAACCAAATATAAAGGGAATACAGAGAAAAAATTATATGGAAAATAATAAATTACTTTTAATAAATCATTCCAGCTTAAGTTCTTCAAATATCTCTGCAATAACTGACGTGAATCCCAATTGTAACAAGGGAAAGATAGTTTCACCAGAAAAAAAATGTAGGTCCAAATTCCTTCATGTGAGAAACTTAACAAATATATTTGGTGAAGCTCCCGGAGGGATTATGAGATGGAGCAATTGCAACGAAAGGAAGGCTAGTTCTAGGATTGAACACGGAAAGATGAAACCGGGGAAACTTTTTTTTTCTCGTGCAAATCTTCAGCAAGAAAAAGTATTTGAAAACGACGAAACGCAAAGAATTAGACTGAACGGTCCTTTCGGATACAAATTAGTAAATTAAAAAAAATTAGATCAAATGTAGCCAGTGACAGGTCAAGATTAACAAACAATACAAGACATAATCTCGTTTAATTAATCCCGGTTATTACCAGCGTTTAGTTTCACTTCAATGAGACATCCAAGATATATATATGAATATCTTAGTTCGTTCAAAAAAGTAAGTGTATTGTTTCAATTGTTTGCGAAACAATTTCAAATATGGGAATGAAAACAACTTAAGGCAAAAATATTAACAATTCGAAGACATGACGTTATGACAAATAAATAAATGATATAGGTATTTTTAAATAGTTAAATAACCTTTTTTTTCATTATGTAAAATGAATATTTAAACTTTTGAGCATGATATGAGAAATAATAATTAATTACTTATGATGTTGTATGCGTTTAATTAATTTATTCTGTTTTAATTTACGACTGTCTTTCTGAAATAAATATAATGTAGTATTGAGGTCAAATAGTGGCTTGTGATTAATTATTAAGCATGCGAATATATTCTTGTTTCAACCTAAGAGAACCAGTTGCAGTCGAATTGCTACTATCCGAATTTCCGTTAATAGATATTTCAAACTTTCTGATGTTCTTTAAGTCTACTTGATGACTTTTTTGTTTGGAAATTTGTAAGTAATTGATATTGTCACACTCCTTAGCCTTTTTAAGTACCTTGATCATAAGCTCCCTTACTCGGTTGGCAAAGTCTTTAGTTGAATGTTCATTATTTTTTGTCTTTGCTGCATACATTTGTGGTAGCCAATAGGCAGAGAGAGTTATTTTGCCATAGTTGCAGAAAAGTAAACATAAAAGTACCCAAAATGGGACTATCTCAAATGCCGGAGAGTATGCTGAATATTTATATAAAAGAACAACGGGCATTACGGGAGTAAGGGATTCAAATGCACCTAGCTTGAAAGGAATAATATCATTACCATTAGTTGTGGTCCCTTCGGGAAATACAACCAGTGGAGTTTTTTTTAAATAATTAAAATATTTACTTATTTCATTCAAAATAAAAATATTTGAATCTTTAATTTTAGGAGTGGTAATAGCATCAGCTGTTCTAGAACTAACCAATTCAAATCTTTTGAGTTGCCTATCTTGGATTAAGTGTTTTGCCTTCGACCTAGTTTCCGTACAGCTTCTGTCGACATAAATGCATCCAATTACATCTGCAAAAGTTCCTAAAATGTAGTTTTCACGGATTTCTTTTTGAGCAACAAATCCACAAGAAACATATCTCATAAAGAAGGAAATGTCTAAAATAGAAACATGATTAGAAACAATTGTTACAACGTCATTCATTTCGGGGATATTGTCCGACTTTATACAGTTGTAACTGACTTGTCCACAAACTTCATTATTTTTTTCAAGTAAATAATGATCAACTTCTACAACACCCAGTAGTCTGAGTGTGAATGCTCCAGCAAACTTCACAATTAGTATATGAATGTAGTTGTAGAAAAGAGTTCCATTTATCAGAGGAAATATACTTCCAATTAACTTTAAAACAAGTAAAACCGGAATAACTATAGACGCTGTCAAGCAAAGCACAAGTATTCGAAAAGGGCAGTAAAGAATTGATCCAAGTACGGAGTAAAACAGAGATATGTTTTCATAGTCTAATCTTTTGCAAAAATCGAATTTTGATTGGTCAATATTTTTTAATTGATTTGGAATGCATTTAATATATACATTGAATGAGTATATGAACCAAAGTACTGAGAATATTGATAAACCAGCATAAATTTTGAGAATAAATAAAATAGTTTCGAATTGGGTGTGCAATGACATAAAATATAATTACTATTCTAATTTTCGCATAAAAATATCTGTCTAATTTTTTATTCGGCTAAACTCAATAATACTGTAATAATTTGGCGGTTATGATCTGCTTAAGTGTTCAATATTATAACAGATTATTCCTATTGTTTAAACAATTTTTTAGTTAATAAATTCATGAAGGTAACCAATTATATCAATAAAACATTAATTATTTGAGCTTCCAAACAAATTGGAATATAATTTTTTAATATTAAATTCTTTCCTTCCAAAAACTTGGTTAAATGAATTGGATTTACTTGAATTATACTCTTTAATATTGTTTTCTGAACTGTTATTTATTAAATGAATATTTCCTGGACTATTACTTATAATTTTAGCACGATTGGATTCGATTGAACTGCAAATTCCTTTTGGAACGGACGTTTCTGATTCGTAATAAAGTTTTTTAATGAATGAATGTTTAGCTGTTAGTTCTTCTTCTTCTTTGATGATCTTTTTTAGTAAGGGTACCCACCACATATGGCTTGTGTGGATTTCGCTTGGTCCACCATCCTTATGGGGAAGGAGCAAATAATCCTTATTTTCTCTGACAAACTCTTCTCTTTCTTGCTCAGTCTTTATTAGCTCATGACTAAAACGACACTCTTTAAGATTTCTGCAAAACCCAACAGTATTTAAGTACCTACAAGGAAACTTCGATATTTCATGACTATACTGGCAATCACTTTTTGAACATTTTCCTGAAATAAAATACCAACAAAGTTTTTTTTTTGTAATAGGAATTGTTGAATGTTTGAAATGACAATAGCTTCCATGCTTACACCTTCCTTTGATATAATAGGTACATAACTGAAGCTTATTTGGTTTAACGTTCGATTGCAAAACTAACTTCTTAGAAATTTTTCTTTTAATTACCTTATCATTATCTCCTACTGTTTTAGACATCATCAAAGATTTTTTTAGTATATTTTTAGATCTGAACTAATCCAAATAAATTATTCCAGAAGTAAAAAATATGAAAACTTATTTTTACCCATATTTTCAATTGTCTAATAAATCAATAATTTCAAATTTTAAAGTTGGCGCGTAATATGTGGAGATGTGCAATGTCATTATTAGATTTTTCCTTTATTTGTTTTAAGGAGTAAAAAAAATTAAATATAAAGATTGTCAATTATTTTAGATGCACACAAATTTGATTGTAAATAAAAGAGGCAGTCCTGATAATAAACATGAAAATGTTAAACAACTTAGGGAAGAAAAAGAAAAAATTAAGGAATGGAACGAGAATCTGACTAATCTTGTTACAAATATTAACCGTGGAACAAATAGTCCAACAAATAAATTGATCAATACCGATAACAAAAATAATAGGTATTATGATAACTCTCCAAAAAAAATACCCTTTAATGGGCGTATAAGGGTTGAAAACAAAAAAGCAAATGAGTACTTCGATAAGAAATTTGATTTTACAAATCAAAAGATCAACAAAAATAATTCACTTGAAGAGCAGTATACATTAGCGCTTATTGAGAAGCAGAATATTGAAGAGTCATGCAATGAACTCAAGAAGAGATACAATCAACTTGTTCTTAGATTTGAAGAAGCAATCGAACAAAAAGAGTCATTCAGAGAAGGTTTAAAAAACAAGATTAATGAATATCAAAAACTACAAGAACTTCATAACGGCACTCAGAGCCTACTTGCTGTGGGAAACAAGGCTCAAGAAGAACTTTATCAAACTCAAAAACAATTCCAAATAATTCTTGGTAAGCGAAATCTTGAATTCTCAAATGTGAAAGATGAATTAGAAACAAAAAAAATGGAGTTCGAAGTAAGTTAAATAAATAAATTTTGAATTAATTTAATTTTTTTTAAGGAACTTGAAAAAAAATTTGAATTGCTTGTAAAAGAAAATAAAGAAAAAGATGAAAATATTGACAAAATGAACAAAGAGAAAACTAGTGTTGAAGAGCAATTATCTAACTTTGTAAAAAACAACCAAGATTTGAAAAAAGAAAGAGATCAAATGAAAAGGGAGTTAAAAATTTATGAGCCTCTATCACGATCTAAAGAAATGGTGGACAAAATGGCTGCCTATCTAGAGACGCTGTTAATAAAAAGAAATGAAGTTATCTCAGAGATTACTGAGGATTTGTCAAAAAATACAGGGAATCTTACAGAGGAAATTTCGAACATTCGCAAGGATATCGTCGGAATCGAAAATAGCATACAAAAATTTTCAGGTGTAATTTCTCACTTTAAAAACAATATCATTGCGAACGAAACACAAAGAATTCAGGAGTCTGATATGCTTGTGAAAAGTTTGAAAACTCAGCTTAAAAACTACAAGGAAAATATTATTAATCTTAAGAAGCTACTTTTTAATAGTGTTGGCCGGCCAGGAAATGCTCTTGAGCCTAGTTTAACTTTCGAAGTTAGAAATGGCTCAATTTTACGTAAATTGCAAGGTAACCATGGCAATACAATAAAGTGTTATTGCAGGATTATTGGAACAATTTTTGAATACACGACTTCAAGTAATGTTGTGAAAACCATCCCTTTGGAAAAAGTGATAGGTATTGACTATGGAAATAACTCGAACTCATTTCGAAGAATTAATCAACCTAAAGGCTTCTTTCACGAGCTCTTTAAACGTCAGGCAAAAAGTGATACAGAGGAAGATAAAAAAGCTGTAATCAATGTGCCTTGGCTTTTTTTTAGCATTCGAATTCTTGATGGTTACGATACGGTTTGTTCGGATTTTATCGCCACTTCACTGGAGTCTGCGATGTCATGGATTGTCACAATTGGCCGCTATGCAACATATATACAAAGATCAAAAGGCTTGTTTACGTATAATTTCATCCAAACAAAACATGAATTCTATAGTGTATCTTTGAGGATGAAAACGATGTACTTGTGCCAACAAAAAGAATTAAATATATCACAACTATATATTACCGCAATACACACAACTTGCCTTAAAAATCCACAGCTTATTAGAAACCAAACAGCATGGAATAATCTGAAGAATATTATGAGGAGAATTACTAACCAAAAGTTTTCCAAGTAAATAAATTCTTGCGCGGTTGAATTTAGCATTATCAAAATATGAATATTTCAAATTTAATTAATGCAGATGTAGATGAAAAAGGGTTTGTTTCCGACAAACTCAGAGACGAGTTCTTCCAAATGATGAGAAATAGGCCGGAAAACCGAACTTGCTTTGATTGCGAATCCAGAAATCCTACGTGGCTTTCTCTTTCGTTTGCTATATTTATTTGCCTCAACTGCTCCTCTGATCACAGAAAGATGGGAGTGCATATTAGTTTTGTGAGATCATCCGATCTTGACAAGTTTACTCCAATGCAACTTCTAAGGATAGATATCGGTGGGAATGGCCGAGCAAGGAATTTTTTTAAACAGGCCCTTGGAGTTCATTTCTCGCCTAAAACTAAAGAATACACAAACTCGATGTGCGGAAAACAATATAAGCAAATTTTAGATACAGAGATCTCGGGATATGACGGCTTAAGCACCAAAAAGTGCGATGAACTTGAAGTAATTGGTAGAGATAGCTATTCAATAAACTCTGGAAAGACAGATACTCAATCCACTGGAGATATTCAGACTACAAGGTTTAAATCAATACCTACTGCTCTTAAAAGATATAGTAGTCTCCAAAAGCAGAACAGTTTAATAAATCAAAAAGGCCGAAGGTTAGATGAGAACTTTGATTTCGATTCGCTAGTTTCATAGCCATAGACATTTCATACTAATTTCAAAAAATATCTGTGCCGCTCCTCTTTCTTTTTTTTCAAATTCCACCGTTGAGTTGTAAGTAGATATTACACTAAATGAATCATTCAATTCGCAAATCGGATGAAATTGCTGAATATTTTGATGAAGGTGATTCTAGAGTTGAAAAAAAGATTATTTTAAGTGCAGATGGATTAGGAAGCTGCTTCTTTGGAAGATTTAGTGTACCTACTCATGCCCAGAGCATGGCTGGTGCTATTTATGTTGACTATGTGACTCCTGTTAAAGTAAGTTATTTCAAATCTTTCTGAGTTTCTTGGTTACAATTTTCAGGAAATTGATTCCTTAAATATTAAATATGAACAATCAATTATCCCTAATAACAGAATTGATTCTAACCAAATAAATATTAGAATTAGAGATAGTAACTCAAGGCATTGCATTGGAAGGCAGGTATCCACAAACAATTCTAACTACGCAGCTATTATTGACAAGGGAAGCCACTATGAACTAAAGATTTTGGATGGACTATTCGTATTTGATCCCAGCATTAAGGGAAAAAATGAGAGTAACTCGGACGTTGCAGAGAATTTAAAACGTGATTACATTTTTAGAGAAGCTGCAGTTACTGCTCGTATACAAGAATCATCTACCAAAATGAGAATTAAACTTGAAAATGACTTTGAGGATGATCAAACACCTGAAAGTGCAGTAAATAATGAAAGTACTTTTAATAAATCTTGTGAAAACAATACTGCAATGTCTTGTGCGATAAAAAGAGGAATTCTTGATGATATTTATGATAAGGATTTTGGTCTTAAACAACAAGAAAAAAAAAGAAAAATTTCAGCAATGCTAAACAAAGAAAACGCAGATGATTCACGTGTTGTTGTGTCTGCACTCTCGTTAACTACATTAAAGAGCAGCGATGACTGGGACTATGATGGGGATGGAAAAATGAGTGACGATGAAGGTTATATAGAGAAAAATGAAATGGAAGAGAAGTTTGAGGGTGATCACAATCCAAATTTAATGAATGGGAATATTGATTATTCTAATTCCGAAGATGATGAAGGCCCAGATGGGATTCTAACGGAATATGGCCAAACTCTTAAGACGATGATAGCAAATCAAGAAGATATGGAAGCTGATGAAGAATTAAATTTGTATTCTGATGAAATGGATGATGATCTTGAAAGTAAAAGTAATTTAAGTAGTTCTGCTCCGGCCGCAACCAGTACAGGTATACAATTTGATCTGCAAAAGAAGACCATAAAGTCTCCAACAACAATATCATCTTCAATTAATGGCCTATCAAGGAGTCTTGAGACAGAAGTTATTCGTAAGCTTAGCCTTGCGGGGGGTAGGATGCAAATCAAACCATTCCTCGATGCAATGAAGGTAAAAAAGAAGAATAAATATTTTGAAGAAATACAGGAGATTATTAAAAAGGTTGCGGACACTCACACTGAATATCATTCAAATACAAAAATAAGTTACATTACTCTTAAAAGTAATTATCGTCAGAGATGATCTAAGAGATAAATTGATTATGACCGTCCTGTCTAACTTTTATTTTCACACAAGATATTTAAGCATTTTTTAAATAGATATTTCGATTTGTTGATTATTGTCTCTTTATATTTATGTAGATTGTAATAACATATTCAAATGTCGCTTTTTAAAGATCAAAATGTGGAGGAAAATTACCTTTATATGCTAAGCATAGACTTCCCAGTACTTAGTTTGGTTATTGGGATTATACTCACGATTGTGGGGTCTTGCTTTATGGCATTTGGAAATGCATACATGAAGAAGGGTCTTCACATTCAACAACAGAAGTGTATTAACAATTCGCAAACAAGTGTTTCTAGTATGGCATACAATGAAGTTACATGGTGGATAGGTGTGATTGCATACGCTTTTGGTGCAATTGTTCATATTGTTGCACTTGGTTTTGCACCTGCTTCAATTCTAGCACCTATGAATAGCTTTGGTTTAGTGGCCAATGCATTTGCTGCAGCAACTTTGCTTGACGAACACTTTGGAATTTTTGAGTTAATTTCTACTGTTGGAGTCATTTTTGGAATTTTTTTGTGTGCAATTGCATCAGTTATTCCAACTGAGGCCCCGGCAAACAAATATTCAGGGATCGAATCTTGGTCAGATCCATATTATTTAATTTATATCATTTTTTGTTTTGTATCCGCATTAGCCGTCTTGATTGTAATTAACAATGAGGAAGCGAAATACAATGAACAAAAAGAAATTCAAACAAGAAGGGCAATACTAAAATCATTGGATGAAGATTCACCTAGTATTATTCCGGCTGGGAAAGTATCACCAAATAATTCATTAAGTTTGAATAATCATGCAAAAATTAAAATTACACTACCTAAATATCCCAAATATATTAGTATGTTGTATGGTCTTTTAGCAGGTTTAATAGGTGCCCAATGCGTTCTCGAAATTAAAGAAATGGTTGCTTGGGGTGAATTTGCACTACAACACACAAAGGATTGGATGTACAACATACAACCATATGTTGCGTTTATACTCTTCTCCACTTCTACTTGGCTTCAGATGCATTTTCTTAATTTAGGGCTTGCTATGGGAGACGCAACATTGGTAGTACCAGCATATTATGTTTTTTGGACACTTTTTAGTACTTTTGGTGGGTTCACCAAATTTCACGAATTCGAAGGGTTTACGCTTTTGATGACAATAATTTTTTCTTTTGGAATTATTATTACTACATCATTTGTAATTGTGATGTCAATTAGAGAGATTTTAGCATTTAAAAAGGCAGTTGACGAAAGTGTGGCAGATGATGATGGTGGGATAATAGAAGAAATTCCTAAATTAGATGGAGTAAAAGGGAATATGCTTGATGCTCAACTCCCTCTTGCAATGGGTGTTTTAACTATGATAAATGCAGGAAAACTTGCAGGTAAATATTTTATGAATGCATCTGCTCAATTAAGAAAAACAAGGAGTGCATCTGATTTAATAGGCGAAAAAAGAGGATCAATTGAAATTATAAGTAAGCAAAAAGATATTTGGACATTACCTAGTAATGTAAATTATTCAAATATAAACGACCCTAATTCACCTATTTATCAGAATTCTGTTTGGAGACCCAAACCCATTAATGAGCTAGTTTTCGAAGATGTCGAATACAAAGAAATACCCTAGAAACTATTATCTATCAAAAAGAATATGAACGAAAAAAAATTATAAGTCTATCAAAGCATTTCAAGTATAAAATTAAAACCCAAATGACTATGAATCCACTTCATGTGAAGGATGAATATACTGATTATTCAACTGATAAACTCCAGAAGTATCATTGACATCAATAACATTGGAGTTAGCTGCTGATTCAGATGGTATTTTATAGCAATTACAATAATATGGATATCCAGCAATAGAACAATGTTCGCATGAAGTACACTGTGCAACATCTTCACCAAATACGTCGCTATATGTTCCTGGATTTACAATACTTTGTACTTGCTGAATAATATTAATTTGGTTGTTTTGGTCTTGAACAATTCCATCTGAAATAAACGAGTGTTGAATCTGCCGTATAGGCGATGAAATTTCAAGTGTAGAATTTGGGGTTGTTATTTCATTTGGAGAAAAAACTTGTCTATATAAAGAGATTGATTGATTTGTAGCAATACCATTTATTATAAATCCATTATTGAAATTCTGCTTACTCATGGATTCCTCTTCAATCGTCTCGCTTGGCAACATCGGATTAGTCGCAGAATCAGAAGAAAACACCAAGGGATTAAAATTAAAATGAGTTCCTTCATTTATGAAATTCGGTTGAAGATGTGATCTGAAAATTCCATTACTTTGTGAAAAATCTCCATAAAGATAATTTTCTTTCAATTGTTTTATATTTGGATTCTCGTTTTCGTTTTCCGATGATCCAAACCAATTTTTACTATTTGGCTTAGACCCATATTGCTCTGCCTTATGTATTTCAATGTTGTTCATTAAAATCTTACTTTGATTTATATTGCTGAGAAAGGAAGATGGAATTGGAACTTTTGGAATAAAAGAATTTGGATCTAATGAGCCATTTGCATATATACTCCTATTCATATCATTTAGTGAGAGCCCACCCTTGTTTATTGTTTGAATGCAATCCAGAATCTTTGAATTATAAGTAAATTGTTTGTTAATAATACAATCTGCATTTTCTGCAATAGGTGTTGCTGATGCAGTAGATACATCACCAATAATGCAACCATATCTGTTTGAAGTGAGAGTTTCACCATCAACATCATGCCCTAACTCGGAAATATACTGTTTTGTACATCTTGGAGTTAAAGAGTTGTTATCTGAGTTGTAATATTGATTATTTTGAACCCTCACTACCGGAGAATTTGGGAAAGAGTAAGATTTAGATGTCAGATTCTGTCCCATAGCTTTGTTATATGCGCTCTGAAGCTCGTTAGCGTCACTCAGGAATTTGTCTGAATTTATAATATCCCAATCTTCCAGATGTCTTTTGTTTATTTTTCTCTTATTTTTTTTACTAATTAAGCCTGCTCCACCCTTGCTAAAGTCATTCACCGAATTAATCGAATTAGGTTGCTTTTCTAAGTTTTCACAATGGAAACGTAATTTAAGTGGCATAGACAATAACCCAGAATATCCTTTACTTAATTGATTTACCATTTGCACATGACCTGATTTTCCGCAAACCATCAACTTGGACATTACATTACTCAGTAATTCTTCACAATCAAAAGTGTAATTTTGTTTTCTTCTCCATGCCATATGTATAACTTTTGAGTCATTAACAAATAATATATATCTGTCATGAATCCTTCCTTTCAAATCCGAAATTGTAGGGCCAACGAACACTTTGTGAGAAGAGTAATTTTGTTGTGGACAAAAAGTGGCAGCAAAATAACCACAGGAAGCCATGAAAACACCATATGAATCATATACATTTTTAGAAATTTGAAATTTATTTGTTTGAGTATCTTGTTCCATAATTTTGAAATGACCCATTAATTTATCATGTGCCTTACCTTTAAATAAACAGCTTCTGCATGGGCAAAATACCCATCTTTTAGGTTGGCCTCTAAAAGTCAAGCAGATTATGTTTCTTTCATGACTTTCCAACGCCTTTCCTGTAGTTCTCATCTGAATTGAGTCCATAAAGGCCTTAATTTCGCTACTTTCGCTTATGCACAGCCTTCTTAACACAATAGTTCCAAGCTCATAATTATTCATTATAGTCTTTCTTTCATCCAAAGTTGCTACCGAAGAAAGCAATTTATCAACATCCTCAGGAGATATTAATACAAAATCGGGCACATGTCTTGGTTTTAATTTACCACCACGTCTATTAGGATTCGAGTTTCTCTCAAATGTGTTGACTTCTGATGAAGTGTTTACTATCCCACTTTTTAAGCCATTATAACTCATTTGTTTATTCAATTCTTTATTGTTTCGGCGTATATTATCTTGGCTTCGAAACTCATTCCTAATTCCAATAATTTGGTTCACAGACATATTTTCATACTCATAAATTACATCACTGTCCACTGAATTACAGTGAAAGTCCGACATTTTGCTATCGGCAAAAAATGTGACAAAACTAGAATTACAATCCAATTGTCTGATTGTGTAGAAACGTTTCCGCAATTCAATTCTCTTGTTTTATGTGCTAATATTTTGTTGCATTATAATGTGAATAAATTAGTTTTTGTTTTAAATTATGCTTCAAATTACTTATATATTTTAGTTTTTTTTAACGATATCTTTATTTATTCAATAAATAATATTTTAATTATTAGATTGTCCACTTTTGCCACCAGCTGAAGTTATCGATGTTATTTTATACGATACTTAATTCTTAATTAATTTGTGGGATAGGCTGCCACCTGACATGCGTGCAGTTGTTCACACAAATGTCGGCAGATAATGATATCTCTATTTTTTTAGCGGAATCTCGCCTTTAATATCTTTCTAGCACACGTATGTTATTGATGCAGGTTGGCGCCCAACGTGGGGGCGGTATACTCATGCAAACATGAATATTTGTCAATTACCGGTAAAAATACTTTAAAAAATTTACATGCGATTTAAAAAAATAACATTTTTTTTAATTTGATAAATAGAAATTTATAACGCTAGATCCGCTCTAATAATAAATTATTTGGTTTAAAGTTGTGATTTACTTTGAAATCCCGATTATTTTGTGTAAAGTTTTCTAAAACAAATGTTTAAAAAATATCTTTTTATATCGATTTTTTTTTGTTTTTAATTATCTTCCGTAATATTCTGTATTTCTATTTTTATTATCCACAAGTCTATTATTTATAGAAAATTAGCGCTCAAATGCACACTAAATAGACACTAAAACAGAAATCATGCATGCATCACACATTTATCTTGATATGACACAAACAGAAAACTTTTTATATTAATATCTTTTGGGTGCAAGGGCAAATAATAATGAAATATTAGTTAACAAGTTTTAAATGTCTATATCAAATAATTTGTATTAGAGGTACATTGTGGTTAATGAGAATAGATTAAAACAATATTCCAAAATATTTATATATATATAATTATTTTTGAAACTTCTATAAAATAAAAGTGGATGCTTTAATATCTGATTATAAAAAGTACTATATTTGACGAATTCCATGTTAGATGGCAAAAATTTATTAAGTTATAAATTATCATCAATATCTGAATCGCTGGAGCAAACTTATTAAATTTGTTTTTTTTTAAATAAGTTCAGGTATTTATCCAACTCATTCTCGAGAATTATTGAAAATAGAACTGAGGTTTAATTTACTATCAAAATGTTTGAAATTAAAAAAACATTAGCAAATGAACATAAAGAGACGGACTCAAACAAGCCGTTTGATGAATTAAAAGAATTATCTTTCAAAAGAAATCAACTCATACATGGAATAGTTCCGAATTCAGGTATGCAAAATAATCCTAGATCAAACACAAGCAATGGGACTACGATCATACGTAAACCTTATGCATCGAAAACTCCGATTCATAGGCAGAAACCACGTCATGTACCTTCATTTTGTAATTTTACAGACTCTATGAATATAAATTTTGAAAAGGAATTGTTCGAAAAAGTCTCTAATGAGACTGAAAGAAATATTATTATTTCTCATTATGAGCCAGGAACAATTGGATTAAGAAGATATGCAGTTACACATCAAGATGAGGTTGATGGGTATATTTTCGACTTTAGTAAACGCAGCACTAGACTATCAAATGATACAATGGATCGAACAGTTATTACTGTTGGTTTCACTGGCAGAAAGAAAAGATGGACACTTTGCCCTTCTTGTGACTGTATTCCTAAGGCTGATAAAAGGGAAAAGATTGTTGGTCAATGGAAAATATTATATTTACCACCAAAGGGTGGAAATTTAATTGTTCCAAGATGTGTTTATGAAGCATATGGCGATGTCGTGGATGATTGTAATTATTTTGCAGCAACATTATGTCCACAGCAAACTTATTGTGCTAAACACAGTAATCAAACAAGTTTTCTTAATAGGAATTGGCATTATTCTTATCGTCATCAGTTTGCACTTCAAGATTATGTGGTTTTCTGTGACCATTTACAGTCAGTAAGACTTGTTTGGAAGCTACAAGTATCAAAAGATAATGAATTAAATGACATTACGGCTGAAATTGCTGAAAAAACTTTAATCACGGTCATGCAAAGATTTCTAGAATATGCAAGAGTTAACGGAATGCATAACTTTTTCTTGTCAGCCCCCAATCCGAAATATAATATTAAAGACAACTCTGAAGAATCAACTCCTTTAAATAAAGCTTGCATTTCTGATAAAGATGAAAAAAGTAATTTTGAGTCTCTCCAGTCGTGTAGCTCATCCGAGTCGCTATCATCACAATTGGATTTAAGTAAGATTCAATTGCAATTTGCCTCACAAATAAACTCACAGGTACCGATTTCTCAATTTATGATGCAAAAAAATTCTGGAGTTTCTTTTAACCCGGTAATTAATTCTTTAGCACAACAATCATTATATCTTCATGATTTCATAAACTATTTAGATAGTACTAAAAAGCTTGATACAAGCCTTACGGTCGAAAGGATGAAAGCCTTTAATGTTTTTTCGTCTTCCCAAAATACATCATCTATTCAAATGTCTGATAACTTGAGTAATTGTTCAAGTGCAGGAACAACTCCTATATCTATCGATTGTAGTGACACACCAACAATGGCTCATGCAAGAATGGTTAAAGCAACAATTAATAGTAGTGAAGATAATGGTAATTCTATAAAAAACAGTGTATTTAATGTTGATGAGGAGTCTCAAATTATTGCGAGCAATCAAAATATCACTAAAAGTCGAAATTTACAACATGATTTATTAGAATCGTTGAGAAATAGTCAATTAATTGGAGGGTCAATACAAAATATTTGTGGAATTAATCAGTCAATTAGTCTTGGAAATTTTTCTCAGGTACAATTTCCTCAAATTTTACACCCAACAAGTACATCCGGTCCTTATTTAATACTTAGTACCAATTCATCTATGTACCCTTATTGCATTCCAATAAATCATATGGGTGCTTATGAAACACAAAATGCATTAAATAACTCCAGTATTATCAATAAGCAAAATAATGATTCAAAATTGGCGCCCCTCTGTCCATTAAACTCTCAAATTAACTCGGAAATATCTGTTCCATTTGGAATTTCTTCGAATTTATGTCAGCCAAATAATCCTAACACTTACAATTCGAGTAAACAAAACAATCTTCAAAATTCCACATTTTCAAATGAAGTTAAGTTCGTTCCGCAAATAAATCATGCTACACAAAACATAACATTACTACCAAATCATGAAAAAATAATACAATCCAAGCCATCAAACCCAATTAATACAAATGCAATATTAAAAAATGGAGATAATTCAAGTGTAGCTCAATAGGGGAATCCAAAAGAAAAATATTAAATTTTTAACTTTTTTAGGCATTAGTTTCTAATAAATTAATAAAAAATCTAATTATAAATATCCTTCATAAACTTTAAAAATATCTTGTATAGGCTTTGAAAAAATAATTTTTGCGTTATCTTTATACACACAATTCTCAGCAAGCATAGATTCCAAAACTAACTCAATTTCACAAGAACTAAAAAATGAGAAGCGTGAAGTGAATTCTGCCAAATTAAATATTGGTGATTTGTGAGTTAATGAAGAAACGAAATAAATTAATAATCCACAAACTGGTAAGTTTATTTGGCCGTCAATAGAAACAAAGCAATTTGTTGGTGTTCTGTTTAAAAAAATTCCGGAAGGTACAATAAAATTATTAAACTTAAAAACGTCGAATAGAGATTTGTTAATAATATTAATAGCAGTATTTATCTCTTCTTCGTTAAACAGTTGTAGAACTACTTCATTTGACCAAAGGAGCCATATTCTACTTGGTATATTAATTGGTATTAAAATATTTTCATTATTCATTATTGAATTATTGTTATTATGCCTTTCATCATTATATTCAATTAATTTGTTATTGAGAGAACAAAATAGTGTAAATATCCAATTTCCCTCTGTTGGTATTCTGACACATATTCTAAGTATTTCCAATAAATAAATAATATGATAAATAATAGGTAGCTTAAATTCATAGAGAGAAATTCCTGGATCAATAAATCCCGTTCCAATTATTGATAAAGCAGAAGTTAGATGTGAATAATTTAAAAAAAATATATCCTCAATCTCGTGTATTGTTAAGCAAGTGGTATTTTTCAGTGTAAATATAATAATAGAAATTGCCTGTATTATTAGATTGTGTTCTTGAGATTCTGAATCGATAATATAGCCTAGAATCACTCGAATAATTGTAAATATCGGATCGATAGTTTTTCTTTTTAAATTTTTTAATTCTGTTTCGGAAAAGCTTAATATAATCCCAGAAATTGAAAATACAGAAGGAATTTTGTTAAATTCTAAAGGATCGGAATCCATTGCTCCTAGAAATGGAATATTTATTGAAGAGTATTCTATTTCCTTGAAATCAGAAAAATAATTGTTACTGCCTTTTTTATTTACATAAACTGCTGTAATATTAGAAATTTCTGGATTTTCTCCGTGGTCAGCTTCAATATGTACTGAATCTCCTGTTATATTATTAGTATCATTAGAAATTGTTTTTTCCACTTCTGAATGAGTTCTAGTAGCTTTATTTTCTACATTTTGAGAATCGCAAATTAATTTTTCACTATATGAACTTGGTTCTTCTGAGGAAATTTCAAGGTAACTTTGGTGGTCAACTGCCTCGTTTAATAATCTAAATAATTCTTCATCGGTTTTATTAGATGCCTTTTCGTAAAAATCTTGATCATTCCATTCTATTTCTAAAATGCAATTACTATCTATCAAATTATTTAAATGATTTAATACGAACGCTCCGTTTGAATTTTGAGCATTTACATTGAATTTAGTACTTTTTGAATAATTTATTTGCAAAAAAGCGAAACATAGATTAAAAATTTCACGCCAAACAATTGTCTTACCAAAACAATGAATTAACATTCGCCTAGTCAGTGCAAATCTTTTTGAAGAACTATAACATTCTTCAAATTTTGGTAAATCTGAATTACGATTAATTTGCTTCAAAACATTTTTTTGAATGGAATCATCGAAGTACTTTCTTATCTGTTCCAAGTTTAATAAATTATTATTGGTCAACCTAAAAATCGATTCATCTTTTATCGATTTTTTTTGTGTAAGTAACTCTGATTTAATAAAACTAATAACAACAAAATAATCTATTTCTGAGAATGAAAAACTCTTTGAATAGTTTCCCACAGAATTAGTATAATTATCAAAATATTCATCATTCATTGAATTATTTAATACTGAATTAATTTTACTAGATATTGTTGATGAGTTTGATTCTTGTCTGGCAAAAAACCTCCACCTATTTGAAAATGAATGGATTTCCAACAAATGATTCCAACAAATCCTTTGTTTTTCTTTCAATTTTATCGCTTCCAATAACTTTGAATTCAAAGGATAAATTGACTTTAAACAAGAAAAAATAAATTCGATAATATCAATTGAATTGTATTTAGGCATTCTACTCATTTCTTGAATCAAGGATTTAATTCTCAAAAATTGAAGACTAAATAGATTACTTTCAGTTTTTTTTTCCTTGCAAAATGAAATGATTCTGAATAAATACTTATTAGATGTCAATTTTGTATTTTTTACATCCATATTTACTTTATTATTAATAAATAGTATAATATATAGCAAGATTGTATCTTCTTTACTTAATCTCAAGAACGCTCTAAGTAATTCAATCTTATCGCCTCTTTCAATTTCATTGAAAATATTATTAGCTCCCTTTAATTCTAATAAATGTTTTAACGTATTTGGAATGTAGTTTTCACTTAGTATCTGTGTTCTTACCATAGAATTAAAGTTAATATTTTTATTTTTAAGATTAAGTGAATTGTTTTTTTCAATAGTATACATTGAAGAATTTGCAATTGAAGAAATATTGTGAATTGTTTTGTAATGAGAAATTATTGCCGGATGTGTTGAATATAAAGCTTGGCATATATGGCACTGATAACGAGGCTCACGGATTGGATGGAAACTTATTTTGTTGGGTGAGCCTGAATTATTTGAAAATTTGAATTCTTCTAATGATAATGAGTCAACAACACGTATTAAATATTTCAAAGTCGTTAAAGGACTTATTGACAACTCGTCTGAAATATTTATTATTTCCGGTGAAGCTAAAGATAATACAATGTGGGATCTGTTTTTTGGTTCGATTGACTTATTTGATAAATTTTCATTTTCAAATAACAATTGCCTAGCGTATTTTTCCAGTTGGTTCCTTACATCTAATGATAATAATGGATTAACTTTCCAATTTCTTTTCAATAAAATGTCCGGAAAAATCACATTATAATTTTCCGGTTTAAATTCCAAAATAAAATTATGTGTTTCGATAGATTCTCTGTTTAAAATTGACCAAAATTGTTCAAATTGCTCGTTATTTTTTAAGCAGAAAGTATTATTAGTATGTTTAATGTATTCAGCTAACCTCTCAACATCATATTTGTCAGCATTAATTAGAATGGGAATTTTTAAATTTGATTCTAATTTCCATGATGGGTAAGATAAAGGAATAGTCTCAATATTTATTTGTTTAATATTTGAAATTTTGAATTCACTCTCATCAAATTCTTTAGTTTCAGATATAGAAAAATTAATCAAATTAAGTTTGCAAAGCATAACTAAAAGTTTGTATAAAACAGATATTGCTTTCCTTCCTTTATCGTAATTCTTCAGTTTTTTTTTTCCATGACCAAAAAAGTTTTTTTTCGAATGATTTTTTGTAAGTTTCTCATAAAGATTAGATGGAAGTTCCTTTATACGCGTATTAGGACCAAATTCAAAAGTTTCACTATTGCCATAAAGTAAGTAATCTTCAATAAATCTTGATCTATGCCCAAACCCTATTACTCTTAAAAATGTATCTATTTTCATGTTGTCAAGAATTTCTTTTGAAGAAAATAAATCAAATTTATTCTTTTTTTCTGGAAATGAAAAGAGTAAGTGATAATGTAGAATCTTCAAACGTATCATAATAGGGAATACAAATCCATAATGTGCAAGAATTTTTTGACTAAAAGATAAAAATCCCATTTTTCCTTCGCTTGATTGAATTTTAATTCCACCCCTAGATAAATTTGAAAATCCAAGACTAATTCTTTTTGAAGGATCGAAATTCATTTTATTAGCAAACTCTGTTCCAGGAATGTCTAGTTTTGAAATAGAATCATTTTTTTTTAGACTTGATGAATCAATTGTGGAGTTGCTACCACCATTTATTTCTATATTTAACGATGCAACGGTAAATTCTTGAGTATTCAATACAACAGTAGCATCTCCGATCTTGTTTGTTACTAACTTTGCTGTATTGGGTTGAATTAAGTTATTTTCCATTACTTTTGTGTCAACCTGAGACAAAATAATATCCGGAGAATAATTTGATTGAGAAAACACTGAATTTTCTTTTTGCTTATTTGAGGGAAATGTATTAGATGCGTCAATTATTGCAGCAACTTGTGAAAGCTCTTTCTTTCTCCTTTCTATTGCAGATTTAGTTGTATTTGACCTTTTGTTTTTCAATTCAATTGCCTTTAAATTCTTTGCTTCGTCCTCCGTATAAAATTTCAAAGAAAAAAAAATTGCAATTTCTCCTGAAGAAGATAATATATTAGTATTTTTACTTTGAACAAGACTTGATTCTTTTGAATATTCGTCTAATTCCAGGATTTTAGAAAGTATTCTTTTAATCGTTTTTCTGTCTGGTCCGTTTTGAGTATTTTCAGTTTCTGAAAAAAGCTTTGCAATTTCAGGTATTGTGAGAATTCTTGATTCATCTAACCATTTTTTGATTAAAATGAGTCTTTTAACAAATTGCTCAGTAACGCCAGATAACTCAATTTTTTTATTCGGAAATGTTTCACTAAAAATAGTCATAATATGCTTTGTTTCCAATTTTTGGCTACTATATTGATCAGAAGCATGGGGCTCTACTACTGATTTGTCAATTTTATTACTTCCCTCAGACTTCAAAGGTATGTTGATATTGTTAAAATAATACCTATACATAAATGTTCGATTATATCTCTGCGGAATTTTATTGATCATCTTCGTCTTGCACAAATCTGAAAGTAGTTTCCCTAGTCTTTTCATGTTAATACCAATTATTTTTACAATATCTAGAGAGACTAAACCAGTTTTCCCACTTGCACGTATTAACCACAATACTTGTGCTGCCTCAGTAATTTCAAATATTTTATTTCCAGTGGAAAACTGAATCTCTTCTGTAGATAAGTCAGGGAACAAACCGTTATTATTAATACCTTGTCCTTCACTGTCTAACATATTTTTCTGAGAATTAGACTCCTCCGTGTCATTAATATTTAAATCAGAAACATGAGTTTCTGTTTTTACATTAATTTCCGAAGATAATTCAATGGTTGTAAACGGAAATGCATCTTTTAAACATAAACAAGGAGAGTAGGATTTGGTTAATGGGTGCCACGCAAATACCCTTTTCACATTTTTCGTCAATAAAAAGTCTCTTAATTTATTAAAAACTTTATTTGCAGTTCTCTGTGAACAAATTAAATGATCTGACGAATTTTCATCATGAACAATTAGAAATCCTGCGCAGAGAGCCCTAATATCTTTTTCCCAAGCTATTTTTCCGGGGGCTTTATATTCTAAAATTCTTACAATCTCAGTACTTAGTGGCTGAATATGTTGATACCAAATTAACTGTGAAAGCTCTCTTGGAATAAGATTAATGTCAAAAAACCGAGTCAGCCATATAATTGCAGAAAGATGTCCTCCTGAAGATGAATTAGAGTCTTCATTAGGAAATAATCTTTTTTTATGATTTATTGGCATGGGAATAGAAAACCTAACAATGCTATCATATTTATATAAATACTTCAAATGTTGAAATACCATCTTGGGGTCCATTTTGAGCATTCTTGATATTTCGTACTGCCAACACCCATTAAAACCTTTACTTGCGATTGCCATGTATACAGCAAGTCTTCCTTCGACTTCTGATATATTTGAAAAAATATTCAAATCTAAAATGTGATTTTTTATGGAATCATTTGCTACCAGTAGTAAATTTTCTGGGAAATAATCATCTTTTTTATCCTTTAAAGAATATACATTTCCACTTAATTTATTTTTTGTGATAACATGTTTATGGGAAGCAATCGTTTTGGTAATTTTTTCCCTAAAAGAAACATTATTAAGCAAAGTTGCAAAGTTCCTATATGGCCCACTTAGTACTCTTAAAACAACTTTACCAAACAATTCATCGATAGAACTGCCATTACAACCCAGAAATGATAATTCTTCGAGTGCGATTCTTGATAAAATTACATTCATTAGTTCACATAATAATCATTGGTAGAATAACAAATTTGTTCGCGCGTAAATAAACATGATATCTGAGTAAAGGAAGCACAGTGGAGTTTATTTAATGATGGATATAAACATACTAAAAAACTTAGATATAGATGAGTTGATTGTTATTGAGGCCAGATTAAAAAATAGTATTCTCGATCTAAATAAACTAATAAATGAACTCTACAAAGAAAATTGCAGAATTTTACGGCATAATTTAGAACTAAATAATTTAAAAAATAGGTTTCCAAATACTAAAGAGAGAATAGGAAACTTACTCAAAAGTGCATTTTTTTCTCAATTCAATAATTCGGAAAAATCTGAGTCTATTAAATTTGGGTGTAGTTCTACAACCAATGGTGAATACATATCAAAGCATGGGATTGATCATGGAAAATTATTCAGTAATTGTGAGGAAAAGAAAAATTACACAATTGAAAAACCGAATATAAATTATCATTTAATGCCAACAAAAGAAGCAAAATGTAATCAACATGTTTCCTACATTGAAAAAATCCCAGATTCTATTTTTAATGGAAATCTAGATTCTAATAAATATGATTTGAAACCTAAGCCTATTTCACAAAAACTTGGGGATCGGGTTACTAGTATAGAGTATGGTAACATGGCAGAACATACAATAAATTTATTGATAGACGAAGAAAATTATGTTAAAATAAGATTCTCTAAGTTTGAAAACGATCAAAGTAGAGAAGGCTTTGTAAAGGAAATAATCGAAATTGTTGGTCTTAAACCAATATATTTTGATTGTATGAAAAATTTATTGAAAAATATTGAAATTAAAAACGATTGTATTGAAAACTTAATTGATATTGCGAATTTAGATCCATGGGAAAACTATCATGAAATTTCTCTGAAAAGTTAATGGTTCCGCTCTAAATTTAATATTTTGTTTATAATGCGGTATTGATTACCGCAGTTAAATGTAGACGCGCATAAAACAATGTCTGTCTCTGAATAATTATTTAAACATAGTTTGACACCATTCACTGTTATAGTAGTAAATTCGGAAAAAATAGCGATTTGAATTATTTACCCTGATTTTTGTCTAGAGTAAAATGATGAAAGAGAAGATTGTGATTGACTGCCGTGGTTCTCTATTAGGACGTCTAGCATCTGTTATTGCGAAGGAGTTGTTAAACGGCCAAAAGATAGTTGCCGTGAGATGCGAAGGAATAAATATATCGGGCTCACTCTATAGAAATCGCATGAAGTACCAGGATTTTTTACGTAAAAGAATGAATACTAATCCAAGGAAGGGCCCTTTCCATCATCGTGCTCCTTCGAAAATCTTATTTAGAGCAGTCCGTGGAATGATACCACATAAGACTCCGAGAGGTGCAGCTGCATTGGCAAGATTAACTACGATAGACGGTTGTCCGGCCCCATTCGATAAAGTTAAGCGTGTAGTTGTTCCATCCTCATTGCGTGTGTTGCGTCTAAAGCCTCAAAGGAAGTACACTACACTTGGAACATTATCATCTCTAGTTGGTTACAACAAATGTAAGACCATCAATGCACTAGAAGAAAAGAGAAAGGAAAGATCTCATGCATTCTTTGTTAAAAAGGTCGCCAAAGATAAGGCTCTTAGAGCTGCACAAAAGTCTGTATTTAGCAAGTTGTCTACTGAAGAACAGGCCATCTTAAAGTCGGTAGGACAGAACTAAGAGAGATTTTCTTTAGCTCGTTAGATCTGCCGGAATCTGCTTCAATATCCGGACGAAATGAGGCAATAATCGTGTAGGTTTTGCCTTGTTACTATATAATTACACATTTAGGCAGATATTGGTTTCAATTGTATCCGGTCATTCCAGACCGCAATTTCAGTGAAACATTAAGATAGAGTTGCTAGGTAATAAATTTTTCATAAGTTTCTTTACTCAATTCGATAAAATCATTTGAAGTATTATTTGTAGCTTTATAATCATTGCCCTCACACCTGCCCTCTTGGCATGTGCTAAGTCGGCGGTAAATCCTTCTTATCCTAAATTTTATTAATACAGCACACACTTTCATTAAGATAATAATATGGAGATTCGAATTGATATTTCATGTGGTTCACAAGTTTCAAAGTCCCAGAGGGAGCAAAGAAGATACTAAATGAAAGTATGGTCGATGAAATTACATCTTATTTACCTATAGTTTTAGCTCTCAGAAGATGGCAACTTTCATTCTGTTCAAAGCTACATGGAGTATCTTTTAGTTCTTTTTATAGAAGAGTTTCAAATAGAGGCCCAAGTATTTTAGTTGTACGTGATACTAATGGTGTTGTGTTTGGTGCATTTATATCTGAATCAATTAGAAATTCAACCAACTATTATGGAACTGGTGAGATGTTTGTTTTTACTTATAAGCAACTATCTTTGATAGACACAAAAATTCCAACAGAAAAATGCAAATTTAACTATTCAGAAACAAAACAAAGCAATTATGAGCTTGGAATGCTGAAGAAAGACCACTTTACCGAATTTGCAGTTAGCGGATATAAGCCCATACAAGAAGGAAATTTTAAAAAAAATAAAGAAGATGGCACAAGGGAATTACCAGCATCTGTTCCACGTATAAGCGTCTTTCCATGGAGTGGTAAAAACTGTTTTTACATCTATACGGATAACTCTAGGATTGCAATAGGAGGGGGTGGCTCATATTCTTTAACAATTGATGGAGAGTTTTTTAGGGGTTGGTCATCGCCATGTTCAACATATGATTCTCCGTCACTATCAAGCAATGAGGACTTTTTAGTTAATGCATTCCAGGTTTGGACATTAGTAGATGACTATCAATAAAACTTAAAATCACTAATAGAAAATAACTACGATTTAATATTACTTAATTTTGGAAAAGGGTCATTAACTGAAAATACTATAACTTGATGTTCCCAAGAAATGTAACCCTTAATATAGCCCAACTTTATCAGGTTCGCGCAAATGCATGCCATTTCCTGTTGGTCAAACAATTCATCTGACTGCCACTTGAAACCTGCATCGAATACAGAAAAAGTGAGTTTGTTTGGGTCACTCTTTAGGTTCTTATGGCACCAATTGCGAATTCTCCTCATTAAATTTCTATATAAAATAAACTTTACCTTTTCAACACACAGTATAGTCCCGTGATTTATGAATAATGACGAGTATTTCTCAATAGCAGCGTCGAATTGTTTAATATTACCCTGCAATATAGCTTTTGATATCTCAACATAGTGTTCAAGGTTATATTTTTTAAGTAGTGAAATATTAGGGATAAATCCTAGTCTAAGTTTCACAGGTATCAAGCATTCAAGTATATTTCTTTTAAGTTTGTTATTGCTTTTTCCACTATTTCCAAATGCCCAAATTAACTGTTCTTCAGCAAGAATAAATCTATCTTGTTGCATATACAATTTTCCTAGGAAGTAACAAAACAATACCATTGGTCCCTTTGGTACTTTACTTGGGTTAATATTGGATGATTCGATATGTTTCAAAAATGTAGATGCCATCTGCATATTTCTTAATTGCATGCAGCATTTTATACTCTCGGTCATCAAAATTACATACCCAGCTTGTCTATCATCGTCACCTCTGAACTTTCCTATTTGCTGTCTGATTGAATTAAGGACTAAGATTTGATATTTATTTTGATAATCTTCATTTTCATCATCATCAAAATCTCCAGAATTGAGCATTGTATCTGCCCTAATACCTATTTTTGATATCAATATACATGTTGATGATAAAATTGGAACAACCCACTGACAGGGAAATGCCTCTTGATCTCGATATATTTCAATCCAACAATTCAGAATTGCAGTCCCATTCATAAGAATATTAGCCCATTGACAATTTTTTTTCATTAATTCTTTATATAACTCCAAAAAATTCTCAATGGCCACTGAAAGAGGTCCAGAAAAAAGATTTTTTTTATTTTGAAAAGACTTTTGAGTGAGTAATTTGATGTCCTGAGTATAGAAAGAGGAGAGATCGCTTTTAATAAGATTTCTAAAATTCCTTACATTGAATAAATTTGATAGATTTTTTCCATCTCTATTTGAAACAGATAATTGTACGGATGAGATCCACTCCACGGTATTCCTATATTCATTTGAAGAAACCATTCTGTCATTTTATTTATATTTACAAAATGCTGGCGCATTTTTTTTGAGAAAAAATAAGTTTTTAATAAAATACAAAGCAAAGATGTTTCGTCAGAAAACTAATTATTTCAATAAAACAGATTAAGCTGTGAATAAATTCCCAAATTCATATTTATAAATATTTGGAAACATGGATACGAAATTGATCATTTACTAATTTACAATTTAGTACTATGAAAACAAATAAAAGCTTTCATTATTAAAAACATGTATAGGAGTACTAAAAATCAAATAAAATTCCGGAATTAAGTTATGATTTGAAGACAATAATAGAAAAAAAAAATGCAATATAACGAAGTTCAGATTAATTTATTGCATTCTACTTGTTTACGATTAGAAACTGTTCATGCAATTTACCGTATTGCGGTGTTTGTTACGCGCCTAATGTCTAATCTGTCCACATGAAACTGAACAATTGGCCCAACATTATCCGAAATAGTTAATTCGCACTGACCGTAACTTAACAACTTTCTTAAGCAGAACTATTCACATTTTTAATATTCCTAACCATGGATGGTACAACTTCATCAGGAAAGATAGGTGGTAAAGTTGGTGGTAAAGTTGGAGGAAAAGGCAAGGCAGGTTCTGGTAAGGGAAGTAAAAAGCAACCAACTTCAAGAGCAGCTCGTGCAGGACTGCAGTTTCCAGTCGGTCGTATCCAACGTATGCTAAAACATCGTATTCCAGGAGATTGCCGTGTAGGTTCGACAGCATCTGTATACGCAGCCGCTATTTTAGAGTACTTAACTGCTGAAGTACTCGAGTTGGCTGGAAATGCCTCAAAGGACCTCAAAGTAAAGCGTATTACACCTAGACATCTTCAACTGGCAATTAGAGGTGACGAAGAGTTGGACTCTCTTATTAAGGCTACAATTGCAGGTGGTGGTGTAATACCTCACATAGAAAAGTCTTTAATGGGTAAAGCTTTAATAGGGAAAAAAGGCAAGAAGGGTAATATGAGTCCATGAAGTTTATTTACATTTATCGGTAAATTTCAATGAGAGAATAAACTCTTAGATACTTGTTCTAATTAGTTTGTTCCTAGGTTAGTTTGCAATATTACATGAACTCTTCTAAGCCTAGAAAAAGTATTCATTTTCTATTTTGAGAAAAACTATCAAACTTCATTTTTTACTTTGTTTTCTTTGCATCACACCATAATTGTGGACTCTCGCAGTGTTTACATCCATTATAGTAATTTGTTCTCTAATGAAATCTAAGGAGTCCTGGTATAGTTTTATCGTGTTTTTTGCGGTGGAAAGATTACTTTTTAATACTTCCATCGCCTCTTCCAATGAATACTCTAATATGGTGTTTGCCTGAAGAAAGAGTTACATTATCACATTATTCTACAAAAACTTACACCAAGCCAGAGATAAATTGTATTTGATGGGGGAGAAGAACATTTTGCAAATAAATTATCGGCAACAGGAAAGTATAATTCATTCTTATGAAGATTATTTTCCTAAAAAAAAAATATTTTGGAATCTTTAAACAGTAATCAACATACCAGTAGTTTTCTTCTTTGAGAAACTGTTTCCATTGCTAATTCAATATCCGGAATTTTTACAACAAGACACTCTTGCTGGGTTTTTATTGAACTTTCCATAATTTTATACTTCCTATTAAGTAACTGAATGTTTTCCAATATGGTATAAATCGATCTGTCACCAACAAATTCTTCAATTGATGAAATAAATAAAGCTTTGGGAACGTTTCCCGGTCCAACTTCATCCTTAATTATCAGATCAGAAATCATAATGTTCAAGGTATTACAAATAACAATAAATTAGAAAATTTAATTACCTAAGCGCCCATTATTTCTCACAAAATGATTTCTGAGCTTAAAACAAGAAGAAGTAAGGTTATTTCTCTATTTATTCAATGTATGCTTCTTGTAAAAGTAAGTTTCCAGTGGGATAAATGAACTATTTTATTTTAGTTAGGTAACAAGTGTGAAGGATGCGAATAATTTTTTAAATGTATTAAACGTAAGTAATAGTACTTCTCTAAAGAATATTCACAATATCAGGAGAACTTAAGGGGAGGTTTTGAGAATATTTTTGAATTAGTGAATGCCTGTAATGATGAGTTGTGTACCCTTTTGCTGGAAGTTGTCTTTACTAAGAGAGAGAACGGTAACGACTTCATAGGCATTAGGAGCAATATTAATTCTAATATTGATATGGAAAGCGAAAAAAAAGAAAGATTTGGATTTCTAAATCTTGGGCTTAAAAGAATTAAAAATTCTTATGAAATAAAAGGTATGAAATTATATTTAACTTAGAACGATATTAATCAAAATTACAGATATTCTCAAACTAATCACTGAAAAAAGTAAGTAAATATCAAATCATGTTAATCTATAGACTTTTTTAAAGATTATCCCGTTCCATTCGAAGAAATTTGCTCACAGAAGTTTTTTGAAAATTGTTCTGTTGAAGAAAGTAAGTTTAATATTAGCTATTAAAATAATTAAATGTTGTGCTCAAATATTTAGTAAGAAAAACAATTTCCTTTCTTGAAGATGAGAAGTGGATAATTCAAACCAAAGAAGGTATAATAGAAGGGCCAAGGGCATATGTTGAATTAATGATTAAATAAATAATTGAGTGATAAATACAAGTTAATTATCATTTTTCGAAAATGCGGTAGTGTAAAAAATAAAAATTAAAAAAAAAATTTAATATATATTTTTAAATGTAAAAATCCCATTACTTGGAATGGATAACTCTTATACACTTCCTCTTGGAGTCAATTCCAATATTCTACAAACTTCTAAAAAACACAATATTTTTGGAGAGCCACCACCAGATTACGTTCCTGGGAAGGGACGTGGTGCTATCGGATTTGCAAGTGGTGTTAGCAGAGATGATCAAACAATTACAATCGAAGCTGATATTGGTGATTATTCTGATACTAAGTTTGACAAATTTTCCGGCTTTAGTGAATCTCTATTCAATGATGTTAAATATGATGATGATGATCGACAAGCGGATTCAGTTTATGAAATGATCGAGGAAAAATTAAGTGCTAGAAGAAAGAAACAAAAAGAAAGGAAACTTAGAGAGGAAATTCTTAAAGCAAGAGAGCATAGACCGACTCTACAAAAACAGTTTTCAGATCTTAAGAGGTCCTTGGAGAACGTAAAAATTGAAGAATGGGACCAAATTCCTGAGCCAGGAGATTATTATAAAAATAAGAAATCAAAGCTTTTTGTTCCTGTACCTGATAATGTTACGCAATCTTTACACACAAACTTTTTCGAAACTTTAACCAATAAAGATAATTCTCAATTAGAATCAAACACCGAATTTAATAACACATTAAATGAACTGGCCACAGCTAAAGGTAATATCCTTTCTTTGAAACTGGATAAGGCAATGGACAGTGTTTCTGGACAATCCGTAATTGATTCATCAAGTTATCTTAGTTCCCTAAGCACGGCTGGCATTCAATTGAATGGCGATCTCTCTGATATTAAAAAAGCAAGACTTCTACTCAAATCAGTAGTAAATACAAACCCTAAGCACTCACCAGGATGGATAGCAGCAGCTAGGTTCGAAGAGTTTGTAGGTAGGATTTCCCATTCAAGAGAAATTATTGCAAAAGGTTGCGAAATGTGCCCAAAAAATGAAGATATTTGGCTTGAAGCTATTAGACTCGGAAAGCCCGAACAAATAGACAAAATAATTGTAAAAGCTATAAAGTTCATTCCAAATTCAACTAAAGTTTGGATGGTTGCAGCAAATAGAGAAACAAATAAAAATAAAAGATTACTAATAATTAAAAAGGCTCTCGAATTTGTTCCAAATTCAATTAAACTTTGGAAAGAAGCAATCTCACTAGTCAATAATGAATCTGAAAAGACTCTTTTATCAAAGGCTGTAAAGTGTGTCCCTCAATCTGAGGAACTATGGCTGAAATATGCGAGATTAAGTGAATATTTGGATGCCCAAAAAATTTTGAACGAAGCAAGAAAAGTATTGCCAACATGTCCAGGTATATGGGTAGAAGCAGCAAAGTTGGAAGAAAGAAACGGAAAAGTTGAAAAAATTGACTTAATTATTCAACGTTGTATTTCAAATTTATCAGCTAAGAGGTTTGTACATTCAAGAGACGATTGGTTAAGAAAAGCAGGAGAGTGTGAAAAAGAGGGTTATTCAAATACATGTATTGCAATCATAAAAAATACATGGTTTCTTGGAATAAACGATGACTTGATTAATGATCAAGTTTTTTCTGATATAGAAAACTTCATCAAATTAGATAATATTATATCTGCACGTGCTATGTTTGAATCATCTATAGAAATATTCAAATCAAATGAATCATTTTGGATAAAATGGGCTGAATTCGAAGAAAAATATGGAAACTTTGAAAATGTTGATCATGTTCTACAAAAATCACTGATGAATTGTCCTGATAAACAGATACTGTGGTTAAAAGCTGCAAAGAACCAATCGATAAATGGGGATGCTGAAATTGCACGGTTAATCCTATCAAAAGGTTATTCTTCAAACTTAAATGATAAAGAAGAAATAGTATTGGCAGCCGCCAGACTCGAAATTTCTCAAGGTGAGATAGAACGTGCAAGGATTATTCTGGAAAGAGAAAGAAATAACTCTCCCTCAGTACAAATTTGGGTTGAATCAATCAAGCTTGAATATGAACAAAAAAACTTTGATTTATGTATATTATATTGTTCTGATTCCATAAAAGAATATCCAAATTCTTCAACTTTATGGCATTTGTATGGATTCATTCATCGCAAGGCCTTTCCAGATCTTATCAATGAAACTTTGAAAATATATGAGGATGGATTAAATCGTTGTGACGATTCATTGGAATTATGTTTTTCCACTATAGACTTATTAACATCCGTACAAAATTGGAAAAAAGCAAGAACATTTCTCGATCTAGCCCATTCAAAAAACAAGAATCAACCAGAATTATGGATGCAGAAGATTAAATTAGAAAAAAATGCAGGTAATCATAATTTCATCCCACAAATTTTATCCAAAGGATTAAAAGAGTGCCCAAAGTCTGGTTTATTGTATGCAGAAACTATTTTTTCTGAACCTAAACAAAAACAAAAATCCAAATCATTAGTTGCTTTAGAACAATGCGAAAATGACCCCTATGTACTAGCTGCCATTGCAATATTATTTTGGAAGGAAAAGGATTTTCAGAAGTCAAGAAAATGGTTTAAAAATGCGCTTGAAACTGATAATAAGATAGGTGATACATGGATACATTACATTGCATTCGAATTATTAAATGGGGATTGTGAATCTCAAAAAGACGCTATAAATAATTTTATTAACGCTGCTCCAAATAAAGGATTTGAATGGGATAATGTTAGGAGAACTAATTTTTTTTGGGATCAGAAATGTAATGAAATATTAATCATTTCTTTAGAATTAATTTATGGTATAAACAAATCTTTTGTTATTTCAAATGAAATCAGAAAACTTTTAGGATTTATTTAATTTATTTCTTTATATTTCCAAATTTACATTAGTTAATGTGGTAAATTCCAAACCTGATTTTTTTTCGTTTTTTTAGAAAAGGTTTGGTAAATTACAAAGTCATTTTTCAAATTTGTTTAAAAAATCTATTGAATATTTAATTGCTTCAAAGAAAGTAATTATTATTTAGATATAGATTCGAATTAGAAAACTTTAGTCGTGAAATAAAAAAAATTTCCTGATTAATTTTTTCACGGGCATGCAAAAAACAAGTGAACAAAGCGAATTATTTGATTATTATGGACAAATCTTTCTGAACTACAATAATGTATCTAACAAAAAAAAAATCTCGGATTCAGGAAATTTTTCCAACATGAAATATAAAATTGATCAAAAAACATTTGAAAAAAACTCAAGTGCTACAAAAAGTTGTCAGTGCATTATTAACACGGATAAAATAATTGAAGAACTAGAGTTAAAAAGTTACTTGGACTTCGAAAAAAAAACTTGTTGCCGTGATTATTGTAAAATAAATGGAAATAATATTAGTTTTGATGAAAAATTCAATGGCTGGTCAAGATATCCTTTAAAAATAAGTAAATTTGAAGAAGAAAACGTTAAAAATTGGGACCTTTCTTACCATGGGACAACTCATAAAGCAATAAAAAATATATTAAAAGAGAAAAAGTTAGTAATTCCAAATAATAAAACTGTTCATATTCGAAAAGGACATATCCCAAACCAGTTTTTTATTTTTACTTCACCATCACTTTTATATGCAAGCTTTGGACTGTACTCTGCACCATTTAAAATAAAGGAGTGCCAAAAATGGTGGCAAATTGTCGTTGAAATTGTTCAAAAACCTAATTCTTATGTTAAAGAGTGGGAAACTAGTGGATTAGGTAGTTATGAATTTGACAAATATATAGGAAATAATGAGCTTGAATGGAAATCCAATCAAGAAAACAAGAATTTAATTAAAGCAGTTTTAGTGAGAGAAATAAAAAATATAGAACCTCCTATTTGCCAATATCCTGTGGGAACATATTTTTTGCATGATGATAAATGGTGGTATCAACCTTATGATGGAAATACTCCTTTTTGTCCTAATGAAATATCTTCTAATTGTAATTGTTATTTGAAGAGAGGATCCCGAATTAAAGGGAGCATTTGTCCAATAGTTAATTTTAGATTTAGTCAATTAAAGAAAAAACAAATCTATACATCAATAGAAAAATACTTGAGATCATTTCAAATGTTGAAACCTAATGAAAATAAATCAATTAGTAATTTCGAAAAAGGTCTATCGCAGAAAATCCTTATTAAAATGAATCAAAACTATATTTAAATATTATTTTACTAATATCTAAAAAATATATTTACCAAACTAACGATTCTTTTTGGCATAGTTTGATTTCATCTTCATTTACAAACTTTTTTATAAGATTAGAATATGAAACGATGCTTGTATGACCATCTGACCAAGTAATAGTAATAGCATATGAACCCATAGTTTCAAGTTGGTCAATCATTAATGTAGATGGGTCATATATTTCCTTGAATTGATTCTTCCCTGGTTCATAGCATATAGCACATCTACATAGTTGCCTAATTTCACTATATGAAACATTAAATCTAGTTAATTGATTCACTTTTTTATCTTGAAAAAAAATTTCTTTAATATCTTTTGGTATTTGGCAATTAACTATCTTTCTATCGTTATCAAATTCAAAATTAGGTTTATAATCACTGTATCTATTTTTCGATAATTTCCTTGCTATAAATTCTGATAGTTTTACAAACTCCAAATATATGTTATCATTTTTGTTTGCAACAATGACATATGGAAAATCAGCTTCATTTAAATTAGAATAAAATTTACACTTTGAAAGTCCCGAAAATAAAGGAAAATTAAAGTTGCATTCAAGACCATATTTTTCAGTAATTAGAGAAAAATCACCTCTGGAGAATATCTCATGTTTTTTTTCACATCCATCACAAATAAAGTAAGACATATTTTCAACAACTGTTAGAATTGGAATATTCAATTTATCAAATAGATTTATTCCTCTTTCTACATCTGCAATACTTAAATCTTGGGGGGTTGTAATTATTATTGCTCCATCAATGGCTATTGTTTGCGCAATTGAAAGTTGAATATCACCTGTGCCTGGAGGAAGATCAAGGACTAAGTAGTCAAGGTCGTCCCAGACCGTTCCAGTAATTAATTGCGTAACAATTGACCCTGCAATTGGTCCTCTTAAAATATTTGAAACCTTACTAGTACCATTTGTATGTTTCTTTGCATTGAGTAAATATGAATAGCTAATTAATTGTACACCTTTATAGACAAGTGGGACAAAACCTTCTCTTGAATCATGATTTGTTAATTTTAAACTATTAGTCTTCGAAAGACCCCTTTTGTTTACGTTGGTCTTTATTTCTTCTATCTCATTACTCGGTTTTTTATAAAATACAGTGTTTTCTTCCAAAGGAATAAGTTGTTCAAGATTTGGCCCATATAAATCACAATCTACTAAACCAACTTTTGCCCCCAACTGGCTTAGAGTGAATGCGATATTTACAGAAATGGTGGATTTACCAACACCACCTTTGCAGCTACTAACTGCAATTATATTAGATACATTTTCGAGATTCTCATGTATTTTTTCTTTGGAAATAAGTTCATTTTTTTTTTTAGGTCTGGAGGTAAATTTTATATCAACTTCTTTCACATAACTTCTTTCACTTTTAATAATTTCAATACAGCTTCTTTCAAAAGAATCTTTTAATGGACAAATTGGTGTAGTCAATTCCAGAGTGAATGATACTTTAGATGATTCTGGGTCAAAAGATAAATCTTTAACGAATCCACAGCTAACAATGTCTTTATTTAAGTCAGGATCAACAACCTTTTCAAGAGATAACAAAATTTCGTTGTTTTTGTCTTCGATTGAAGACTTTTTGTTATTTTTTGCTTCTTCAATTATAATATTTACTGTATTGACCCATCCTATTTCTAACAACTCTTTTTTTATATTATCATTTTTTTTAATGTCACTTAATAAAATAATATTCACTATTCCACGGCAATAATCATAGCTATAGTCTTTCACAATCTTCTGGTCAATGATATTTGTTAATTCGTTTTCATGAATATTATTTGAATCTATTTGCTCGAAAGAAATATTTTTCAATTGTCTAATAATCTAAAAAAAATAAAACTAGGCATTGCTATTAGATAAATAACTTACCTGATCATTCAGATCCATCTCAGTGTCTGAGATATCTGAACATTCTGATAACATCTTCACTATTTGTTAAATTATTTTGTTTGACATTTAACTTTCAATTAGAGCAATGTGAGCGGCAACTAAGACTTTGGTAGTAATTTTCTTTAATAAATTTTATTATTACCTCTAAATCGTCAATAAGACCAGAGTAATCTACAGATGAACGGTGGAGTTCCAATTCTTTTTCGATCATATCAATGTAATTTCTAATTTTTGATGGTAATAATTCTGGATCATTGATATATTCACTGCTCGCATTTTGTTTGAATATATTAAAAATAATGAACAAATCTGTATCTGATTCACATGTTGGACATTTATTAAACTTAATAAATAATAAATAACCCAATATTCTTGATAATTGAGAATCCGAAATCCTTGAATGTTCAACGAAAGTTTTGAGTAAGAAATTGTTTGATTTGTTTAAGATATAAAATATTCTATTCAGAATATGGACTGTAAATAATAAATTATCTAGATCGTAGATAGATCTCCATATTATCTCACTGTTATTTGATTCTTTATCTTTTGTGTTACCCGAAAAATCAATAGCTTCTCTAATCGATTTTATATCTGAAAAAAGAATCCTTCGAAAATCTTGTATCATTTTAACATCATTCAATAAAAGGTTTTTTATGGTTTGATCAGAAATAAAATTTGAGACAATCGACTGAAGAGAAACGATTTCTTCAGCTATTTCAAAACAGCTCTCTTCATCTAATTCACTCTTTAAAGTAAAATTTACCAAAACAATGATAATAATATTTCTGCATAATAGTACATAACATTTACTCCAATAATCATGATTATAGAGAAGGGGAGCCCAGTTATGAAAGAAGTTTGTTACTATTTCTTGTGAAAGTGTAAGGAAGTTTTCTCCAATTTTTGATTTATCACTTTCGAACATTGAGCTGGTTTTTTTCTTATCGTAATAAGAAATAATCAATTCTAGAATCGCTGAGGACGTTTGAGAAAACCACTTCCCAGATGATTTGTATTGTAGAGACTTAAGTAATTCAATCATTCGATCCCTCCCAACCATATCAATATTATTTATAAATTCAATTTCGTAAATTTTCTTGATTTCACTCGACAAAATTGCTGCAATTATAGAAATATTTGCATTTACGTTGTGCGATTTTGTTGGCAATGGTAATCTTTTTTTAAGACTTGTATTAGTAATTTCAATTGCGAAATTTGGATTTGATTGATCTTCAGTTTTTTCTAAATAAGTAATTATTCCCCCTTCAGGTTGAATAATTGTTTCACAAGTCACCATAAAACACAATAGTTCATTTTTAAAAATATCATAAACTTGATGAGAAATTTCATTACAAGAACTTGCTCTCTGAATTTCCTTAATTATTTCTTGAATAATATCTGATATCCTACTGCTTAATTTTTCATATGAATCTGATAAAATACTTTTTTTTGGAATTATAGATTCAAACAATTTACTAAATCTATCCTTTATTGAAAACAGATATGTTTCTCTAATTTTTGAAATACTGTTCAATATATTTTTACCATTAACAATCGTGTTAGCTATAACCTTTGATGAAGAAGAGGAGATCAATGCTTTAATATTTTTTGTTGCCATGTTAAACATATTTGAAATATCAGGGTAACAGTTAATTAACAAATGAAATAATTGCTCGAGCTTTAAAGACATATTGATGATAATTTCTTTTCCAAAAGAAATTTGATGGATGTTTGGATTCTTAGAATTAATAGAATAAATATTATTAAACACACTTTCAAAAAACAGTAAGGACTTTTCCCAGAATAAATTTACAAAATTCATTTGATTCATTCCTTGACTATTAATTTTATTTTCAACTAATGTATCATAAATACAGATTAGTTGCTTAAGACCAAATATTACTTGATTCAGAGCGTTTTCTATTACTTTTAGTATAGAAAAAGTAGCGTATTCTATACTTACTGCAAGAACTTGATCCATTTTGTCCGTTGTTTCAATACATTTTTGTAAGTTAGAGACTTGAAATGTGTGATTTAGCCTTTTCAATATTACGTCTTCAACAATTATATCAATATGTTCCCATAATTCACCAAATTGATCTAAAATTATGCAACTTGAATAAATTGCAGCACTATCCATTTCTTCGATTCCTTTTAAAAGTTTTTTATGGCCATTTTGCCTATAAATTGCACTAAGCTTGCGTAACCATTTAATATCTTCTTGGAGTACTTCGAGGAATTCAAGACTTGAAACTATTGAATTATTTACTTTTTTTTCGTTATTTTCTGACTCAATAACATTCTCTTCTTTGAAATAAATCATGCTTTCTAATTCAACAATTATTTTACTTGTTTTGAAAATATCAACTGAATCAGGAATACCATTTTGGAACTGCATAAAAAAAGTGTTATATTGTTCTTCATTATCAGGTTTTTTTTTTATCCCGAACTGAATCTTTAATTTTGAGATTAATGAAATGAACTCAATTGTTCGATTACAAAGGTTCTGTATTTGAAGAATACGTTTTGAAATCAACATGTTATCTTTAATACTATCATATTTCTGAATAATAGGTATTGTATCGATTCCAATAGAATTTTTATATTTCGAAAAATATTCTCCGATAGTTTTTGAACATTCTTCTAATTTTATAATGTCATTACACATTCTTTGAATTGTACTTATTTGTCCTAACTCAACGATCTGTTTTTCTAGTTGTTCATTAACATATTTAGTTGAGATTTCAAAATTCTCAATACACTTTGAAACATGCTTCGAACCCCTTAGAATGCAACTTCTGACAAATATTGTGGGGTCCGTTAATTCTTCAATAAGCTTATTTGTCAAATTCTCTGACAAATCTTCACCACTCTGCATATTTTTTTTTAAAGTGATTTGGAAAGCTATTCTTTATTATATGAACTTTTATGTTATAAATGAGTTAATTAATATCAATAAGTGACCACCATTTATTAAATTATATTATTTTTAGTGTTAATTGTGAATTATTTTACCCTGAATTTGGAAGGCGCATGACAAAAGAGGTACAAAAAGGTCTCATTAAGTAATAATTAATTAATTTCTAAAGAACAATATAAAATAGAAATAAACATGCAAAAACAACTTCCTTATTTTGGATATGGAAAGAAGGTGGCTTCCATGTTATTGCTTTCTGTTTTTGTCTGGATTTGTGGCTTGTTTTATTTTGGTCTAGATTTGAAAAGTAACACTAGTGTTTACTGGTTGATGGTAAGTAGAACAATATTGAAGTAAAATTCATTTACAAAACTTCTCAGTCTCCATTTATTTGTTTGTTAGGTTTTGGGTTATACTCGATGATATCTATTTCAATTTCATTACTTCAGTTTTCAGATGTTACAAATGGAAAGGCTGATCTAGCAGAAGACATTTTGAGAGCTCAATCTAATTTAGAAAGGAGAGGATTCAAACTAGATTAAATATTCCTAGGCTACATATCTTAATTATTGATTTTAGAAACTATTTTTTCTAATTCGACCCATTTAATAATTTACATTGGCGCAATGTTTTCATTCAAATAATTATGATTCTTGAATTATCTGATTACTTAAAGGAAGTGGTTTATAAAGGAATAAATTTGCTGATAGATGTAAGTTCAGAAAATGAATGATATGCCAGTCTAGTGTTTAATTTTTTTAGGATTTAAAATTAAAAATACCGAGTAATGTAGTTTTAAATGAACAAATACATATAGTTGCTCCAAAACGAAAGGAATACGGTGACTTGTCGAGTAATATAATAATAAAATTGGAGAGATGGTTAAAATTGGCATATGATCCTAATGAATTTGAATTAAATAAAGAAAATTTAAGTGCCGATTTTTTATCAGACAAGTTCGTTCAAATAATTGATTCTTTAGTCACAAAAGATGTTAATCAAGCAGAAAACTCAAGCGTTTATTTATTTGAAGGCAACCCTGGTTCGAATAATACCGACTTAAAATTTAAAATAGAAAAAAGAAGCAGAGGATTCATTAATTTTCATATTATATCAGATAAATGTAATCAAAAAATAGTTGAAGATCTAATAATAACAAAAAATGACATTCAATTTTTTCCAATACGGACTATTGGTCATTGCTATAGCTGTTGGACGGAGAAGTTTGGCATCCCAAGACAATCTGTATTAGTTCCAAGTTCGCGGGGAGTAATCCAATTATTGCCTGAATTCAATTCGGATTTCATTTATGGTTTAGATGATTTTAGTCACTTGTGGATCATATTTATTTTTGATGATGTAACTCAAGATACTTCGATCAATTCAAAAATAAGACCTCCTAGAATGAATGGCAAATCAACTGGGGTATACTCAACTAGGTCACCACATAGAATAAATAGAATAGGAATTTCTAATGTGAAAATTGAATCAATTTCCGGAAATCGAATATATATATCTGGAGTAGATTTACTTAATGGGACACCAATTATTGATATTAAACCTTATCATATATGCGATATTATTGATAGGGGACAATTAATATGCCCTGAATGGGTCACTGATAACCTTGAGGGCGAGTTTAAAGTTACCATCCCAGATAAAATTTTAGATAAACTAGAGAAAATAACAGAGAAAAGTGATTTAATACCTGAAGAAAAAATTGAAATGCAGGAAAAAAAGCTTATTCGTCTAAGGTCTTTCGGAGGTGAATGGCCATTCATATTTTTCAAATCACAGGTTGAATTTTTTGAAACATTGAAACAATCTTTATCTTATGATGTAAGATGCAGACAAAGAAAAGTTAATGAGGTAAGTAGATTTATTTCAAAATGTTATCGATTAATATTCAAATTTCAGTATGGTGGGATATATCAGATTAGACTAGATTCATTTGAAATACATTATAAAATTAGTGAAAAATCAAAAATGATTGAATTGACCAATATTGACCTAATCGTAGTGTAACTGAATATTTCTTCGTTTTTTTTGTAATTTTTGCATAAGCTGGCGCCAACATTTGTGATTTACTACACAGTTGTATTAATTATTCATATAATCATGCAAATGAATTCAATAGTTGATCTAACACATCTTTATTTGAGATTTAAGGCTGAATATAAAAAAAGGGTCAATCTTTTTGGTCTATTCAGTAACAATTCATCATCTTCAATAGATAAAGGTAATAATTTGTGATTAAAAACGAAAAATATTTTTACAGTTTATTGATTTTCAGATTTAAAAAAATTCGTTAAAGAAGCTGGTAGAAGTGATAATACTATTATTGAAATGAAAAGTAAAGTTTTGCCACCTTTTTGGGTTGACTTACATGTTGAAGCACAAGAAGAGTTGGCAAGAGCAAAAGAATTGATATCAATTTTACAAAAAACTCAACAAAAAAGACTTTTATGTGTTTTAAAGGACAATACAATGGAAAAATCTGAGATTGAGGTAGAATCATTAACATTTTCGATTTGTGATTCATTTAAGCGTATTGAAAAGCTTGTTCAATCAATTTCAAATTCATCTGCTGTTAACAAAGAATTTGATCCTCTTTGTAATAGAAGCTCAATTAACTGTGATATCTTGAGGAGAAATGCAGAAATAAGTATTGTAAATGAGCTAAATCCTTTATCTCAACATTTCAAAAATATACAAAAAAGTTATATGTCAGAATTACAAAAGAATTATATTTGTTTAGATGGTAATCAAATAAATTATGAAGATTCTCAGGTAAGCGAATCTTAACCCAGTAAAAATATTTTATAGTTGCTTTAGAAATACAATCAAAGTAAAGAATTGGTGCTCACTGATTTAGACGACTTTAATATAGAAGTAAGTTGTGATAATATAAAAGAACAATTTACTTTAATTTTTATAGGAAATTGCAAAAATAACGAGAAGTATTGCAGAGCTTAATTCAATTTTCAAGGAAATGTCTTCTATGGTTGTTGAACAAGGCTCTCTAGTAGATAGAATAGATTTTAATATTAACAATGCGTTGCTAAGGGTAGAAAACGCACACCAACAAATTTCAAAAGCAGAAAAAAACATTAAAAACAAGATTTTTTCGAAATTAATACAATTTTTGATAGTTTGTATATCAATTGAAATATTCATTATTTTTCTCAAATTATTATTTTAATAACTGGTGTTTCTTATTTTAATCATTTATATTTTTATTCATGATTATTTTATTCAAACTCATTTTGAAGATTGTGTGGCGGCCACTTGCAATATGCAGATTATGTGTTAAATACGTTAGTCATGTAATATTTTTTTTACAATTATAATAAATAATTCATATTTCACTATAATATTTACCATTTTAAGGACTAACTTATTATTTCAAATAGTTTTGAAATATTAAACTAAGTTTTAAAACTTTAATAGCTTTTTAATATATATTTATTTTAATAAAAGAAATTTACTTTAAAAAACAGATAAACCACAAATAATAAGAAATTAGAACAAAAATAGTTTTAATTTAAAGAGAATTAAAAGCCAATTATATTATTCTGAAATATTCACAATGGACTCTGGTGTTTCAGAGAATAATTTGTTTTTACCTGAATTAATTAATATGATGGGGCCTTTACTTAGTGGAACACTATTTCCTTACAATAATAATACAGAGAAAGCAAACGCAAATGCGCTTTTTAATTCAATTAAAGAAAAAAGTAAAGTATTAACAAATTGCTTTTCAAGTGCTCCTTCATGCCATGTAAACAATTTTTTAATGAGTTTTGAAGATGAAAATCCACAAATTTATTTAGATAATAAACAATTTGTTTTGAGTTTCAACAAAAGAGATGACCCAAATTCATGGTTATCTTCAGACAATAACTCAAATTGCAGTTCAAAAAAACATATATTAATAAGTGACTTAATAAAAGAAATTCAGGACGATGATAACCATTGGCTTGGAGAGGTACTCCATTTAGAATCTAAAAGGATTCAGAATAGAGTAAACGAATGTAAAATGAGATACGGTGCAATTTTAAATTTTTTGATCGCAAATTCATCTGCGATTCCGATTCTCGTAAAAAACAAAAATAGAAAAATTAACGCATTAAATACCTGTAAAAACGCTTATCAGAGCGAATACTGCTACAAATTAGAAAAATAATCAAAACTAATTAAGAATAGAATTGATTAAAGTTTAATAAGGATTATTTTATTGAGATAAATCTAACTAAAATTAGAATTGTATCCTAATTAATTATTTAAAATTCAAAATACTAATGTTATAATATATTCATTCCGGAAGAGAGCCACCGTAAAATAACTTTATTCTTTGCATTACGGAATCTTTGGCTGCGTCGTATGGTTTGTCTTTACTTGGAACTTCCAAAATTGTTGGAATAATCTTGTCGTGAGTATTAACAAGGTATCGAATCTCTTCAGCAATAGTTTGATTAATCATCAATATTCCACAATCTGGCTGACTTGTAAAGTCCTTAAATGTTTCCTCAATTTGAGCTTGAGGAGTTTTTGAATCAACTATTAAAAAATTCGTTTTTCCTTGAGGATCTCTGGATCCGATGCCTGTTAACAGAAATCCAGCAACTGTATCTTCATCTCCAATAACGTATACCTTCAGGTTATGCAATGTATTGCCTCTCTGACCTGACATTTTGTTTCAAAACGATTTATTTCTATTAATATATAGAGTAAAACAAAAAGAGATGCAATACGCCTTAGCGCCAAGCCTGTAAAACTGAAACAAATATGTTCCTCTAAAAAATAACAGAATAAAAACTATCGCAATTCAAACAATATAATATTACAAATATACTTTAAGTAATTCATATGACTATTTATATTTATTTATTTTATATTGCATTTATATGTTAGGTTTTTAGTATGTAATTATGTATTGCAGTAGTGCAGTTGAATGATTCAAAAAAAAATATTTAAGAACCTTTTAATAGACTCAAATGATCTATTGTTCACTTATAATGTAATTCGAGAATATTTATAGAGAAATTCAAGCATCATTACAATAAATTTGTTTTTTTGTGCATAATACATATTGCTGTGAGGTTATCACAGTTTGTATTTCTATTTCGCGTTTCTTCAAGTACTGCGTTTACAAGGTATCTTGCTGGCTGTATTCCAAGCTCTTGTGAATAAAAAGATAAGTCGCAACTTTGTTGGGCAGATAATACATCCCAAATTCCGTCGGTTGCAATGATAAATAATCTATTGTTCTGATTTAAACAAATAGTAGAAATATCTGGAACACAACTGAGCCCATATGGTTTAAGGTCTTTACCTCCAAATGCTCTTGAATATTGTAATTGCATTGGAGTTTCACCTCTTGCTCTTCTCCTGGTGAAGTCTCCGCCCCTAAGAAATGGTTTGTTGTTGTGATTTTGTAAATATTCAACAGAACCACCGTTTTCTATAATTCTTCGATACTCAAGTGGTTGATCTGGTTTATGGTCAATAGTTAAGAACTGTGCTAAATTAATAGAGTTTGAATAGGTACATGCGACAGAACGTGAGTCACCTATATGTGCATTTACAAGTATGTCTTTAATGAAGAGTAGCACAACTCCTGTACAAGAAGAGTAATGTTTCTCCTCGGCTTTACACCTCTCAATAAGTATACTGTCCGCTTTTTTAAATGTGGTTATCATCAAATCTCTCAGAATATTATTAAACTCATCCGTTAATTTTAATTCCCCTTTTTCTATATGTTCAACAATTAACTTCCTGAATTAAATGGAAATTGAAGTAGATCAATTAAAATAATATTTTGAGCGATTTAACTTACCATGTTGGAGTACTTAGCATAGCAGGGACTATTATGTCCTTCACGTTATTTGATGCAAATTCACCTGTGTAATGTTTAATTATAAACGACTGTGAACATGCAAATTTAAAAAACTTACCTACTGTACCATCAAACACACCAAAAAAACAGACATCTTCGTGCCCATTTACGAGTTTGTTACATATGCAAAAACGGTCCTCCTGAGTTTTTCTACTTCCTGTTATTTAATTCGATGAATTATTATTAATAGAAATATTATGAGTAATACTTGCCTATATTTTGGTCAACAGTGACCTCATAATTTCCAAATACCCACGGAGCATCAAACAAATCTGTACACACAGGTAAATTTTCTGGCATTTCTTTCTATTGCATTCAAATAATAAGATGTATATCTCTTCCTACTATATTTTGAAAAGCCAATAATATTCAGAATTACCGCAATATTGCCTCATTTGTGGTAAGCACTAATTTTTCCCTCACCTTTTTTCTCTATCCCCACCATTGAAAATACATCAGTATACCCCCATAAAAATATTGGAAATATTTAATTGAATAACTTCTATATCAGAATTTATGAGAAATTCAACAATAATGACATTAGTATTTAGGAAATAAATTCAATTAAGACTTTTTTTTGTGTTTAGCCAAGTATGGTTGAAATATATGGGGTTTTCATGATATAAACAAGGTAAAATTGCCTTATACTATCCAATGTGCTGATCAATCCGATAAATTTTAATAAATTAGAAATCAATGTGTTTTCATAATTCCTTTAATCTTTAAATATTCGAATGAGTCGGTTTTCTATGTATTGTAAATAAAGAAGTAATTTCATTAAATAATATTTTAATGATTATTCAGGATCGGGTTGACAAATAGAGGTGTATATTAATGCTAGATTTTAAAATATTAGTAGGAAATAATAGACGATTCGTCAGTTTGTATACAAAAAAAAATGATCATCTACATGTGTTTAGGTCATCAAAAAAATGAACTTTGGCGGGATCTGCTGATTTTTATAAAATATTTTCGAATACGCAAGGTAAAGAAATATTCAAAATTATTTATAAGTGGGATTCAAAGAAAGGGTAAAATAATTAATGAGGCTTCCAAGGAGGAAGTTTAGCACCTTTTGGAAAGTTTTATTGGGGAATGTTTTTTTAATAATACTATGCTTATCGAATGTATATTCAACATGGAATTTAGAATGGCTACATTCCAAAATGCCATTTAAATCAAATGTTCCAAGTATAAATAGTGCAGACAAATTGAATTTTCCCGAAATTTCTGGCAGGATTAAAAGTTTTGTGGACTTTAATGGTGATAAATTTACTGATTTGATAATATTTAACGAACAAGAGAAAAAAATTAAAGTATTATTGTGGAACAATACTGAAGGAGAGTTTTATAATGGCCCCATGGTAAATTTTGAGGACAAATTAGCATCCATAATAGCTACAGACTGGACAGGAAATGGTAAAATAGATATTATGGCAACTTTTTATAAAGAACGGAAAACTCATGGTAATAAGCACGACAAAATTGGATTAATGTTATTTTCTTACAACCCTGAAAGTATGGAACTAGAAAAGGTATGGTTTTCACAGGACGGTGATTTTTCAGTGGTTGATCCTTTAGCAATTGACATTAATGGAGATGGAATGTTGGATCTATTGGGTGAGTCAGAGAATGGGAAAAGATTCATTTGGGTAAATGAGAATAACATCGATTCTGTTTTAGATCAAAAAAGTTATAACCATGGCAGCTCACTTGATTACATATTTTTTAAAAAGTATGAATGGGGAAGTGAGATTAGTCAATGGGTAGATCTAGAATCGTCAAATTATAGCTATGGCCGCTTAGTTGAAAATCATTCTTCCGCATTCGTAGATATGGATGGAGATTGCAGATCAGATTTAGTTCTTGAAGTTTATTATGAAGACTCAAATGGAGACTATAATCATCCTGGCTCTCCAGTTAGAAAGGGTTTGGAAATCTGGACGAACGAAATAGTTGGAGATATATCCGTGTTCAGAAGATATTTTCATAATACCCATCAAAAAAACAATAAATTAGGTTTGACACTATTACCAATTGGTGCTTTGAGTATTTCATACTCAGATTTTAATAGAGATGGAACTACGGATCTTATCGTACCTGTTTGCCACCTAGGCAGTTTTGGGTGTGAGTCGAAAAGCCGTTTAGTTTTTGTACCTAATATACATGAATATAAAGACTGTACTAGTACAAACCAGTTTGGCTTTTCTATATATAAAAGTAATATAAAGGAAAATGATAGTGAATTTACTATTAAGTGCAGGAGCCCGAGTATGTATTGTTCTGCATCTCCATTTAAAATTCACAGCTTTACGGATGATGACATTAATCTTATTTTTCAGGAACTCGAATCTTATGATACTAATAAAAATACCGTTGGATTTTTTTCATCTTTATTCGGAGGAAAGAAGGTTGAAAGCCATTCTATGGGTTCAATTTTTAATGATTTTACAGTTTCTGTGATTTCAGATAATATTATTGATGATAATACTACTTTAGAGAAGATAAGTGGCCAATATACTACTGGAAGTGCATTGGAGAATTTTCAGATAAACAATATGGCCAACCAAGTTGCATCTTTTTTTTCGTTTTTTCCTAGTAATAAAGGCGTTAAAGAAACCATTATGCAGTGGGCTACAAACAGAAATGATCAGCTAGAAATAAATGTAGGAGATTTTAATTTGGATGGGTATCCGGATATACTTGCAATATTAAAGTTCGGAAATGGCACAAGGCAAACAAAACTTATAGAGAATTTACCCATTGAAAAAACAATGGTTATTAACAAAACAAATGAATTAATAGGTCAGTTTAATTCCAAAGAACACAACTTAGATGCCAGTAATTCCAATGTTACAAGTTCAAAAGAAAAAAACAAACTCCATGAAATATTATTTAAAATTTTCAAGTCTGCATTTCGATTTTTATCTAAGTTTGTAACAAATAATGACATCATCCAAAGTGGAGATCCTCTTTACAGAAGATTTGCAGTTTCAAGTTCTGTATCAACTTTTACAAATTTTTCTGTTGATTATGCAGCATTTTATGACTTTTTTGAGGATGGTAATTTGGATATTATTTCAGTTTCTTATCCAGAAAAAAGTGGTAAATCTAAAGTTTCATTGAATATTGCCTCCCCAGACAATCCAAATCTTTTTGTTAAAGTTTCCGTATTGAATTTTCCCGTGATCTCAAAATCGTTTCACGGAGATACAAAAAAAACAGGAACTACTTTTTTTGGAGCCACTGTCAAAATTAGAATGACTGGATTAGTGGGCGACGACATTTTAATGACAGCAACGCAAATGTCTCATTCTACCGGAAAAATCCTTCAGACCCCTTTCGTATTATTTGGATTGGGGAAAACAAACAATTATATAGAAGAATTATATGTAGGAACAAACTATATTAATAGAAAGTTGCTTTCAGGAAGTAATTCAATTTTAGAATATAGACAACTGTTTAGTGATGGAATAACAAAATGGAATGATCGAAGTTCTCAATTTACATACACTAATATTTGGACGGGCCTTATTCCAAACACTCAAATCATTGCCCAGCTTAATCCTTTAGATACTCCAAATTATTGGACACTCGTTCTTTCAGTTAGTCCTCAAAAGACTATAAGAGGTGTTTTAATTGTATGCGCCCTAGCACTACTCATTATCGGTATAATTATAATTATATTAGACAGAAAAGAAAAGGCTGAAGATTTGAAAGAACATCAAGGCTTCAAAAGTAACTTCATTTCCGCATAAATTGTTTTCCATATACATTTCATAAATTCTATTGAGATCATTACTTTCGAAAAGTAATTTCTTCATGTGTATAATTTTAAGGTTAAAATGTCAAATTTAACATACATTAAAACGCAGATTTTTTTTTTTTTATCTAGTATTTTCTATATTGTCTTGTTTTCAAACAATCTAACTAATAATTAATTATTTTACTTTTTATTCTAAAATAAACTGTATCAAATTGATTTTTATCACTTATTTTGATTTACACTTTAGAGAATTTTTGAATTTTTTCGTTATTACGAATCTACTAGCTTGATCCTAGTTATCCACGAAAACCAGAAATCCTCATAAAATAAATGGATTAGTATATTGAAGAATGATTTACTAATACTTTGATATTTCAATAAAAGAAGTTAATTATTGGAAAGAATCGTTTTCTTTTTACAAAAAAAAAGATAAATATTGAAACTGTAATTTTGTTTAATTTCTATTCTCAGTAAACTTTTCCATTGCAAATAGAAGAGGTTAATATAATTTGCTGTTTTTTAGACAGCTAAAATAATCTAATTTTTTTTTGGATTTGGAGTTAGGAAAAGGAGCTGAGAAAAAAAATCAAATTTAATTAAAGTATCTGTCGATAAGTAAATATTAAGAATAAAAATTTCTGTTAAAAAACAATCTATTTTAGAATTTGAGAATATTAACCAATTTTTTCGAACTGGGGCTCATTATTGGAACAAAGTTTTTGTATCATTTTACAGAATTCCTCAAAATCTACATCGCCATCATTATTAGAATCTATTCCAGATATCATTTCTTTCCATGTTTTGCTTTCTAAGCGTTCTAATCCAAAAATTGAAGCAAGTTCATCAATACTAATTTTACCATTCCCATCCTGATCAAATTTTTGAAAAGCTGACTCGAGTTTGTCCTTACTTAAAAGAGATTTCCGATCCATTGCAATGGTAACGAACTCTGAATAATCTATGTAACCATTCCTATCGAAGTCTGCAGCTCCTATGATTGCATCTACTTCATTTTCAATGTGAGGTAAATTAAATATTGCTACTTCTTCCCCAGACAATTTTGAGTATCCATCAATAAGTTCTTGGCGATCAAGTTGTCCGTCACCGTTTTTGTCTATATGCCTAAATATATCTGTTAGCTCTTTTGTTTCTTCTTGGGATGTTAGTTTTGAAGCCATATAAAGTAAAGCTGCTTGTGCAAGCTTTTGGGAATTTTGAAATCTGCGCATATTTTCAATAGCATTAGCAAGACTAGGTAGTTCAATACCAGATTCTTTTTTACTGCACATTTCTTTAATCCATGGGTGTTCTAGTGCTTGCTGAGCGGAGATTCGTCTTTGAGAATCATACTGAAGCATCTGTTTAATTAAATCTTTTGCGCCTTCAGAAACACTTTTCCATTCAGGAGAATCAAATGTATATTTGCCCTTTTCAACTTTTTTGAGTATTTCTTGATCTGTTTGTCCTCCGAATGGAGGATAACCTGCTAACAGAATAAACAAAATTACACCTATCGACCAAACGTCACACTTTTCATCATATTTTTTTCTAAGAACTTCAGGAGCAATATAATATGCAGTACCAAGACGTTCTTTCATTTTTTTCTGGTTTTCAAAAACTGCTGAAAGGCCAAAGTCAACAATTTTAATCATTGCGTCCTTATCCTTCGACTCTAATAAAAGATTTTCTGGCTTTAGATCTCTATGAACTATGTTATGTTTATGTAAATAAGTTACTCCACTTAGCACTTGCCTAATAATGACTGCTGCATCTACTTCATTAAATTTCATTCTATGTATTATTTCATCAAATAACTCTCCACCTTTATAACATTCCATAACAATATAGTAATTTCTTTTATCTTCAAAAAAGTCGTACAACTTCATGATATTCGGATGATCTAGTAATTTTAATACTGCGACTTCTTCTAATAACGTTGAGTTTGAAGAAGTGCTAACTGAAGTTTTTCTAATAATTTTTATGGCTCTTTCCACATGGGTAACTTTATCTCTACATAGTAAAACTTCTCCATATGCCCCAGAGCCTAGTTTTTTAACTCTTTGGTACATTTCTGACAAATGACCCTTTTTCGATGTAATAAACATTCCAGGAGTTGCATGTAAGTCATTTTTAATAGCTACTGGTTTGTTTTCTTCTTTTGTATTTTCCTCACGCTTTCGCGAAATAAATTCAACTTTTCCTTTCGAAGGAGTACAACCCATTTTATTCTATTCAACAGGATTTACAAAAAAAATATTTATCTTTATTCTTTTAATTATTAAAAACTAAGTAAAATAATCAAATGCACAGACTAATGTTCTGGTTATTTTATCCAAATGAATTATTAGCCTTAAATATTAATCTATCAGTTAATTTATATTGTAATAATTATTGCTATCTTTCTTCACATAATTTAATTACCAGACGTGTTCTTTCTAGTTCAGTCCCTAACTTCCCTTTATAGTGTTTTTTCCTAATTTTGTCTATCTTTCTTTAATTGACGTCCAGTTATTTTGCCGATCCTAAAAACAATTTTTGGCCTTGTTTTATGGCTTTATAATTACAAAAAACTATCATAAAAATAGTTGTGCTCCTTGGTTGTGCCAAGATCAAATAATTTGTCGATCAATGGGAAAGTAAACATAACTTCAGTTGTTTTACATGTCTTAATTGGCTTTCGCACTGTCTATTCAGATTTACTTTGCATGGATACCGCCAAAACATGGCCGCCAAAGTATCGGATGGCGGTCAAGCAAACTTATAAAAATATTATTAATGGCGGCAATGTGTGTTTTCTTTGAAAATTTGCATGGCAATATAGTACTCAAAAAGTAATTGATGAAATTACTAGGTGCGATTGATAATCAAATGCTTCATTGCTGATGTCAATACAAGATAACGCGACAGAATATGTAACCGAGCTTTCCAAATATGAGTTTTTTAAGCTCCTTGGTAAAGGATGGAAATATAAAAGTCACAAGGTTTTAGATTTTAGTGGTCAGAGATTTAAGCTAACAACTCTAAGAGGCACATCAAATGGTTTGTTGAACAAATACTTGAATTTAAGTGAAATTGAAACAATAGATCTAAGTAATAATGATTTGGTGAGCTTGGAAGACATTTTTAGTTTAGATGACTCTTTAAGGTTTTATTCTTTGATCAATCTGAATTTGATGGGAAACAAGATTTCAAAATTTGAAAATCCAATCTCTTTGCCATACCTAATTAAGCTTAATATAAGTTCAAACAACTTATCAGAATTACCTGATTTAACATGTTTGGAAAATCTTATGTACCTTAATCTTTCTAATAATAACATTCAAATTAATGGATCTAGAAAAGAAGCTTGGAAAAATATAAGCAAATGTACCAAACTAAGACGGTTGGATTTGTCATATAATAACATAAGCATATCGCCAAGTATCTTGGGAAGGTTAGCTCTAATGTTCAAAAATTCTTTGACGGAATTTTCCATTCAAGGAAACCCATTTTGCAGTATATTCCCGGAATATCAATCATTAATAATTTCCTGTTTACCTAAATTAAAATACTTCAATGGACGCGAATTAACGGATTTACAAAGGAAGAGAAATATGAATTTTAACTTTGACCTTATGGATAACTATGATGATGTTTATGATCTGAGACAAGGAAGCAGATATGATGCTACAAAAATCCTTGAACTTGGGAATATTCGCAGTACTAACTATGGCCGTATTGACATATTAATAGAGTTACTTGAATACTTAATTGATGAGGGGCCATCAATACAACTTTGTGCAAACATTCTTCAAGGGTCAGAAACTATTTATAATGAGACAATGAAACCCTGGACAACAGACTATGGGGGTGATTTAGGTGATATAGATCCTTTTGAAGCAAGAAGGTTTATCAATTTATTCAGCCCTTCTGCAAGATTACCTAGCGATAGAGCAAGAGAAACTGAAAGATTTTTGGAACTTTTTGCACTAGCAATTGATCGGCAGGAAGAAAACCCTATTACTCAAAATTCTGACTTTTGTAAGATTTGGTTATTAACTGCCTTGGTTCGTTTAATTCATATTCCAGCAGGAGGGCTTGCAATTGGAGTTTCCAGACTACTTGGAGGCCTTATGAATAAGAAGGATGTTCAAAGTGAAGTTAGTTATATAATAAGCACACTTGTTTTCCCTGCTCTTAAGGGTCGCCAGTTTTCTGACCCAATAGTGCAAACAGTATTTGCATCTGTATCAATTCTGCCGCACAGTAGGTTATTAGCAATGGCACTAAATGATCACATGGGATTGATATTAAATTATACTTCGTCTTATGTTAGAACAGAGTTTCATAAGCCATTAATGTCTATTTTGGCATTAGTATCACTCTACAAAGACAATGCTATTATTTTATCAGGGTATGGTGTGCCAACGGACCTTGCTGGAACATTGATTACTTTATATTTATATTCAACTCCAGCAAACATAAATAAAGGCGGATTTGGAGAGATGGGAAACCAAGGCCAATCATTAACAGTGAATAGACCAAAAAATGAACCATTTTTTAAATGGTCTTCCACTGAACATATATTGTCCGACCAAGCACTCGATTACATTTCTCGCGAGATTTCGGCATCTGGCCAGCTTGGAAGAGGTGACTCATTTTCAATTCACAAGATAGCTAAATTACTTTCAAAAAAACGTAATAAACAGCAAACCATTTATAAAGGAAAACAAAAGGAAACTCTGAACTTAAACATTCTGCCAGATTTTGTTAAATTTACAGACTTTCAACAAGCATTGATCATCTTCTACTTAAAGATAATTAGAAATTGTTGTTTGGCTTCTGAAAAGGCATCAAAAGCATGCGTTGATCTGGGATTACATTCTAATTTTCTAATGCCAATACTTTCTGAATTTTTATCGAGTGGTCTTACATCAAAGTTTGATGAAAAAACATCAATACTATGTTCAGAGGTTATTCAAACTGTAAACTGTTTTGTTGAATCTAGCAAAGTCGCTTTAATGCAAATGATTGTAAATTTTCATCTTATTGATTGGATGTTAATACCTATCAAAGAAACACCATTTGGTGACCCAGATGTCGTATTTGCCTGTATGAGTACATTGTTAAGTATCTGTAATAGAAGTGAACAAGTTGAGTCGATACAATATACCCCAATTTCCGAAAGTTCATCGTTGATAGGGAAGGCTCTAAATATATATAATGGCAATATACCACTTGGAACTCAATTCCGAATTTTTGGAAATGGTGAATCATTCCAAGTTCTCAACTATATTATCCAACAAATGGATTTTTTAAATCCACAATTAGAGTTTTTAAATGGGAACCAATATTTTAGGGAAATGGTTTCATTTTACAGTTCAAATATTGAGGATTCAAATAGTTCTTTAAAAGATTCACTGGAAATATTAAAAAACGCAAACTCAGATAAAGTCCAAAAGAGTATTCAGGCAATTCTCAATATGATTGTATTTCTCTTTCAGAATAAGACGATAGGAATTTGTTCAAAAGTTATCGAGGAGATATATAGAAGAGGTTATTGTATTCTTTTCATGAGGTTGCTTGAGATTCCGGGTGAATCTGTTCCTATTTCAGCTATTCAAATACTTTCCATGATAGATATTACAGAAATGGATACAATATCTATAAATGAACTATTGAGACTTTTAAAGATTGAGTCACTTAACAAAGATAGCGTAAAGAAAAGTGGAAGTGGAGACGAGCTCGCTTTATCTGAAAGTAAAGACATTACTAGTGCCGAAAATGATCTTGCGTTTAATATTTTGGGGCCTCTTTGGACACATATACTTAATTATATTCGTAGACTGATTAATAACAAGGGTAGTAGTAATTGGTATATTTTCAAAGAAACATTTGCAAAAGATATCGGTCTAATCATCTTTTCAGGTCTCAAATATTCTTGGAATCAGTTTATTTTGAACTCTCCTTTTAAGCTTGTTGTCAATCACTTGAGTAATGTAAATGAAGTTCAGATACAAGATATGTTTTCAATTCTTTCTTCTTCTAGAGTTATAAGAGCATTGTCTAGATATAAAGGTTTTAGAGAATATTTGAGGACCCCTGAAATACAGTCCATATTCGAATATTCTTTGAAAAAAGAAGAAAAATACTTTGCTGCATTTGATCCTGACACTGCATTGGAAATTTCGTGGCCGGGAAGATCAGTAGATATATTATTAGGTACTTTTAAGGGCCAAAACAGACTTTCATCTTCAAAAAAGGTTGCAGTTAGAGTTCTTTGTAGATTGGCTGACGTATTAACTGGGGTATCGGATGAAGAGCTATTTGAGCTCGAAAAGTCGCAGCTTGATTACACATTGCAATTTAAGAAAAAAACTAACTCACTTATTGAAGGGATTTCTACTCTGGAAAGTAATTTTATGAATATTATTTCAAGGGAATCAAGTATGTGGGATTTAACATTGGAGCCTTTTATCGAACAACTTTTATTTTTGGATGAAATGGAATTTTCTGACAAATTAATTCAAGATGAAATGTTTGTTGAGGCTGATGGAATTATTAGAGTTTACCTATTTTTATCAAATTTAATTGATGACGAATTCAGGGACACCAAAGAGAACTCGAATAACTTAATTGAAAGTTTTGACAACAAAAAATCTATTATTTCAACGGCAAATACTTGGGCAGGAATATTAAAAGGGTCTATTATAATTAAAGAAAAACGAGTTTCAGAAAAGATTGAAGAAGAAGAAGACGATGATGATGAAGATGAGTATGATGATGATAATGCTGAAAATGAAATGGATGGAGAAAATAAAGGATGGAGAAGTATTTTTAACTTGAAAAGTAATAAAGAAATCGGTGAGGGACTAGAAGATCATAATATTGAGGATGAAACAGGTTTGCCAGTGTTATCTGGAAGCGATGATCAAGAAAGTTTGCTTTATTTATCAGATTCTGATGTTGAAATTGAAGAAATCGCAGACTTGGATTATGAAGCTAACCCTAATGAGGAGACAATCATTATACACCCGAGAGCAAGGAATATTGTACATGGTGTTTACAACAAATATGGGCCATTAACAACAGGTTCAATAGAAAATGATTTAAAAGTTTCTAGCTCATTCATTTTTGATAACATCGGAGGCGCAAATTCTAGTAACTCTATTAGTTTGACTTCAACATCTTTAAGTTCATCTGAGGCTGTAAAGGCTCAAAACAAATTAGAAGGATCCGGCTCTGTTTGGAAGAACATTATTTCTGCAACAGTGAATAATCATCTTGCCGTTGCAGCGTTTTTGAGGATAATATTTGTAAGTATAAAATCAAATACTAGTTTGAAACTGAGGAATTATGCAAAGAAAGTCATGATGAAGCCTTATGTTTTGGATGGAACCGCAAAACTAGTATTAAGCTGTGGAATATTAGAATCTCATGTGGCTTCAAAGTTTTTAATAATATTAAGTGAAATTTTTGAGCTTGAAACAAATACTAATGCAGCATCCATGGATCTTCTAATACCTTTATATATCGGATTTTGGTTTATAAACTCAATCTTGGATACTATCGTTTATATATTACAACAAGCAACAAAAAGGCATTTAAAGCCTGAGGAGCAACTACTATGTACTTCCTTATGTAAAGCAATATATTCAATGTTAGATTCATTGGGAAATATACAATTTTCTAGAACTGAATCGATAAATGAATATGGGTTGGAAAAATCCATTCGTTATTTTATTAGCCCATTATTATTAAATTGTCTAGAACAAATGGTACTATTTGATATACAGGTATCGATAGGTAGCAGTCATGGCAGCTATATGGCTCATATCCCATTAATGTTTTCTAGAAAATACATACTAGGAAAAAAAGAGGAGATGCCAGAGACCATAATTAAGTTAAGAGAATTAATGAGACAATATAGTTCAAAATCTCTTTCATTATTGATGGAAAAATCTTCAAAGTATAGATACTATGTTGTGGAAGGCTTTACATTCCAGACTATCTTTAGGCATTTTCCACTAAGACGCTCTTTTATGTTTGAGTTAATGGAACATGTTAATACTTTACATTTTTCAAAGGGTGTGGAACTCTTTTTATCATATTATTATGAAAGAAATGAGAGGATAATTGGCGTTTATCCTTGCTATGTATTTATCCAGACCAAAGAACTAAGAGATTATGTTAAAAAAGAGAAAAAAAATAAAGATAGCAAACACTCAGATAAGAAAGGTAATGATATATCTGCAGGTATTGCTAAATATACAGGAATAGATCTATCAAAGGTTTTGGGAGACAATTCCGATAATGAAGACCCAGGACCTCCTCCAAGCATAAGAAGTGTTTTAATATTGACTACAAATGCTTATTATATTTTTGAAAGACCAAAAACGGTGAGAAATGTAGTATCAACAGAGCAATTTAAGTATAAAGAGGACCCGATTGCCATTATAAAAAGGGAATATTCCGACCTAAAGAGAATAGTTAGAAGTTTTTTAGGCGAACAATCCGCAATGCTTGGATGGAACTGTAATTCTCATTATAAATCTCAAAACGATAAAAAGTTGGAAAATATTGATGAGACAAAAGAATATAATTTTACGTGGAGGAACACAATTTATGACATAATCATTTTTGACAAGATTGAAGATAGAGATGAAATGTTGAATCGAATCAGAAAAAAATCTGCAGAATTTTTGAGTATGCCATTGAATATATATAATGATTTTGTCAGTAGAAGTTGTTTGAGCCATTTATTAAGAATTGAAAATGTTAGAGCAATACAATTTGCTCTGGGTGAAAAGATAAAGCCTGATGAGATTAAAAACCCAAAAATAGATAAGTTATATTCTTTAAGACCACCAGATGTAAAAAAAAAGAAGTTTTTTATTGATGAAATGATAGATACAGTTTCTGATCTAATTTTCCCTCCAAAGCGTAAAAGTAGATTTCCTATTGCTCCATATCCGAGAGCAGCGATTTTACATGATGCGGAAAAGGCACAGCTAAAATTATATGTAATAACAATTAATAGTGTTTATGAGTTTCTTGTAGATTGGAGATTTTGGTTTTGCCCTGATTCAAACATGCTAGAAACTGGTGAGGATTTATATTTTAGAAGAGAAATGGTAATACCACCAAACGTCGAGATTTCAAGTTTAAAAGAAGTGAATGATGATATTTCTGGAATTCAAAAGCGTGGGCTGATGAATTTTTTGGGAATATTAGATAAAATACCCAATCAAAATGTAAATATATATGGGAGCGAACTTCAGGATAATGATAATGAAACAAAGGATAACAAAAATGAGAACAATAAAAACTCAAAAACAACGAAAACCAATAAAGAAAAAATAGAAAGTAAATCTATTGGAATCTCATTAAAAAATTTTAGATCTGAATTTTCCACATGGTATGAAACAAGGTTAAAACTTGCCAAAGAAAATTTATTTCAAAAACTACGTGTTTTCAGGATTCATCGTTTAAGAATTGCACAATTTGGGCCATTAGAAGAACCAGAAGTCAAATTAGTATATCAATTATGCCCGAAAAAAAAAAAGAAGAGAAAGAAGTCGAAAAATAAACGAGAAATGTCCAAAAAGGACACAGAAAATGATGCAAAAACTAAAAATCTCAAACCTACAAGTAGTGATGAAGATCCTTTATTAGAATCTGACGAAAGTGATGGTGATATTAGCGATTCGAAGGATGCCACCAGTAAAGAAAGAAAAAAGCTGTCTAGACTAACTTCCCTTCAAATCATTTTTCTTGATGATTCAGCGAGAGAAAGATTTAAGATAGGTATTGCAATAGTCATTAATGAACTCGAAAATTCCAACGACTGGAAGAGAAGAATGGTTCCTGTGCTCAATCCTCCAAATCTCAACAAAGTCCAACAAAAAAACTACAAAAACGATAAATCGGTATTCTCCTCGTTCTTATTATAATAAAAAGTAACATTTATTTTGATAATTTTAAGGTAAATTATTAGGCGCCAACATAATTTTGATACTAAAAATTTTGATTATTGGTAAATTGAGACTAAAATATATTATTATTAATATTAATTTCATCATTCATTTTCCCTTGGAAATAGTTAAAATATTTTGTTTATATGTTAAATAATGCTTAACATTTTTATCAGGAATCCTTCGAGAAATTGAAATTACCGGTTATAAAATAGAATTTCTCGTTAAACTTTATAATTCGAACATAATATTATAATGGATGTAACGGAAGTAACAGGCTCTACGACAAGAAAGGTAATCGCGGGTGATCATTCAGTTAACAATGCTTCCCCTAATGAGAGAGTAAATCACCAAAAGTTGGTATCGAGCAGAACAAACTTTACTAGTAGGACGGATAGAAGGGGATGGAGATCTTCTAAGTGGCGTAACGCAAAATTTGGCTCAGAAATGTCCGAATCTTCAAATATAAATAGTTCAATCAATCTAACAGAGAAGGATTTTTCAAAATTTCAGGACACTGAGTCATCAGAAAGTTTTAATGTTATAAGAGGGTTCTGCCTTTGTGAAGGATATAATTTGGAAAGTATTAGGTCTGCTCTTGATAAACATAATTACCGCCATTGGTATGTAGATAAAGAAAAAACTATACTAGCATTTGATCTAAACCCATATTTTGATAAAATTGAAATCACTTGGGCAACTCAAGGACGATTAGGTAAGGTTCTTTTTCCTGCTGGTATATACCCACCGATTCAAATGATATTAGGAAAACTTAGTAGAAATCTCTCAATAGAAGAAAATTCTAGGGACAATCTAATTGGACTTGATAAAATAGTCGACTGGAGGGTATCAGATAGATTGTTCACAAAAGCCGAAAATGAAACAAGTTTTTCGGATTTGAGATACAAAAAACAATACTCTAGTTATGATGAGCATTCTGATTTTCAGAATGACATTTTGTCAAATTCAGTTCTTTCTTCAAATTTTACAAGTATGTCCAATCACGAGATATTGGAGCGAGGGGAATGTTATTTAAACGATGAAAACTACTGGAAAAAGGTTGAAAATCCTATTTTTATATTTAAGAATGGAGTAATTGTTGCTTGGAGCAATGAAGAAGTTACATCAAACTCGATTACACATTTTGGCTCTCCCAAGTATTTAGATGAAAGGTTTGACGATATTATAACTTTCCTTTCTCTATATTCAATTGGAGGTTTTGTTGGGAAATACTCTAAGAATTGCCAGTACTATACTATGTTGTTTAAATATGGGAATTTTTCGTATAGCAGGTTTTATAGAAGTAACCGAAAAATGATTTCCGATATTGTAACTTTGAAAACTAGAAGTGCAGAAGAAAAACTTGCAGCTTCCTTATCAATTGGTCAAAGCATTAGACTTTCTTTATTTGAGGGCTTTATTGAGGATTGCGTTGACAATATTAGGTATTTACCATTAAAACTTGCTCAAGTTGGTGCTTCTAGTGTTATTGAAGAAGAATTTAAGGTAGAAGTTCCCCAAATAAGAAAAAGATTTTCCGAATTATATTCTTACCAAATTTCAGTTAACTTGGTTGAGGACTTTCTTGATATACCTGAAATCTTTTGGCATAATTATAGATTTCATTCGGTCTGGCGAAATCTACAACAATATCTGGAAATTTCAGAAAGGCTTCAGGTTCTTAATAGACGTATAGTAATGATGCAGGAACTTCTTAAAGTTATTACTGAGGAGTATCAAACAACGCAAGCTAACCGATTGACTTGGATTGTAATTATTCTTTTAGCTATTAATTGCTTCTCATCTTTTTATAGGCACATCTTACTAAACCATCCACATAACATTTCAGAGCAGGGTAAACCTATTTAATGCCAAGAAATTTATATATTACTCATTTGAAATTAATTAAACAACTATTAGGGTTTACTAATCATGTAATTTTTCTCTATCATCATTTTTATTATCTTTCACCATTTCTTTTTTTTTGTAAATATTTTGTATTTCCTTAACATCTTCAAAAATTATCTCGTATAAATCTGTCCCAAATATCTCCCACACAATATTGTCTACAATTGCACTATTTCCGATAGAATATGTACTTTCATCTAATAATTGGCTTGAACAAACATTTTCTGAATACATATCAAAAAGCTCTCTTTGCTTTGGATCATTGTTCACAATTCCTTTTGCCTTTCTATAATGATGCAAATATATTCTTAGTTCATCTTTCCCACCTACACTAATTAAAGGAGCCTTAATAAAATGGAACTTTTTACTTATCATTTCTTCAGTCTCGTGTATTCCCATATATAAGACCCTTTCAGGTTTAATAATAACTTTTCTTCTCGTCTTGTCACTTTTTTTTGTACCGGAACTTAACATTCTACATGTTTTACGATATAAAATAAACTCTAAATTTTCCATTTTTTCGCTAATTTCTTTCTCAATTTTTGAATATCTCTTCAAATTATTTTTATCAGATTCCCACTCTAAAAAATGAAAATACATCGGAATCCATAGTGCCCCAACCTTATTATATGTACTACTGGATTCCATTAGATTTAAAAAATCTATTAAATTGTAATTTTTTAGGCTTGGAAATACAAATTCATCAGTATCTACAAACAACAAATATTTGGTTTCCCCAATATTTCTTAATAAACAATCCTGTATCATAGTTGTTTGGGCAAAATCCCAAACTTGTTTAAAAGGAATTATTGGTAATGCATATGGAATAATCTCCAATACTTTTTTGATATTAGAATAATAATTTATTACATTTTTTACATCTTCATCCAGTTCCAAGTAATTCTGATATAAGTAGAATTTGTTCACGCCCAAGTATAAATATGAGTTAATAAATTCAAGTATTAGCCCTGCATTATTGAATTTTTGTTGATTTCCAAAGTCCTCATTCTTTATTGGTTCACCCCACCAAGGCCTTACACAAATATTTAGCTCGTAATTATTCAAACTATTTTTTGGAATACTGTTTATAATTATCCATTTTTCTGATTTATTAATAATATTTCCATTTTCAAAAATTCTTAACAAAATTTCTCCTGATATCTCGTCAAAATTTATTTCATTATCTAGAACTTCGCAGAGTAAAGTTGATGATACATATTCCTTATTGTGATGTTCTTTGTGAATGGTTTTAACAATAGTTCCTAAATAAATATTTTCGTCCTTCATTACTGCGCATTCCATTTCTATTCGGTTATCAAAATTTAATGGGATAAGTGAGTTAATTCGTACCCTATCTATTCTCCAATCATAATATGCTGAGTATATGTAAATTTTAAATTCATTAATATTACCATTTTCCTCACCATGCTTATCAATTTGAAAATTAGGAATTAGCAATTTTAACTCTTGCCAATCCTGATAATGTTGCTCATTTCTTCCCTTATTTAATGATTCATTTATCAGGTTTCTTGAAGGACTACTTGCTGAAAATGATGATCCAACAACCAAAATGGTCAATAGCAGTATCTTTAAAATGAATTTCTTGCGCATTTTTCAATACAAGATAAAAATTATATAATTCAGTTCTAAGTAAGAAATTATATCCAAACTCTTAGCCAAGTATTTATAATTGAAATAACTATTAAAAAAGATTATAATTTATTTCCATTTGAATTCTCTAGTATTATTTGAGTATCTGAACTAATTATAGGACAGAAATTATAGTATATTACAAAGATTACACTCTTTAGATGTTTTTCTGGTTAAATGGAATAGAAATACTATAATGAAAATAATTGATTTGGAAATTAAATCATAAATTTGTAAGTAATTTCAATTTATTAATTTGGGGTGCAAAGCTGCATGCGGAATTTGTAAATAATAAAGTCATTCCCGGATTAGGCGCGGATTGTGGGGTTATTGGGCTAAAAAGCTGATCTACATGCTAAATAATAAGATTCAGCCAAAAGTATTGGAAATTAAAAAATAGAAGATTAAAAAATTAGTCACGGATTAATCTTTTTTTGTAAAATTTGCGTATATAAAGATGGTCAAGAAGAGAAATAAGAAGAAAAATAAGAAAGAAATAAATAAGGAAGTACTAAAAAATGCAGGATTTGATGAAGGCGAGATTTGGAGGTTGGACTTTAAAGAAGAGATCGAATTTGAAGAAAATGTTGTTGGTAAGTTTTATTTTAAATTATTTGAAATAAAAAATTACTTTCTTTCCGTTAGATCAAAGCAGGTATGAAGTACCCTTATTCGATTTAAAGGGTTATAGAAGCCAAAAAAAAATAGGTAAACCAATGGGACAGGATATTGAAATGGAAGAAGAACATGATTCAGACGTTAGCCACGAGGATTCAGAGGTTATTGATGTTGTTGCGCAAGATGATTTTGAAGAATATGAAATTGAACAACAAAAAGATGATGAATCTAGATTCTTGAAAAAAAGATTTGAAATAGAATTAGATTATATGAAAAAACTTAGAGTTTGGGAAGCTTCTTTTTTTATACACTCCAGTGAGAACCTAGAGAATACTCAACAAGAATTTTTCTATGTTATAGAATTTGGGCATGTGAATCCAGAGAGGAACTATGAGGGAACTTTAAAGAGAATGATGGTTTATACAGCAGCGACATTACTAAAACCAGGAGAAGTAAAATTATTGACTTTCCCCATCATTGTTTGGCCAAAAAAAATTTTATATATTTCATATTCTGAATTGGAAATGTTTCAAATATCTATTAAAATTTGGGCAATTGCAACATTTACTTTTAACCAACTCCTTGCATCTGTGAAATTAACTCTCAAAGATATATTGGAAAACGAACCGGAAACCTATTTAATGTTTAAAAAACATCTCCCAGCTCCTTTGGGGAAGGATGGTAAACCTCGTAAAGATTTAAACCAAAAAAGTTTTGAAGTACACAGAAGTAGAGTAACTTTGCAATTACAAGAAATTTTTGATTATGATATTTCCTTAGAAAGTTGGAGCTTTATTCCAAATAGAAAACTTCCTATAGAAATTAAAAAAGCACCAAAATTCTTACGACTAAAAGTACCTTTAAATAATGATATAAATTCAGGCATGTCTTCTAGAGGTAAGTTGAAATATTACAAATATCTTTAATCATCAATATTCATCAATGCAGAAACAATGGTTACTCCATATTCTACCGGAGGTTACTGGAAGGCTGTTTGCAAATTTGTATTTACTGGAACAAAAATTCAGTTAAGAAACGCATACATTATAGTAGAAGTGTTAGCATATTTAAAATTTGGACCCTCTGTTATAGGAGCTGCAATGATACCATTAGCATCTGTAGAAAGCTATCCGTTAGTTAAAACAACAATCAGGAGAGTAACCATCGATATATACAAGATTATTGCAGGGGAGATGATTGGCAATGTTTTTTGCTACTCAAGGAGTACAGGTCAACCCAATGAAAATATTAGAAGTAGGCCTTCACAAGTTGCTTCAGGAGCAGCATTAGTCTCTCAATTAAACATAAATGAAAGATATTTGGTCTTTAGGCTCTTTAATTGTGATAATTTGGCAGCTGCAGACGGCGTAACAGGTACTTCAGACCCAGTGGTAAAAGTAAGTTGGGATGGAATTGTTAATACATCTTCAGTTAGAGAAAAAACAAGAAGACCAGTTTATAATCAAAACCTGTACTTTCCTGTAAGAATTTTAGACCAAAGAGAGCTTTTGGTCACAAGTTTTAGGAGAAAATGTTTGCCAATTGATTTGCTTTGTAAAGGTCCAGTAAAAATTGAAGTTTGGAATAAGAACGATACATCATCAATTTTATTAGGCTCAGGTGAAGTTAATCTAAATAAAATGTACACTATTGGAAAAGAAGACTTTAGGTGTTTAGCAGAAGGATTAATAGATAGGAGATCTAGAAGAGCAGACGGGAAACCAAATTTTGATCAAGAAGCTGATCGAGGTGAAACTGAAGATAACATTTTCGTTAATAATACTTTATTTACAGTTCCATACAATACTTTGGTACTAAACATGAATATGTCACTCAAATCAAAGGGGTTTGGAAAGAGTGTATTAAAACCGAGCATACATTTTGAGATGTTTTTTATTCCACCATTTCCTGCTGATGTGGTTGTTCCTGCTCCACCATCAAGCAAAGCAATCAGTAATATATGGAAGCAATTGGGAAATAGATGGAATCGTGATTTTCACAAATGGAAAGGAATTTACAAGCAATGGTTTTCCTCTGCACCGGATAAAAGAAACTTCAATGTATTGCAGAGGCATCCACAAACAGAAGAGATTTTTCCATTATGTTCATATATATCTCCAATTGCAGTTCCTAATTTGATATCTAATGAAGGAAGTTTGTTACATTGGATCAATAATTTCATGTATATAACATTAGAAAGTCAAATTCAACCACCTGGGAAGATTCCAGAATTTACTCCCCCTAATTTGTTCTTATTATCAAAAAAGGGAAGTATTACAGATCATGTATTGATGCTTTGTAGTTGTTTATTAGGGATAGGATTCGACGCATATGTATGCAAAGGAACTATAGAAAATGGAACTTTAGAACATACATGGGTTATGACTAGACATAGGTTTGGTCATATTCAATTTTGGGAAGTTACAAGTAAACAAAGATATGTTCTTCCTTGTAGGTATGGGATCGATCAGTATTATTCAATGATGAACCCATTCCAACAAAATGTAGAAGTAATACCATCAGTAAATAATGATAATAATGATTTAGAGGTTCCTGATGATAATTTAAGAGTAGAAATGTTTGAAAAGGAAAGAGAGTACTATAATGGGTTATATTTGCAGCAATGGTTTGAATGGTTAAAACAAACAGGGCAAGTCAAATATGTAGAAACTCATGCTAATGAAAACATGGGAATAGATATTTGGGGTGAATTTTTAGTTCCGGACATAAAAATTGATCCAAAAGAAGTAGATTATGAAAATCCTGTAGAAGAAGATATAAATGATATTGGTAATCGAAAATCTGACAGAGCAAAATTCCAGAAAACTAGTTTAGATGCAATAAGAAAGGTTATAACGGAATATATTAAGAATATACCCATTATTCCAGATAAAAGATTTTTGACACCAGAACTTATTTCATATGTACCTTATAGTACAATTGAATTAGTATTTAATAATAGACAAGTATGGGGTAATCTGGGAAACCATCACCCTGCTTTAATTACATATGATTTAAATAATCCCTATAAATGGAGAACATTTTGTGGGTCAAAGCCAGAAAATATCTTTCAAGATTTGATAATAGAACCACCATTACAAGGAAGAGCTGTTGAAAAGTTGGAAGAATCAATATCGGTTTCAGTTGAAGAAAATATTGTTTTAAACAGACTAAAATTGGGTAAAGATACTTTATTCGACAGAAGTTCTGAACTTGGAGAAAGGATAAGTGCTTATTTGACATTATTAGAATTCAAATTAACCTTAGATCCTCTATATGATCCTGGCCCTCCAGATAACCATACAGCATGGTCAGCTTTGAAAACTAAAGAAATGATTATTAAGGAAGAAAAAGAAATGAAAGAGAGACAAGAAAAAGAAGAGAAAAAGAAACTTAAGCTGAAAAAAAAGTCAAACTTTGAGGATATGGTTGTTAGTAAACAAGTAAGTCCAGGAACTGTAGGTAATTATTCTGGGCAAGATCCTCAAGTTGACTTTTTTAATGCAAATTTTTATGGAAACCTTGAAAATAAGCCAGAAAGTAATTTTAATCGAAATAAAACGGGTGATAACCTGGTTCCCCAATGTTATACAAATATGGCGATAAATGCCTCCTATAATTCAAACAATCCAAATGCAGTAGGAAGAGACTTTAAGTCAGAATTCCCTTCATTACAGTATGATCCGAATTCCCCATATGCAACTAGTAATTTTAATAACCAGAACTTAAATACCAGCAATGTTGAAAGTAACAAACAATTTGTTAACAATCCTGTCAATAATTCAGCAAACCCAAATAAGATGGATTCCTATCACTCATTTTTCCAGAAATCAAATTCAATAGAGAAAGATGAAAATAAAACCAAAGCATTAACTCAATCTTTAAAAGAAGAATCAAAATTCAATGTTTCAAATATTCCCCCAAATGTTCATTCGGAAGCACATGTAATTTCAAAATCAAAAATTAATGAAAATAATAACACATTTTTTTTAGAAGAAGTTTCTTCAAAAAATAAAGACCCAAAAGTCGACTTTAAACAAAATATGGAGAATGAAATCATTGATTTTGAAGAAAAAAAATTGTCGGAAGAAAAAAATGATGAAGATTTAGAAAATCTAGAAAATGATGTAAAATATTGGAATGCACTAGTTGATAGCGAAATTGCCGATAGTTTGGAAATTGAACCAGAATTGCCTGAGGAAGGGGTCAATTTATCTAAAATTGGAATGAAAGCAAAAATTTCAAATTGGGCCAAGCCAGAAAAGGAAAAAAGCCAGATAGATAAAGACTCTCAAAAAGAAAATGTTTCTGAGAATCAATCAGAAAGCAAAACCGCTAAAGAAGAGAAGAGTGATGAATTAATTAATACTAGTCAGGTCAATTCTGGATCAGAAGATGAAAGTGAGGAAGAAGAAGAAATTCAACCTCCTCCTTGGAGGAAATTGAATAGGCCTTTAAAGTATATTAATGATCAGATTTCAAAATGGAACTGGTACTATAGAATGGAACAGCTTTATTATGATTGGCAAGCTATTAACTTCCCAACCTTCCCTATGTCAACTTTTACTGGATTCCCTATTCATTTCTCTACGGCTGATCCTAATGATGTTCGATCATTTATCGTTGGTTCAAAAAGATTCCGAATTTTTATTGAATTACCACAAGATGAGGTGAGTTATTTATCAACTATTATCTTTTTAACTTTTTTGTAGGCACACTTTTTTATTTATCCAAAAATATTCCCACTTGTTGGAGGAGTATCATCAACCTGGGTATTCTTAGGAGTACATATTCCATGGACTGTAAGTTTTCTATTTTATCTAAAAAAAGAAAAATCATTTAAATTAATAATTCATTAGAATATAAATGAGTTGGAATCAAGAATGAAAAAAGATAAAAGGAAAAACTACTTTAAAGTTTAGTTAAATATCTTAATAATTAAAATATATATATTATTTAGTTAAAATGATTTATTAAGTTTATATATTATTATATTAATTTTAAACTTTTTTCATAAATGCGAGCATGCATATTTAAATTATAAAAATAAAATATAATGAAAATTCAGAGATGTAGTTAAAAATAGATAATTTGAATAAAACAGCAAAGTTAAAAAATTATAAAACACTTGTAGAAATTTCAAAATTCTTAATCAATTTCAATGCTATTAAAGTCATTGTAATTGGAGAAAAATAAATCAAATGTGAATCAAATGAATGAAATTATTTTTGGAACGTAAAAGATATTTAATTTTGTTTTTTAATTTAATAATCATTATCATACAATTTAATAAAAGCTCATCAAATAATAGCAACATTTCGCCAACAAGAGATTTTGAAACATTTTTTAAATACCAAAATTTTCAAGAATTCAATAAAAATATACCAAATTTAGGAGAAATCAATTTACTAACTGAAAACTTTCAAGCAAACAAAATTTATGAAAAAAATGACTTTGAGCAAAGATTTAAAGCAAAAGAGAAAAACTTTGCAAATCGTGATAGAAGATTTCGTACAAATGAACTACACAAATTCAGCAAGTATTGGTTGAAGAAGTTGGGAATACCAAAGGAACTACCACCTTCAGCATGGTGTAATGAAGAAGGTGTTATCATGGGAATACCAATTACAAACAATTTTTCTAAGATATTAAATGAAAAAATTAAGTCAATTAGTGGTAGGCAGCTTCCAGTTATTACTGAGGATTTTCTAGATCGTTTTTTTGAACAAAATCATAGTGATCAACTCTACTCTAAGGGTTTAAATGTTGCATGTAATGGGAAAGCTGTAATATCGAATTCATTTTACGAAATAAGTGGTAAGTTTAGAAGAGAACAATGGTTTTACGAAATTAAATTAACAATTGTTTTATTATGAAATTTTATAATTGTATTAATAAATAGAAAATAAAAAGATTGATTCATTAATGATAAATTTTCCAGGAAGTAAGGACTGCGAATTTGTACATGAATTTAGTACAAATAAATACAAATACAGAGTATACAAAATAGATCCATTTGATAAAAGGCTATGGATGGAAGAGAAAGATCAAGTTAAGTATAGGAATAAAATGAAATCAAATAAGAATGTCTCAAATGGAAGAAATGTGAGGACTGTTGATTGGGATACAACTAAGCCTAAAATTAATTTTAATGATGATTTTGAACTTCCATCAACATTATCGATAATATCAGTTTGCATATCCAGAATAGGCAATGATCTAGAAGAATCCGATGATTCTCAGTCTCAATGTTACTCGAATGCTAGATGGTATAAATCCGTTAGAGGAAGACTTTTGCATAAGTCAGAATCTGGTAAACTGGAAGGGAAAATAGTTGATGGTAAATATTTGATGGATAATGATTTAAGAGATTCATCTATGTTTGGTATGTTGTTGTCATCCATCTTCACAGCGGGAGTAAAAAATAATATAAATGTCCCAAATGATGAAGATGAGCATATATTTTACAATAAATTGGACGTCAAGGATAATGGAGAGAATACAGAATACATTAGAAAAATATATCTCTGGCCAAGTTATTGTGAGTACAAAACAAACTTGACTAAATTAAATGAGAATCAATCAGTTAATAAAAACAAAAAAAGCAGGATAAAAGTGAATCAAAGTGAGTTTGAAAGAAATAAAGAGTTTGAGCAAGAATCTAATACAGACAACTTCAATATCATAGTAAAAAATGGGTGTCCAGTAGAAGGAGTAAAATTAAATATACTTTTGAATACTGAAACTCTCTTAATATTTTCATTACTAGATGAAGAATGGAATCGTCTACCAAATATTTCCAACCAAAGTATAACAATGAGATGTGCGATTAAACTACATAAACAAAAACAAACTTTAGAATCTCAAGGTTGTTTTGCTCTTAAATTAAAAGATAATGTTCAAAAAAATAATAATTTATATGATAATTTAGAACCGAAAAGAGGATGGATGGATCTTAATAAAGAATTTAATAGTAAATTTGAAACAGAAAAAACTAGAACAAACCATCAAGAGTGGTCTGAGAGAAGGTGGGGTGATTATTTTGACACTCCAACCAGAAGAATGCTCATGGAAGGACAATGGAGTTTTGACCCAAGTTCGAGATTAGAGCAAATTGAGGTTGGTAATATTCAGCCCAATACTGTAGGGTTACGTTCTGAAATTACTGGAAAGTCAATTTTAAACACTCCAAAAATCGGAAGAGAAAGTATTAGTGGAGGATCAGGTAACAAATCATACTTGCTATTCAATAAACAGCATGCTGAAAGTTTGAATTATCAAAGCTTTCAGTCGAGCTCAACTAATAGTCTTGAAGATATAGAAAATGATGAAATTGTTTCAAAGTCTGACTCAAATTTGTATAGCAGAAGATTGCCAAGTAAACCGATGATACATTCAGTTTTCCAAAACATATTATGGCGAGATTGGTTGATAAGATATGCACCACTAGTCGGAAATAATGGTAACTTTGTGAGAGTTGGAACCAATTTTGCTTTTGCTTTTTTAGGAGAATCCTATATTGAAGAAGCAGCCACCTTAGGTTTTTCTTATGACAGGGCTATATTATCATATCTTTCTGGAAAAAGATTAGCACAACTTGGTAGATTTCTCACTTTTGGATATACTCAAGGATTGTACGGAGTAAGAGTTGACAGATCCTCAACGATCAATGCTTGGGGAGTTGACTTACAAGCGAGATACTTCATTTCTTCAACACTGGTTTCTTTTGGTCTTAGAGAATATGCACAACATATTTCTGTTAGAGAGGTAGGACTATCTTTGAGACATAGTTTTTCACAAAAAGAAATAATTGTGGGACAACAATTTTCAACAGAAGTAAGTGTAAGCAATTAATATTGAAATAATTAACTATCCAAACCCCCATAATTTAGGCCATTGCATCCTACAAAACTTTATTTGTGGATATTGCAACTGATGTCAAAAATAAGTCATATGGTATGGCATTTGGGTTAAGAGGATATCAATTTACTGTTGTAAGGAACTTTTCAACTAGGACAACGGACTTTTTGGGTAATTGGGGTAATGGATGGCAGGTATTATTGAGTTCAACGTTTCCTAGAAAAGAAGATCCAACAGTTGCTGTTAGAGCTGGTGCGGGAAGGTTGGGAAGATCTTTTGTTTTAGCAGGTGGTGGAATAGGTAGAGATATGATTCCAATAGTATCTTTTCAAACACAACTTGACGATGTTGGAGTAATTCTGGAGTTTAGCCCTAGTGTGAATGAGAGAATGTTTGCATATGGTATAGAAATTAGTAAGTTTAAAAAGTTACTCTCTGAAGCCAAGCTTCAAAAGAAAAATCATTTATAATTACTGATTTTTGTTTAATTAACACTTCAGATCATTTTGCATATTTCTGGGAATCTATCTTTTCTGCAGAAAGAGTGCCAGTACCAATTTTGCTGGGAATTGAACCGAAGGAATTAAGTAATGCAGTATTTGGATAAAAAACCATTCATTAAATAAGGATTATGTGAACAATAATACAAAATCAGAAAAAAAACTAAAGAACGCATTCAGTTAGTTAATAGATATTATTGATGGATAGATAATAATTCATTATTAATAAGGAAGCCACATTCTATCTTTAATATAATTGAGGATGTTTTCCCTATTATCTAAAGGTAAATCTGGGCATGCACTTTTATTGATGATATTCATCTCTTTTACTTTAAGGATGATATCAGCAGCAATAGATGCAGATATTTCTCTACCAACTGGAGCAGTTAGCGGAGGGAATAAAATATTAGAATCGGAATCAGTTTGAATAGAATTAGAAACTGAGTATGCTGCCTCAATAAAACAAATATCTGGGATGTGGCTAAGCTGAGCAATTTGAGCAGCAAGGCCAATTCCAGGGAACACATACATATTGTTACATTGCGATGGAATAAATTTAGTACCGTTATTCGCTTCAACAGAGTGCATTGGACTTCCACTAGCAAATATAACTTTACCATTCGTCCATTTATATGCATCAGAAGCAATACATTCTGCTCTATTAGTAGGATTACTAAGAGCAAAAATTATAGGTCTTTCAACATAAGATGCCATAGTTTTGACTACTTTTTCATTAAAAATTCCTCCCTGGCCAGAAACACCCAATAAAATGGTCGGTTTGATCAAATCAACAATTTCTAATAGGTCAGTAATACTCTTGTCGATGTTTTTTCTAATGAATGGTATTTTAAATTTGTCTAAGCTATTTAGATCTCTTGTATTGGTTATCAATCCTTTAGAATCAACAAGCCAGAACTTTTCCAATGCGTTTTCATAAGGAATTCCCTTAATTTCCATTGACTTAATGATTAAATTAACAATACCAATTGATGCGGACCCCGCTCCACAGATGAGAATTCTTTGGTCTTCGAAACTTTTCCCAGCAATTTTTAGTGCACTAATTATTCCTGCCAAAACAATACTTGCAGTACCTTGAATATCATCATTAAAACAACGGAATTGATTTTGGTAGATATTCAAAATATCAATGGCTCTGGAAGTCGTAAGATCTTCCCACTGAAGAACAGTTTTTGGCCACCTTTTAAAAATGGCCTTGGTAATTTCATCCATCAAGGAGAAATACTCTTCATTATCAATCCTCCTTTCACAAATACCTAAATAATACTTATCATTTAAAATATCTTCGGTATTTGTACCGATATCTAAAGAAATAGGCAATACCTTTGAAGGGTCAATTCCTCCCAGTGTAATATATAACGATAATTTTCCCATAGGAATACCCATTCCATTAAGGCCAAGATCACCTAATCCCAAGATTCTCCCACCATCAGTTAGTACAATCACTTCAATGCTATCGTTATTAAAACCTTTTAAAATTTCATAAATGCGCCCCTTATGAAATTTATTTAAATATAATCCAGAACCTAGCCAATTTCTAATTGTTGGATTCCTTGAAAACTCTATGCATCCTTCACCAACAGTAGGTGTATATACCAAAGGAGCTAAATCTTTGAAATATTTATCTAGAAGAGAATGGAAAAGAATAAAAGATGAACTTCTAATATTTTCAAGAAAAGTATACTTGCCAATATTTGAATCTATCTTATTAATTGAGTTCCAAAGTCTAGAAACTTGCTCGTCAATAGTCTCATATTTTCCGGGAAGTAAGCCTTCAAGACCATATTCTCTTCTTTCTTCCATAGTAAAGCTTAAACCCTTATTATAAAATGGGTTCCTCAATAATTCGATGCCTTTTAATTCAGTTGGTTTTTTATTTCCGAGTGAGAGAGCCATTTTGAAATTATTTTTATTATTCAAGCTAAAGAAGTTATTTTTCGTGCCAATCAACAATTTGTGGGGAACTTTCTTAAATAATATATTTGCCGTATTATTAAAAAAATTTTTTGTTGGAATTAATAGTAGTTTTGATAATATTTTGGAGTTTATTTTAAATTAGAATAACTTAATTTTTTAAAAGGCTTACAGTATTTGAATGAAAGACTTACTTAGAATTAAAAGCAGGATAGAAACAAATTATATTTGAAAATCTTATTGTCTCAAATTATTACTTTTCGATTTTTGATACTACAACTGTTACTAATTTCGGTCTACATTTTAATTAGATGCGTGCACTTGCCCGCCTAAAAAAACCACAAATAAATGCATGAGAATACAATAAGAAATAATTAAATAAAATATATCTAGAATAGAATTCTCGCTTTTGGAATGTAATTATACACAAATTCGGGACACTGTGACATATTTAAGCAACAGTTTGGGTAAATTGAACAGAAATCTTCCATTTTATTTTTGAAAGTATGTTCATAATACTTTTGTTCTCTAAGAATTGTTTAAATTATTTAATTATTAACGTATGATTATAAGTATAAAAAAACAAATGTATTCTTACCTTTCTTTTATCTCTGTATCCATCAATTCGGTAACCTCATTGAAAAGCTGCCCAAATCTCTTATCTACGTGTTTTGCCATTAATTCAGTTGCCTAAAATGAATAGAAATTATAATTGTTTTTATAAAATTAATAAACTTACATTTCCTATATCATCAAATTTTTCTTTTGCGGGAGAATAAAACGCTCTTTGTTTATTCATTTTTTCTTCTAGAACTCTATCCCTTTGTCTAATTGCTTCTCTTCTAATGGAATTTCTGTTATCCTTTTTTTCTTTGATTGCATCATACCACATATCGTAAACTTTGAAGGGTTCTTCTCTTTTCCACCTAATGAATGAATTGTAATTATCAATTTTATTTAACGCTTCTCTTGTTTTAGGACTAGGAGTTGTTGTTTTTGACATTTTCATATCCCATAAATAATCAATTCCTTCCCAAATACTAAATTAAAGTAGATGAATTAAATATAACAGTTATTTTCTCATTATAACTTACTAATAAGGCTTTAATGGAATTGAGAAAGGCCTTTTTGTTTCATTCTTAAACTTTATTCAATATTTGATACAACAGTAACTTTTGATCATGTTTTTGTAGAGAAAACATACCGTATTATTATTATAGATGTCGTTATATTCCTGAGCAGATGCTGAAAGCAAAATATAAGAATCATACAAATCACCAACTTTAGACGTGATTTTCTAATAATAACCATAATTAAATGAACAAACACAAATGGATATTAATTAATCTTACCGGAGAAGTAATATTAAAGCCTTCCAAATACTCTTCAATTCTCTCGTGCTCATCTTGGTGATTTATTCTAGTTTCCTGTATTCATAATAAGGAAGCAAATTAAAGTATTCAAAGAGCTGTTTATGAATATAAACCATACCTTAAGTAATTCCTCTACACTTTTAGTATTCAATTTATAATTGGTAATGTTTTCTTCGCCTGTATTGACTGAAAAGTCCTTTAAATAAGTGATGTTTCTAAATCATGTAACAATTAACAAAATAGCCTACCTCTGGGAATGCATTTCTCAACATTTCTCTATCATTTTGCTTGATTGTTGTAATATTTTTACCAAGATTGAAAGTAATTTTAGTCTATTCAATAAAAATTGATTAAAATGGCCAAAGTTTTTAAAAACCCTTTACTTACCTTGTTTAATCCATCCAATATTTTGGAACTGTTTACTATGTCTTCTTTTCCATAATATATTGGAAAATACTCAGAATTTTCGTTTAAAGTTGGTTCAATAACCTGATAATCATCTTCAAATTCATTAACTAAACTGGATTGAACCATATTTCCATAGGCATGTGATATATTTTTTGCCAACTCCTTAAATCCTCTCTTAATATCGTAATTTTCTTCATCATTATTTTCTTCTAAATTGTTTTCCTTACTAGTTACTATATCAATATCGGTTGTATCTTCCCATACTGGATAATTGCTTAAACTAAATTAAAAAAAAAAAATTAAAAAATATAGTCATTTCAGGCAGACAAATTAAAATACTAACCTTTTGTAAGCTTCATCTTGTGTCAAAACATTGTGGTTCTTTATTATATCATCGTCAAAACTCAATTTAATGGGTTCAACTCTGTCTTGCACTCTAACATGTGTAGCTTTATTTTTCTCTGAACATTTTATAGTCATCAAAACTAAGATAAATTGTAGAATAAATAAGAAAAATATGTTTAATTTCTTCTTAAAAATTCTCCATTTTGTTGTATTCTCTTCAAAATAATGCATTTGTAATCCAAAATATTCACCCCACAATGCTCTTTGTTCTAATTCAATTTTCAAAAGAACAAAACTTGTAAAACTTAATTCTATTATTTTTCAGTATTACTTATTTAACTTTAAATATTGCTTATTTTTGCAGAATGTTGATGGATTTCTCTAGTTCCATTTATTTATCGATTTTTCAGATTTTTTTGACTGCACATTTTTCCATACATGCATTTTTGGCGCCTATCTATATGATTTACGTTACCCTCCAAAGCAAATATTACTAGGAAAATAAATAAATCAAGTTAGAATAATAGTGGAATTAAATTAGATAAGTGATTCAAAGTTATAATAATATATAAGAAACATTAATAACAAAAGTTAGAAAGTTTTCATTTGAACTTTGAGTAACTTTTGAGCATATAAACGATTTGCACAAAATCAGATTCAATATATTAAAATTTTGCTTGAGTTCAACTTTTTAATTAAAGCTGAAGAAAATATTATGATAGAATATAGTATTTAACTGTTAGCATCAAATACTAAAATGCAAACCGTAATGAGTAATGAAGGATCTACATTTATGAATGGTGTAGAGGATGAAATTCAATATATTTGGAGAAGGAATTGTCCATATCTATATGATACAATGTTATCCTATACATTGGAGTGGCCAACATTGACAATTGACTGGCTTCCAAACTCTTATAAATCAGTTGATGGAAGTTATTCTGTACACAAAATCATTTATGGAACTCATACAAGTGATCAAGAACCCAATTATCTAATAATTGCTGAAGTACATATAAGCGACTTGGAGGAAAATGAAGATTTAATGAATGTTGAAAGCTTTGCTGAATACTCATATAATCCGGATAACACAAATATGAACACAGTTCAATTTGAGGTGAAAGCAAAATTAAACCATCCAGAAGAAGTTAATAAAGCATTACATATGCCAGAACATCCATTTGTTATTGCAAGTAGAGTAGTTAATGGTGATATTCTAGTTTTTGATTATTCAAAACATGAGTCATTTCCAACTGATGACCTTGTCCACCCCCAACTTCTTCTAAAGGGTCATTCAAAGGAAGGTTATGCAATGGATTGGGGAAATGGCGTTTCAAATAACTACTTAATTTCAGGTGGGAGCGATAATATTATCAATCTTTGGGATTTTAATAACAATACCTATGGAATTTTAAATTCTAGTGCAAGAAATCATTTTAACTATCCAAATAAAATCAATGTAGATTCACAAGAATCATATGAACTTTCCCCACCAATTTTGAAGCCAATAAAAAGTATTTCGTGGCACAATTCTGTTGTCAATGATTTAAAATGGCATCCTTCTGACCCCTCAATATTTGGGTCTGTATCAGATGACGGAACTTTTTCTATTTGGGATTTGAGAAGTTTATCTGAAAATTCTCCAAATTTGTTTAGAAAGACAGAATCTGGAATCAACACTCTTTCTTTCAACCAATTTGTTCCCACCATGGTTTCCACTGGTAATTTGGATGGAATTGTTCAAATCTGGGATATCAGGAATACTAAAGAAGAGCTTTTTTCTCTCAACTTTCATTCTGAAAAGCCTATTATATGTATGGAGTGGTCTAAATGGTCTCCAAATATCCTAATCACAGGGGGAGTTGACAACAAAGTAATTGTATGGGATTTATATAAAAATCACTCTTATAAAGAAAATGACACATCTTATTCATGTAATAATGATGAAAATATCAATAATAATAACCAAATCAACGAAGACCATATCAAAGCTCATTCTCAACAGGATTCGTCAGACCCAAATGCAGTTTTTATTCACTATGGGCATACAGCTCCTATTACCAGTATTTCTTGGAATCCAAATGAGCATGGAGATCCTCTTCTAATAGCATCTGCTTCAGAAGATAATACTATTCAGTTTTGGCAATTTTCTGATACTTTTCTTAATTAATCTATCAACAACAACCATATAACATACCAGTAGTCAATTAATTAATCTTAACCAAAATAATTAAAATTTAATCTAAGTATTAATTATATATCATCTGACTTTATTATCATTCTAAGAATCTATTTCTCTTCTATCCTAATTTTTAAATTCTAATGAATTAAAGAAACTTAAAATAGCAATCTTTTTCTTTCTTAGTCTTTTTGATTTCTTCTGTTTCATTATCATTTTTTTTCTCCTTAGTCTTTGTTTTAGATTTTTTCTTATCTTTTCTTTTGCTTTCAGAACCAGTCTGATAAAAACTAGTATATGTACGGGAAATACCTGTACCAACATTAACCATTTTCCCAACTGAAATTGAACTTGCTGGACTTTTTAAATTATCCTTAGCACTTCTCAAACAAGCTTCTGTTAAAAATTTCATACTAGTTTCAAATGACATCTGCAAAAATGGTGATATATTATGCGATATTGTTCCCATTCTATTAAATACTCTTAATTGCCCACTTGCTGTAATAGAATCACTAATCAGAGTCAAATGTCTATAATCAACATTAATTCCATAAACTGAAAAAACGTTCCTCAACTCATTAATAATACAATGTCTGGCAGCTTCAACTCCATAATATTTATATACTGTTTGAATATCATTAAATCTAATTTTGTCGTGATTAATAAAACGTGGAGAAATCTTAAAAATATGCCCAACATTTGTTCCTTCTACAGTTACTTCAAATTGAGACAAATTCTTATCTGATGATTCCTTTTGGTTCCTTGTAATTCTTGCATTTTTTAAACATGAAATTGATTGAATATTTGTCTTTAAAATACAAGTTTTTAAAACTGGTAGGAAATCAATGTAATGTGGACACCTTATAACTGGCCATCCTAGCTTTAGGCTCAAAATATTAGTCTTTCTGTCAATATTAAAATCAATGACGTGTTTTAATATATCTTTAGTCAAGATCTTTAAATTTATACATGGTATTTTGGAATCATTTTCTATTAAAGTCCTATTGTCAAAGCTAGGGCCTCTGCTTGAGCTTCTTGTTAAATCTCCATATTCATCATCACTTCCGGATTCATTATTATTTTCTTCATTATTCTCTTCTATGTATTTGTTATTAGTTACTTCAGGTTCTTCATCTGAGTCATCTTCACCATTCTCCTCCTCGGAAGTTGAAGACGAAGAATCTACCGATGAATTATCATCATCATTATCGTCTTTGACCTTATCATTTCCATCTATTTCATTATCCATATCGTTCAATTCTTCTTTTTTACTATCATTAAGATCTCCACTATCATCTTCATTCTTTTTTTCGTTTTTATGCCCAACTCGAGATCCTCCATCAAAATCATCCTCATATTGTCCTCCTGCCCCTCCTCCTCCAAAAGAAAAGTTACCTTTTTGGATCATTGAGTTTAAAGCACCTTTGAAAATTCCAATGTTTCTGTCACTATTATGCCCCAAGACATATTTTGAAACAAACTCATCCGTCTCATCATTATCTTGGTTAGAAAATTTACTACTTCTAATTGAAGAAATCGTGTACATGTTATTTACCTAAAAATTCAAGTCAATTATTAATTCAAGTGATTAAAGAGTTATTTTCAATTATTATTTTGGAAGTTTAAATATGTTAATTAGAAAGATACCTTAACCAAAAACCTTCAATTGAATTCTTTTGAAAAAAACTATTGTAATAATTTGAATATATTATATTTCAGAAACAATATAATTTTCTCCACCATTCTGTATAATAAATCTCCAGGATTGGAAATTTGACAACTTTACAGAAGAACGAAAGTTTATTGTTGTTTCATCATTAATAGTAAATTCAAATTACATAAGAACCTATAAAACCTTCAACTCTCAGCAGAAACAAAAACAATTAGAAGGATTGGTAATATATTAAATAGCAAATTAAATGATTCATTCTTCCAAATTGTATTGAAAAAGTGTATTAATAGTGCAACTTCCAATAATAATAATCGAAAATATCCAGAATTAAACTTACGTGTCTTAAAAAAGGTTTAATGCATTTTGAAAGAGTTAAATTAATTAAAGAGGACATATTATAATGAGGTAAACATTTACAAAAGATTTCAAGGTCTGAAAATTGGATAGAAATTTCGTAATTCCAACAATATGTAGACTTTTTGTTTCCAGATGATGTATAATTGGCATTTTCATCATAAACAATTGAACTCTCCACTCCAACGTTTTCAATAATATCAGACAATGGGATAGATTTAAAACAATCCAAAACTTTCTCTGTATAATTAACAAAATCTGTATTATCATCTTCATTATTGAAATTTAATGTTTCGCCTTCTTTTGAACTTGCATCTTTTAATAATGGAATAAAAATATATGGAGTCTTTGAATCACCTCCTGTTTGAAGTAATTCTTTAAGTCTTGGAATACCCAAAGTAACGTTAGCAGCACCATGCCCTGCCAAGTGAAATGTATTAAGAGTCATTTGTGTGGCAGGTTCTCCAATAGACTGAGCAGCAAGACATCCAACAGCTTCTCCTGGAGAAATTTGAGTTTTCATATACTTTAAACGAAGTAATCTCTCCATCTCTAACATAGATTCATATTCTTCAGCACTATATTTGTCATTTATTAATGAATTTCTTGATTTTCTCTTTCCTTTTAAAGAATAAGTATTATTAATATAATACTTAGAATCAGTGGAAATCCTAGAAAGCTTTTGAATATTTGTCTCAGATAAATTATTTAGGAAAGACTCTGAAACTGATCCTCCATTAAGGATTGTAGGTAGTAATGAGTTTACAGTCATTTCGCTTAAAAATGAAGATGATATATTCTCAACATTAATTGTGTTGGTCTTATTTTTATCTTCAGATATGATTAAGTTATCAAAACAATCCTTTTCTTTGAATATTTTTGCTTTTTTGGAAGATTTCTCTTCAGATATAATACTTTGGTTCAAACATGTTTTAAATAAATCTTGTTTATTTTCATATTTGAATACATTCTCAAAAGAGTTATTCAAAAACTTGTTTCCCATGGATTCTTCAAATTTCACATCTCTTTCTAATAAAGATTTATTTCTAACGAGATCCTCCAATTTTGTTAAATAGCTAGATTTTGAGACGTCAATTCCATCATCACCATATATGAATTGAACAATAGTATCATCTTCACTTCTTACAGTTCCATCATAATTAACAATCATACTCTCTAATCCCTTTAAGACACATCTCTGTAAATATCCTGAACGTGCAGTCTTTACTGCAGTATCTACTAAACCTTCTCTACCAGACATACAATGGAAGAAGAATTCTTGAGCATGAAGACCATCTAAGTAACGGTCAGTAATCAAACCTCCTGCTCTAGATCCTAAGTCATATGTAGCAAAAGACGGTAAAGTTTTCATACTAGGCATAATTGGAACTCTTCTTCCTTCTAATTCTTGTTGTCCTAGCATAACGCAAATCATATTATAGTTAACCCTAGATCCTTTTGCTCCGGTTAAAACCATAGAAGAAAACCCATTTTGAGGAAAGGGAAACTTTGAAGAAGATCCATTCAATAAGTTGCCTAATTTGGATGTAATATCTCCTAAACCAATCTTTGAAATTGCATCCATAATTTTTAACAAAGAGTCTTTTTTTGTACTTAAAGTATTCCCAATCAAAGATTCTAGCTTTCGTCTTGTTAATTCATTAGGGTATGCAAAAAAATCACCATGTTCATTAAACTCATTTTCTTCATCATTAAATTTGTCTTGGATACTTTCTTCCATTTTGCTAATAGAAAGCCAACTGTTATCATATAAAACAGTATCAGAATCAGCCTGAGGATAAGAGAGAGAGTTTAAACCTTCATTTTTGTTATCATAATGTATATTTTTAGGGAAAAGTATCCCAGAATCATCATGAGTAAATTTATCTGACTCTTGTTCATCTTTGAATAAACCATCAATACTAAGTCTTTGTTGTTTCAAAGATTTGACAAGCTCTAAAAGTAAAAGCTTTTTTTCTGATTTATGATTACTATTTTCACTAAAACTCTTTACCCTCTCAATTAATATATCTAGAGCTGACGAAACCAGTTTTTCATTATTTGAAAAGTCGACTAATTCATTATTATTGACTTCCAACTCATTATCAATGTTTTTTCCCTCAAAAGTATTTTGAGAAGAGTACTTATTTTTCTTCAAATCTCTCAATTCGATTATAGTTTTTTGAGTCTTATCAAATTCATTTTTTCTTGAATTAGAACCTTTAAATGCATCAAATTTATCAGAATAATAAGTTTGGTTATTTAAATCGTTCTTCCCACCAATCTCCTTAAATATATAGTATTGGAATGCCTCTTGTATAAAAACAGAAGCATAATTATATTTCCTAATTAATTCAATACGTTCAGATTCCGCCCTAGGAGTTAGTAACATATCACTAATACTACAAGTGAAACCTCTCATTTGAAGATAAACTTGTGAAAGATTAAATATTGCAGATAAAAGTTTACCTCCAATCAAAGGACCAACAAGTTCAGTACATAAGTGAACCAAACAGTAAGAGTTGGACCCAATTTGATTCTTGTCAATAACTCCTTGTAAAAGTTCACTATTCCTTATTATTACCACTGCTTCCTCTTTCTCTCCATCTTCTTTTCCATTCCATGAATCACCAGGAGTTCTACTTTTTGAAATCAGGTTAATTCCTGCATATACACTTGGTTCAGTACTAACAAGGTTATATAGTAAAGTTTTCAAAAGAGATGTGAAAACTTGTTTTCCTGTCCATAAGGGAACCGGTTTGATAATAGTTGGTGGTTCTAAAATCAAGTTATTGTATAGGGATGGATTCTGAATATTTGAATTAAGTTTAAAGTTATTATTATGAGAAAAATCATTATTTGATAATTTTTTTGGGGAAATACAGGTATCCAGTGAATCCATAGAAAATTCAATTCCAAAATTGGAATTTTGGAAGTTGTTGTTAAGGTTTGATTGGTTTCTCAAAATAGACTCATCAACTTTGATCTTTCCTAAGGGAGATTTAACTTCTGAAAATCTCTTATTAGATCCGAATATAACCTGGCCTTGAGAAGAGTAAATCATAGGACTTCTAGATAGTGCGGACGACTTCTTATCTAGAATAAAAGACAAAGAAGTATATAGTAGATGAAAGTATTCTTCTCTATTTAAGAAAGTTGATTTAGAAGTTAAAAATGCACCTCCAATACAAGAATCTTGAATTAATCCTCTTAATGGTTCACCACTTTTTGGAACAGAGTATTGTCTGGAAGCATCCATAATGTACTTTGCCTCAGATCTAGAAAAGAGAGATTGAGGGAGATGAAGATTCATTTCATCACCGTCAAAATCCGCGTTGTAAGTACCACAATTGACATAATTTAACCTCATAATGTTGTCGTTTGGTTGTATTCTTATATAGTGAGCCATAATACTGGGTCTGTGCAAAGTAGGCTGTCTATTCATCAATACAATGTCTCCGTCGATCAAATGCCTATAAACAATTGGATGGTGGTTGCTTAAAAATGGGTTTGAAGCTGATAAAACTGACGATAAGAGTAATCTAGCTTTTGCTTTTCTTTGGTTTTGATCTAATCTTGATAAATCATAAAGGATTCCTCCAAGCAAAAGCTTATTTGCACCAGGATATAAATTTGGGCCATTTTCAACCAAATTGGCCATTAATGAGACATTATGAGTACCAACACGTTCTGGGATAGTTAAATTCAAAGCAAACATAAGTGGAACTCCTATTTCATTTGTATCTAAGTATGGATCAGGCCCAATTACAGTCCTTGCAGAATAGTTGACTCTTTTTCCCATCATTTTCTGACGGATAACACCTGCTTTTTTCTCAAGCCATTGTCTAATACCAGGCGGAGCAGAGGATGGTTTAAAGCTTTTATTTTGATCCAAATACATGTTAACTTTTTCTTGTAATGAAGAGACATATGAAATCAAATTATTTGAATTTGCTTCAATTTCTTCTTTAACGGCTTTTGACCCTTTTCCAACTTTAGGGCCTTCCTCTCCCTCAATTATAGACTCATCATTTTCCTTCCTTTGTAAGTCAACATAGAATTTTAACCTATCATTTGCCGTTAGGATTTCGAGCAGACCTGAAGTTCTTGGATGTAATAATGGTATATTTCTTCCTAGAGCCATCCCAAGTGGTCTAAACTTATTTGCAGATACTGGTACTGTAAACATAAAGAATGCCTCCCAAGCTAAGGATTTACAAATGGGAAATAGGTATTCAAGGATTTTTTTGTTATTTTCCCAAATACTTTTAATAATTGGTACGATTTGGAAGGCTTGAAAATGTTGAGTAATCATTCCTCTTCCTTGTTTAGTATGAGATTTCGCCTCTTGTGGGATGTTAATTGAAAAGTCATCATTGTAAGAACGCTTAAAAAGCTTAGTAGAACTATTATTTCCGGTTTCTTTGTTCTTTTTCCTTTTCTTAGATTCATTACTCTGTTGGCTATTAATAACAAAATCTTCTTCTTGATTATCTGAATCAACCTCATCTTCTGAATCAGGTTCTTTGTCATTTTCAGATCCTGAATCACTATGTTCGCTTCTAGTATCCTCTTGATTTGCACTAGAGCTCCAAGTGCTACCCAAGCTTACCGGGGGTTTGGAGCCTTCTGGCCAGGAAAGAGTAATACCAACTCCAAGTTGTGATTCTCTGACCTTGCCTTTAAATGAATTTCCACAAGAGCTGCAGGAAGAGTGCTTAGATGCTTTGTCTAAAAATTCTTTTTTTATTGCCTCCCAAATTTCTAGTGAATAACTATTGGATGCGATCTTACTAGATGATTGTGCATTATTGGTGTTATAAATTCCCAAATCTTTGGAACAATTATTCGGATCCTTTCCAATTGACTCAAACTTTTTTATATAACCATTACATACCTTCTTCGAAAGTCTTATACAACAACAGTGCCAACAGCAACATTTTAAAATTTTAACCAAGCTTCCCAAGAAAAGTGGATGAAAAACAGGAAGTTCCAGCTCAATATGACCTATATGACCTGGACATTCATTTCTACTTCCACATGTTCCACAGAAATCTCTATTACTTAACGGGCCCATTCTTAAATCGTGCAAACCACCGATCTTACTCTCACCAGTAGACTCGAAAGTTGTTGTCGAGGTTACATGGCAAACAGAAAGCTTCTTAACCTCAGACACCCTCAAAAGGTCAAAAGAAGCACTGTGGATGTCGGAACATATTGGTGCTGAATTCATTTTCCAATATTTTTATTCTCCTGAATTAATAACCTTAACAGAACGATTAATAGGTGTCTATTCTTTCTTTTATAATAATCTCAATTTACCTTCTTGTTTAGACCCTACCTACTATTCATCCATTTCTTTTTCATAAAGAAAAAATGGAAATAACCAAGCTTTATAAAATTCCAATTTTGACTATCTTCTTAAAATGGTCATTCATTACCAGTCGGTGGCGCCATGCGTTTACCGCCGCTTAATTTTTTAGCCAATAGTTTGATTAGACCTTCTTTGAGACAAGTGAGTAAAATAGAAATACATGCAAATATAGAAGAAAATATAGTGAATTAATTGAAATTAACAGGTGGAAGCTATGCACTAAAAAACCACAAATGGAAGTCTAGGTAGAGTAGAACTTCAATTTTTAGACAAGTAAATGAATAATTTTGATATTACACCCTATATATTATAATTTAAACATAAACTGGCGAATTAACAATGTAGGATAGGCAAACTATTCATCTTGAAATACAATTCTGATAGAATTAACTTAATTAAGAATAATAAGCACTGATTATACTTAGAATTTAAGAGGTAGTTTTGTGGTAACCGGTGGATAATTAGCAGAAAAACTTGGAATGATTAAAAATTGATGACTAATTTGTTAATTAAAATATAGCTTTACAACTAGTAATAATATAATAAGAGATAATAAAATTTGATTGACCCAATGTATTAATTTATTCTGGGAATGATTTATTTAATATTACTGAAAAATAGCGAATTATGGGAAACAAAGACAATATTTTATGTATATTAAAAATGACCTGATATTAAAATACGGGGAATTCAATATCTGGATCAATCCCTTTTAGAATACTTCGGAAATATGGTTGTGTATTAATTGACTCAAGCTTTCTATATCCATAAGATTTATAGTCAAAATTCGAGCTAGAAGAATGATTTAATCCAAAATCTGATTTACAAATTGCCCACAATCCCCAAAAAATGTTCGAAATAACCATAGAGGTTTTTACAGCTTTTAGATAAGCTTTATTGATTGCTAGAGGGTCAGAATGTTCGAATTCAGAAATTTGTTTCACATTATGATTCAAACATTTACAATTATTCTCCAATTCATCTAATCTGTTGAAATTGTTTTTATTATTATTAATTGTATCACTTTTTTCGCATTCAAATTCATTTCTTTTGCATTGATTAGTTGATAGGCCCGAAATATAGTAATTAATAAATTCAGAAATTGTTTGATCATCTGGCAGATATTCCCAATTACACGTAAATCCTGCCCATTCACATAAGTGATTACCTAAATCAAAAACACATTCCATTGTACCGGAGAACTCATAATCAATGAAAATGTAATTTTTATTTAAGGTTTCAATAATATTTCCCGGAAGCAAGTCGGAATGAGAAATTACTATTGAGCATGTTAACTTAGAGAAAACATCCGAGTATAAACTTCTTTTTAGCTTACAGATGAGTAGTTTTAATTTTTCAAAATTAATATCAATGAGATGCTCATTAGGATTTTGTTTTAAAGTTTTTTCTGAAAAAGATGTCCATTTGTCCAAAGTAGGCCATAAAATAGACATAGGTTGATTATTAGAAACAGAGTATAAGTCTTTCAAGTTCTGATTATTAATAGGGTTATATTCCAAAAAAATATTTTTCAAAATATCTTCAGAAATTTTAATTGAATGTAATTTTGCAATTTTCCTTGCAATCTGAATATAAGTTGATTTGTTTCTAAGATCCTCTACTTGTAAAGTTCTTCCTTGTACAAACTCTTCTATCTGTCCTCCTTGAAAATAATGTAATATTGGTTTAATAATTCCTGTTTCAGAAAGTAAATTTTGAATTAATTGTTCACGTTTCTCATTTACAAAAATCTTTCTTTCTTCAGAATAAAATCTAACTTTTAGATTTTGAATCAGAATATTCTTATTGATCTTTTTCATATCTTCGCAAAACAAATCCGTTGAGATTGAGACTAGAACCAAAATATTGGATAGACCACCAGTCAGAATCTTGGTTCTAATAAGCTTCTTAGGATTACAACATTTACATACACCTGTTTTAAATAATCCCCAAGATACTCTTTCAGCCTCCTTCAACTTAATTTCTAATATATCAGTATTCCAAGCCATTCTATAGAGACAGTTTTCAAAATTGACAGTTTATTGTGTATAGCACAATAGGTTGAAGTTTTATTTGCGTTTTATTCAAAAAGCTGAATTTCTATCGTATCCAAAGTTATTTATATTTGGGATACCATATACTTATTTATTTAAATATATACTGATTAACAAGAAGTTTTTAAGATGCTCTAAAAATTTAACAGAAATATTAAAAGTATCACGGGTTCAAATCCCAAACTTTGCAAAAAACTGATTCACAGTTTTTTGCCAAGTAATTCTCATTCAAAAGTTTGTAATTTAATTTTCCTCCTTCCTCCTCTTCCTCTCAGTTCTTTTCAAACTAAAATATTTTATTATAATATGGCTCTTTTAAGTGCCCGCCCAAATTCCAATTAGTTTCTATGTGGTGGGTGGTAATAAATGTGAATAGTATAAAAAAACTAAGATTACGTATTTGGTAGGCAGACTTAAAGAGAAAAAATTGAATTATATTTGTGACTTTGCGATAATAAACATTCAAATTTGCCAAAAACTTCCAAAGTTATTATGCGTTTAAACAAGATCATTTAATTTACCAAGTTATTCAAAGCTCAAGAAAGTGTAAAGCTTAATATTTATTATTAATTATTTTTTTGAAAGTAAATTGAGATATTAAAATTAATCAGGCTATTAAAATTATCTAGAAAACGGCTTTCTTTGTATTCACAAATTATAAAAACTAGGTAATTTGCGAATTAGTTTGAGTTTGCAAAGATTGATATATTGGGTATTTTAAGGCTGAGAAAATTCTTAAGTTTAAAAATATTTGGTAAATATTAAATTTCATATTTTGAATATATTAATACTTGATGTTCCAGTATGGCGTTAAATTTCAATATTACTGATAATAAGTACGTGAAATAAAGCTAATAAAAAGTTTTTTTTTTATTAAACAAACGTATATATATTTTAGAAATTTTGATTTTATGTAAATAAACAGTTTTGAGCATATTATTAGCCCACATGAACGGAATTAGAAAAGTCAATAATATATCAGAACATATGCATGGTTATGGAAATGACAAACCACTAAACAATCCTTTTGGAACACGTGCTGATATTTCAGGTTCTCCTGAGAACAGTTATAGCAATAACCCTTCTACAAGTTATAACCAAAATGGACGGTTTGGTGGCCAACAAATGGATTTTTATAACTGGGGTAACAATTCTAGTGATAATTTCAATGTTGGTGGGACTTTTTCGTTGAATAAAAATGATAATACAAATTCTTTTAATATATTAAATAATGCCAATCACCAATTCTCTACCTATGGCAATGATAATTTTCAGAGTTACAGTACTCCACACATGATGAATGGTACTGGAATACAGGGTGGAATGGGAGGAATGAATAACGTGAGCTCTGCGCCAGGAAACAATATGCTAAATTTTGGGAATAATACATCCCAGCTTGTGATGGGCATTGTGTCAAATACTGTTAAAGAGACGACAGGATTGAATTCTGAGAAGATCAGTCAACTCCAGCTTTGGTTTCCACAGACAATTGCTTCACTAAGATCCCATTTTGCAGTTAGCCATGAATATGTATTAAAGAAGATATTTCTGATCATTTGTCCTTTCATCACATTTTTCACTCAAAGCAAGAAACCATTTTCTTATGAAAACCACACTTCGATTTCTTCTAATGCAAATGATGGAGGAGCATGTCTTCCAACACTCTTCTCTGATCTTTACATTCCACTCATGGGATTTATAACATATGTTTTGGCAGATGGCGTAATTAATGGTGTGTTTTCTCAATTCAATCCTCAGATTCTTGGCTCGACTGCAACGTTTTCAATTGTATTACTAATAACGGAAATAATTCTTTTTCAATTAGTTGCCTATATATTTTCCGCAAGAGTTTTATCAACTTTGGACCTAATTAGCACTTTGGGATACAAGTACACTTCGATTGTTCTATGCGATTTCGTACTTTTGTCCACTGGTGGAATAAAAACACATGTCTTTTGGGGACTTTTTATATACTTTTCTATTTCATCTTCTTTATTAGTTTATATGATGCTCAAAGTAATTTCTACACAAAGTTTTAGCAATCAATTCAGCATGATTCAACAATCGGGTCTCACGATTGTGATTTTTATTTCGTCGTTAGCCCAGATTCCACTTTGTTGGATTCTCTTGCCTTCTATCTAGAAAAGTATAACTTTTATTAATCTTTATTTTTGTATGGAGGTTGGGTTCAACAGTTTTCAAAGGTTTAAGTTAGATTATCTTTTTCTTCTGAACCATTCCTTTGTGAATTCTACTAAAAACGAAATAAAGTTATACATTCTTTGGAAATTTAAACACAAAAATATATTTTTTTTATTTTCAAATTTTGTTCAGATACTTTATTACTCTGATAAAGTTTATTCTATGATTTATGAAAGTAAGAAAGAACTAAATGCAGTGCCTAGACATTTCGAGGAAATAAAAAAATGCATGTATCTAACAAAAAATTCTCATGTTTTTTTTTGATTAAACGGAGGATTCGAGGCAACTGTCCACATGAAAAAATTATTACAATAAGAAGTTTATAAAAAGAATTAGGCGCTAGCTGACACCATCGGCAATTAATAAGCAAATATAAATGTTGAAATACAAGTAAGCACAAAATTTGAGGGAAATCGGAGGGAGGAAAATGCGGAGAAAAGAAGTTGTTTTTAACAAAAAATTATATAGAAAATAATTTTATTTTTTAAAAAATATATAATATATCTGTATTTAATTAACATACAAAAATAAAAGACGAGATGGCGGCGCACCCGACGCATCCACTGTCGTCTTTGGCGCAATAACGAGAGGTCTCTCGAGAAAGAGTAGAATTAGGATTAATGTAATTAGTTGTGAACAATTTAATTATTATCTTCACGACAGAAGTGTTGGAAGCAAATAAAGTGCAGGAGGGAGTTTAGTTTCTTCTTTTTGTACAAAAAATATTTATTTTAGTCAGTACGAGTAAGGCTAAATAAGTATATATACTAGCTATATATAAATATTGAGATTTATTTTTGTATTTGTACGAGTATAAATACAAGGGGAATTAACATATATGAAACTTGGTTCAAGTAAAGTATTGTGATTTTTTAGATTCCAAGGATTTTGGTAGTTTCGTGTGTGTATAAGTAGATATCCCATAAGTTAGAAGAGACTTAGCATAAGCTCTAAAGAAGGGTTAATTATCTGAACGAGAACTTAGAATGAGAGTATAAGTGAGTAGCATCGTTGTCGTAAAAATCACAGATATTGATTGAATAACTTAAAAAAAAAAAATCATATTTAAGTATAATAAATATATGTGTATATTTAATTAAATATATATATATGTATATATTTTTATATTTATAAAATATATATTAACTAATTACTAACAATGACGACACTTCAAACAGAGGGTGGTAGCAGTGGAGGTCCTACGGTACCTGCTAAGATATTTTGTGGAGGATTAAGTGATGTCACAACAAATGCTTCATTGAGAACTCACTTCTCACCTTATGGTGAGATAGTGGACTCAGTTGTACTGACAGAGAAGACTACTGGTAGATCACGCGGATTTGGTTTTATCACTTTTGCCTCGGAGGAATCTGTTGATGCAGTCTTATCTTCTCCTCAAATTGTTGATGGAAAAGAGATAGACTGTAAGAGAGCAGTTCCAAGGGGTGTAATTCAAGCAAACGAGGCAGATGAATCTGTAGATAACAATCAGCCTAGTAATAATTCGGGTATTACAAACACAAATAATACAAATATCAGTGGTAATAGTGGTAATAACAATACTAGTAGCAATTCTAATGTAACAGGAAGAGCTCACATTGGAGGTTCAGCAAGTTCATCAGGTGGTTTTAGTGCAACCAAAATATTTGTTGGAGGACTTCCTCAAAGTTGTACTGATGAGAAACTTAGAGAGCATTTTGGAAAGTACGGTACTATTAAGAACCTTAGTGTTATGGTAGATAGAGATACTAATAGGCATAGGGGTTTTGGATTTGTTGAATATGAATCTCCTGATGCAGTTGAGGAGGTTATGAGACATTATTATGATCATCAAATTGATAATAAGTGGGTAGAATGCAAAAAAGCTCTTCCTAGAGAAATTATGGCAGGAAACTCAAATCAATCTAATTCAGCAGGCCATGGACCTTCATTAGGAAATCCTAGAATTAGAGCAAACCCTGCACTTGCTGCAGCATCAACCACAGCCGGTTCAAATTATGCCGACTATTACAGGAATCCGTATTTGCCTGTACATGCTGGGGGTGTTCCGAGCCAGCAAATTTATGGAAGATACGGTAGGCATGACCCTAGGTATATGTATACAGGATATGCTTCAGGATACACATCGAATATTTACGCCACTGGAGGCTATGCTCAAATGGCTCCTATGCATCATGCAACTGCACCTGGACCTCAGTCGTCCGCAGGTGTAGCAGTATCTATGCCACCAGTAATTCCAACTTTAGGTTCACACTATGGAGATGTTTCGCCAGAGCAAGCCGGTAATCTTCAAGTTCAGCCTAGTGGGTCAACTGCTACTTCTAATACTTCGAATTTGAACGCAAATAGTGCAAGTAATAATAATAATCCCAATTCCGCTCCAAATTACGATAATCAGGATGAATACCTTTCTGAACAACAAGGGGTATCTGATTCGAATGTACACTCGTATCATCATCCTGCAACATCCACAACAAACACCCCATCAGCTACTGGACCTGGAACTCATCCACCTAGACCCGGGATACCCCCTCATATGTATGCTCCAAACATGGCACGTCCTGGACCATATACTCAAGGTAGGTATGCACCGTCAGGAGCTCTTCCGTACTCGGTTCCCGGTACCGTCCCAACACATGGAAGGCTACGAGGTATGTATTGACAATAGGATTACTGAAAGATGAAGAGGAAAAGAGAATGCAATTTATTGGAAAAAGTAGAATGTGTAATGATGTGTTTCAGAATTTTGATACGTCATAAGCAGTTTGCTTACGTAATTTTCTAAGGTTTTCATCATTTAAAATGAATGTTCAATTTTTTGCATATTTCAATAACATTTGTAAGAGTGGAATAATGATGAGACCAACAGCTCCATTTTTATATTGAAATTATGATTATTGCATTAACTTAATACTTGCAAGGCAGAATATGCAAAGCAAGTATTTTGCAGTTTGGTATCGCACTATAATTGCTTGTAAGTGATTGGTGATACATGGTTTGAAATAGGGATCCCTAATTTGACACATAGTTTGCTTAATAAAAAGTATGATAATGGGCAATTCAACCAAATTTTTATTTTGGGAAACATCTATGCATGTTGAAAGAATAAGCAAGACATGATATTAATCAGATTTTACAAGATACTATTGAACGTATTACTTTTTTTTCAAAGTTCGTATTCTTTTGGTTATCTTTTGTATCTTTCAGTAATTGCAGTTCAGTATGTATTGCTTTCTTATTGTTACTAATAAATATTTAGATAATATTTATAATTCTCTTAGTCTTTTATTACTTAGATTTTTGCAAGAAAGGAATGGAAAGATATATTAAGAGAGATAATAAACTATTGATTTCACACAATTATTTCTCTAGTTGTTTTCATTAATATTTGCAAAAACATTAGATTAAAATTTTAAGATTCTAATCGAAGTGTTTCTTAATTCTCCGGCTTTAAAACTGGACTATTTAGTTTGTTAAAACAAGATAAGCGGTCTAGAAGGTCTATTTGGTTTAAGAGCTTTCAATTGAGTTATGTAAAATGACATTTACAGACTCGAACAGATGTTTTAAAAAAATTTTCCTTTTTTTTTTTTTTTACAATTGTAATACCAGAGAGTGGCAGTATCTATGCCAAAAAACTTTTTCAAATAGAATTTTAGGTAAATCCCACTCTTCCACACATTGATACAAATATTATTTGCTTTCTTATTTTTTTTTCTTGCCACACGAGATATAAAAACACATACAGGCATTGGGCGGGAACCTTGCGTGGTTTAAATAATACAAATATAATAATACCAGGAATAAGTGAAACAAGAGCTTCTTGAAAATAATTGTGAATGGATGAGTGGGCATACAAAAGTGGTACAAGATTGTATGTGCGACTTGAAATTGGTGATTGGATAACGTTTTTTGTCTGACGGAGAAAAGATAAATTTTAGGAAGTTATTGCTTGCGAATGATTAATTCGTATTAAAACATCTAAGTTTAAAATATAAGAAAGGACAAATAATAAATTTTTAAGCAAGGAAATTGTGTATTTTTGAGAATGAATCAACTAAATGGATTACGCAGACTCTTTAGGAGGTTACAAAACCAGCTAGGAAGAGCATTTGTATGTAGGAATAGTCTCGTGTATCTTATATTGGTAATAATATTACTTTGGGCATTATCTTTTACAATAGTGCACCAAATAATTATATCAAATGTTGGTAGTTATATGTCTTCTTCAGATCGTCTGAGCTTAAGAGGTATGGGTGGGAAAGGATTAAAGGTTTTTAGGTGTTTAATTAAGGGTAACTGTATTAATAATGCTGGAGAAGGTAATAATGTTGATTTTATGAAGCTTGTTGATGAGTCAGATTCAAGGCACCAGAGTTATATTATTAAGTTAAGAACTATGCCAAATAAATATAATTTGACAGAATATGGAAATGTTAAGAACTTAACAGAAAGTGTTATAATAACTAAATACTTTGATAATTTAGCTTTTGCATCTCCAAAGGATACTGGGATCAATTACAACTCTGATTTAGGCCTTTCTCTTGTTAAAAAATATGGTCTTGGCTCGAAAATTCTTCCTTATGTTGAACACAAAGAGTATTCATTGCTGTTTTCTAATACCTCGCAACAATATTTAAATTCATTTGCAGTATTTCCAGGTTACAACAAGTTAAGACAACATGGTATTCTTGGTATATTTCCTAACGGAACTACTCCTTTTGCTTTCATTGAAATGCCTCCACAAATTAATAGTGAAAATGAAGCAACTTTATTAGGGAAAGGGGGTGGTTTTTATAGACAATTATCTGATTTCCTTTCTTTAGATAGATTTCCAGAAGAAGTTAGGGACCCCATATGCAGAAATATAGTTTATCCAATAAAGGATCTTGATGATGTATCTATCATCATTACATTTTATAATGAACCACTTTCAACTTTATTAAGATCTGTTCACTCAGTTTTAAACAATACACCTCCGCCTCTACTACGTGAGATTATTCTTGTTAATGATGGATCCGATATGATAGACCTTGTTCCAGGAGGTTTCTTAGACGATTATATCAGACTTCTCCCTAAAGTCAGTGTTATTCACCTTACAGAACGAACAGGTATTGTAAATGCAAGATTAAATGGTATTAGAGTTGCAGTTGCTCCTGTAGTTGTAATACTGGATAGTCACATTGAAACTTCAAGACAGTGGCTTGAACCACAGCTTCTAAGGCTTAAGGAGTCACCAAAATCTGTAGTAATGCCACAAATCGACTCAATAGATCCAGAGAATTTTTCTTATACCAATACTACTGGAATTGGATGTAGGCTTGGATTCAAATATTCAATTGTAGAGCAGGCTTCATTGACAGGGCCTATCAATGATACTACTCCGATAAAGTCTCCAATGATGGCTGGTGGTCTTTTTGCCATTAGAAGAGACTATTTTTGGGAGTTAGGTGGCTATGATGAGAAATTCAAGTATTGGGGTGCAGAAAATGTTGAAATGAGTCTCAGAATTTGGATGTGCGGAGGACAGATTGAGTGCACTCCTTGTTCCAGAGTGTTCCATATTTTCCGAAAGAAAGGTGCTGGCTATGTTTCACCCCCCAATAGTTTATGGATTAACAGACTTCGTACAGCTCGAATATGGATGGACGAATTTTACCAAATAACTGAGACAATGGCACCTAATCCTAATATTGATCTTGGCTCGTTTGATGACATGTTACATCTTAAGAAAAAGCTCAAATGCAAATCATTTAGGTGGTTTTTGGACAATATAGCTCCAGATACTTATATTACTCAAGTGAATCAACTTCTTTTCGTAGGTGAAATTAGGAGTAAGAAAGTGGAAAATGTTTGCTTAGATTCTATGAATGGGAGTTCTGAAGGTGACCAGGTTGGTATTTTCTATTGCCATGGGAAAAAAGGTACTCAGGCATTTATAATGTCTAATAACACAAACCAAATTCGTTTAGCTTCTAAAGAGAGCTATTGTATCGGAAAAGGATTATTATACAATTCATGCTCTAATCTTGAAATGACAAATATTTGGAAGCTAGAGAATGACATGATAATTAAGACCGAGGCTGAGCCTGGTAAATATATGTGCCTTTCATTGGTAAGAAGTGAAGAATTTGCATCAAAATATACAGTAAAGCTATTAGATTGTGAGCCCAACAACCCAAATCAGCACTGGAAAATAACTAAATTTATACCTAGAAAGTTCACTCCACTTAAACTATCCTATACTTTATAATGAATTAGTTTTTTTCCAATAGCTGGAATTAATTGTAGCGAATTTCTGCATTTTTAAATAAATTTAAAACATAATTTTTGATTTGAATAGCTAGAGTTTTCATATTTGACAAGGAACACATCTTATTTATTTAATTATTTGGTTTGAATGCAACAAATTTCTTTTTGACTGCTATTATATTATTACCACGTTTTTACATGCATTCCACATTTGGTTTGTATTGTTTGGCAGTTCACAAATAAAAAAGTTAAAATTATGCCGCGCGCGGCACTCGGCTTCCGTCTCATTAAATGTAAAAGATGCCAAGGAAAAATTCAGGGGAATATTTATTTATATATTTTTTCCTCTTGACTGGGAAAAAAGAAATATTCAAGCAAAAAAGGTGGTAGTTCAGCAATTGCAACCTTAAGATTTGATACGGGAAGGATTCGGAAATTATTTTTAGCCTATTTGTGGAGTTCTCCTGAAATTGAAGACTACTAAGTTGACAGGGATTTTTAGAATAAATACAAAAATATATATTATTTAAAAGTTATATGCGAATTTATATAAATATTTAAATTAAAAAGGATAAATAAAATGAGACCAATAGTATTACAAGCTCATGAGCGTCCTATTACATTTGTAACTTATAATTTTGATGGAGATTTGGTATTTTCATGTGGCAAGGTAAGTTGCTTATTTTCTGTCGATTTCTCTATTTAGAAATAAGTAGGGAAGTTATTTAGTGCGAATTTGACTAATACTAATAATATTAATTATAGGATGGGTCAGTTGCATGTTCATTTACTTCCGATGGAAAGGTTGCTGCTAAATATGAAGCAGGAAGAGCAGCAGTTTGGAATTGTGACCCTTCATTAGATGGGAAAACTTTGATAATGTCTTCCGCAGACCAGAAGTGCGTGAGCTTTGATATTGAGAGAGCAGAGATAATTTCCTCGTATCCCATGAGTGGTACTTGCCGTTTTGTAGAGTTCAATAGAAAATACGATAATCAAGACAAGTTTGTTGTGGCTGTAGACCAATTCTATCCGGAGCCTCGACAATTACTTATAAAAAAAGTTGGTGATCCAAATATGGAAGGCATTAGAATTACAGGAATTAATAGCAGAATCACACGTGCTCATTGGGGTATGTTTGATCAAAATATTATTTCTGGCCATGAGGATGGCGGTATCTACATCTGGGATATCAGGCAAAGTTCGGAACCATATGAAGTTTTAAGGGCCCACTCTAAATTGCTTACATGCTGTTCATTCTCAGAGGATAGGACCTTGATGTTAACTTGCAGTCATGACATGACGGCAAAACTGTGGGATATGGTAAACTTAAAAGAAATTAGAAAGTATACAACTAACCGTCTTTTGAACGGTTGTTCTATATCTCCAAACTTTAACAAGGAGAAGGATCCAAGAAGACATATTTTACTTGGAGGTGGTCAACTCGCACAAGATGTCACAACAACCGGTACTCAAGAAGGTAAATTCCAAACTCTAATTATGCATATGATTTATGGGACCGAACTTGGTGCTATTAAAGGTCACTTTGGTACTATGAATGCTTTAGTTTATGCCCCAGATGGTATGGGTTTTACTACTGGTGGAGAGGATGGCTTTGTACGTATTAATCATTTTGATGATGAATATCTCAAACTAGACCCTTAATTAGTAATACTGCGAAATAGTCAAGTAAAACTATATATATTTAATAGACAAAATCGAGATCTCAACCGACTTTTGTTTTTAATGTTTTCCTTAAATCTTATTAATGCAGATTGCTATTACTATTTATTAAAATAAAACTTTACTCAAATCTCAATTATAGATGAACACACAGTTTCTGACTGTTCTAACTATCACATTTTGTATCTCGTAATTTTAATGACTGTTATTTTTATTCTTTTGAAAAAAAAGAATATGTTTTGGCGGGAATTTCGGTTTGACAAATTTAATAGGCGCCACAGTCAATTTATATATTAAACAATTAATAGTATAGGTACTTTCATTCAACATGAATATTTGAGAGGAAAAATTGAAGTTGAAAAAGGAAAAATTAGTCTATTTAATTTGGGTTTTAGCAAGAAGAAGATGATTGATCCAAAAATAGCTGAAATTAAAGAGTTTCAAAGACTAGAGAGAATTGGAGCACATTCACATATAAGAGGCCTAGGTTTAAATGATGCATTGGACGCAAGGTATTCATCGGATGGGATGGTGGGCCAGAAGCTAGCTAGAAGAGCCGCAGGGATAATTGTAAGAATGATTAAACAAGGTAAAATTGCAGGAAGGGCAATTTTATTATCTGGCCAGCCAGGAACAGGAAAAACAGCAATTGCTATGGCAATTGCAAAAGCAATAGGAAATGATACACCATTTACACATATTTCAGCTTCTGAGGTTTTTTCACTTGAGATGAATAAGACAGAAGCTCTAAGGCAAGCTTTGAGAAGATCAATTGGTGTTAGAATAAAAGAAGAAATAGATGTTATTGAGGGAGAAGTAGCAGAGCTAGAAATAGATCGCTCAAATTCGACTGGGGTTAAAGTTGGTAGAATGGCTTTAAGAAGCACCGATATGGAGACAGTTTATGATATTGGTAGTAAGATGATTGAATCACTTCAAGCAGAAAATATTGTGGCAGGAGATGTAATTTCAATTAATAAATCAAGCGGAAAAATAACTAAATTAGGCCGTTCTTTCACTAGGTCTAAGGATTATGATGCAGTTGGATACCAAACCAGATTTATTGCATGCCCTGAGGGTGAACTTCAGAAAAAGAGAGAAGTAGTACACAATGTAACTTTGCATGACATTGATGTAATTAATAGTAGAAGCCAAGGATTTTTAGCACTATTTGCTGGTGATACTGGCGAAATTAAACCAGAAGTTAGAGCTCAGATTGATGAGAAGGTTGCTGAATGGAAGGAAGAAAGTAGAGCAGAAATAATTCATGGAGTTTTGTTTATAGATGAAGTACATATGCTAGATGTTGAATGTTTTAGTTTTCTTAACAAAGCGTTAGAGGAGGAAACAAGCCCAATTTTAATTATGGCGTCAAATAGGGGTATTACAAAAATTAGAGGGACTGATTATAAGTCACCACATGGTATACCTATTGATCTTTTAGATAGATGCCTAATTATTCCAACAATTCCTTATAGTGAAGAAGATGTTAAGAAAATTATTCAAGAAAGAGCGAGTGAGGAAGATCTTAAATTAACTGAAAATGCTTACCAAATTCTCACTAGAATAGCAATGGATACAAGCTTGAGATACTCTCTACATTTACTAACAGTTTCTCAAGTTCTTGCAAATAGGAAGAAAAAAGAAGAAATTGATATTGATGAGATCAAAAAGGCCTATTCACTTTTTATTGATGTTAAAAGAAGTACCCAATATCTTATTGATTACCAACAAGAATATCTATTCTCTGAAATTGAATCATCAAATAATAATGAAATAAAAAGTAAGGATAATGATGATTGCACAATGCAGGATAACAATCAAGGACTAGTTCCAGATACTGCAGTTCAGGAAAAAATGACACTAATGTAGATTTTAAACAAAACCAAAACAGAATTAGCACTTTTTGAATATACTCTAGGTATTTATTAGATAGATTACTTCTATTCTTATTTTTTTCTTTTTTTAAAATAAGCGCCAATTATTTTATATTTTTAAATTTACTTTTTACTAGTAGGTTCTCTAATTCTTTAGGGTCTGATCTTTCCAATTTTTCTACTAAGGTGTAGGAATTATCAGTCAATACCCAGTAGTGGAAAGTTGGAAGGCTGAGAACACCCATATCATTGCAAAAATTATTATGATTTTCGTAGTTAATCTTTATAAATATACCTTCATATTCTTTACATAAGTTATTAAAAATGGGGGAGATTTTTTTACATGGGTTGCACCAATCTGCGTAGTAATCTATCACTATGGGTAACTCCAAATTCTTTCCCAAAAGTTTACAAATTTCCCATTCATTAATGCTTTCAAGCTCAAAAAAAGTATGAGATTGCACTATTTTCAAGATTTTCTCATAACTTTCCTTTACAAAATGAGGCTCCAGGCCAATTTTAATCAGATCGTTCTCTTCTAGGATCTTTCCATGATTAATCATTCTTAATCCACCATGGTCTTCTCCAATTGAGTCTTTTCTAAAGAAAATCTTCTTAAAAAACCTTGTTAATGGGCCGATTAGAGCAAATAGGAACAGAACAATATTCCATATTGGGATGCAAAGTGGACCTAAACATATTATCATTTTTCCCTAAATTATTTTATTGAAAAGAATCAAGCCAATTTACCCGCCAATTTGTCTGAATTTAAACAAAATATTAAGTAATAGGTATGTTAAACAAGAAAAAAATAGCAAAAAATAAATTAAGGGAATATAACATATTATAAATACAGAAAGAAAGTTTTTTTTGGTTATTTCAATTACAACCTGTAATCAATTCATTAAGAACTGATTTATATTTGAAATTAGCTCAAAACGAATAGGTAACATGACACGTGGAGGTTTTGAAAATAGTTTATTTCTTTTTAATAAAATATATACCGAAGGAAAAGATTTCATATACAAATAATCAAAAAGGAATAGAATGCTTATAGCACATTTACCCATCTTTTTTTTTCTATTTTCTAAAAGGAATATTAATCACTTTTTCTTTGCTTAGATTCATAGTGTTGTGTTAATTTCATATCTAGCCATGAATAGAGTTGCAAATTATTGTTATAAGCAGTTTCATAAGGGGAGCCATTAAGATTTGAGGCTAAATTTGTAATGTCTGTATACATTTTTTTGGTCATTCTTTTAATTAAGAATGATGCTAGTTTAACTGGAACATATTTTGTCACACAAAAGCTGGAGAACATCTCTAGAGTAGTGAGAAATTTGTCATTGTCTGAAGGAGTTAGAATGAATAAGAGATAGCTACACTTTTCCCTAGGTACTTTTGGAGGTGGATCAGGAATATTTACTCCAAAAAATTTATTTTTCGAAGATTGAGGGTCCCCACAAGAAATCATGATACAGTTGTGCTCTCTTAAAGTGTCTACTCCGAAGCAAAACATAATATTTTCTCTTTGTCCTATTGGCCAAGGTAAATCGTAAACCTGTTGTACTAGCTTGCTTACACGGCTGAAGTTGTAGAAACATTTTGAATAAGACATATATGGCACCCACATATTTGAAAGTTCAACTTCGTTTAAAATGGTAATTAAATTAATTAATTTACATTTAATATCACTCTTTATGATCACATTTATAGATAGCTGTCCATTTAAAGATGAATCTATTTTATATGATAATGAAATACCTTTTGAATATTCTATATTCCAACCATCAATATTATTAGGAGAAAATGGTTGGATATCGAGTTCATTAGGAGAATGATCAAAGTTTTCTTCTTTTTTACCAAATTCTGAAGCTTTTTCGCTGTTATTACTAATATTTCGATGTTGGTGGTACTTATAATGAGAAAGAATATGACGGTGATGAGAATGACCATCATGATGAAGAAAAAAGTGATGATTGTTTAAATTACTTTCTCCATTTGCATTATTGCTTGTAGGTTTTTCTAATGAGGGATTTGACTGTCTGTGCCACTTATTAATCTTGAGCAATTTATGTTTAGCAAAAAAGTTACTTGTTTGATTTGTATGTAGTATCCTTTCACCAATTTCTGTTTCATCATTAGGTAAATTATTATATCCAAAATTGAAATCTTGAAACCTATTTGAAAGGTTAAAGTGCTTCAAAGCAGATCTAATTTGATCAATCTTAAAAATTAGCATCTTAATATCATGATCAGAACCAGTCTGAGCTAACAAACATTCAATTGATTTGGAAATCTCTTCTTGTTTATCTTCATCAAACAATTTCTGAAGTGACTTCAACTCAAATATAAGCATTTGCCTTGCATTATCAGCTCCCAATAATGCCTCTCCCATTATCAAGCTCTTAATGCTTGTTGTAATTTGATCTGTTAACTTTTCAAGAAAATCAATTTTTGAAGAATTGTCATTAACATCACAAAATAATTCATCCCAAGTACTTTGATCTAATTCAAGTTGAGTTTCAGAAGATGAAACAACAGTTGGTGTTTCACCCTCTAAATTCATTCTTAGTATTTCATTCAATTTAAGTAAATTTTCTATTGAAAGTTTTATTTTCGAGTTCTCAAGATTACATTGATTATGGTAAGATTTATTAATATAATTTTCAGTTTTATGATTTGAATCATCAAAAGATTCTTTCAATTCTAAACTGGTAGCATCTTTTTTAGTAAAACTAAACATCAATGGACTTAATATGCTTGCTTTTACTTTCTTTTTATCCTGATGCTTACTGTCAATATTAACATTTTTTTTCTCATCAAACTCGAGATTACATACCAAATACTTTCCATCTAGATCTTCCAAATCCTTATTAGATATTTTATTATCTTTCCAGGTTTTAATCTGATTATATATTGTATACTCTAGTGTATTTCTCAATTCTGCATTCTTTAAAGAGGTTTGGGTTTCTAGGCCTAATTTACTTGGCTTTCTGGGTATGTTAGTAATTTTTGCTTTGCTTTTAAATTTATTCTCATGACTCTCCATTTTCGAATACTCTGTACTTTTTGTTTGAATATTACTGCCAATTAATGTTGAAATGATTAAGATGATGACTAACTATAAGTTATAATTTCAAAGGATTGCACAGGATTATACCAAATTGAAATATTATTATTCTCATTCAAAAGCTCTAACTTGAAATAAGAAAATAATATATTATAGCTTTATTAATTATGAGTATCAAGCTATTTCTAATTATTCATCTCAAGCCTAATTATTGACCTTAAGCTATAGATAAACATTCGATTCAAAAATGTTCACTTAACACACATACAATCCATTATTTTGATTTATGTTCCATATATAGAATTTCAATATCTTCTATTTTCAGTCTTTTTATTTCGATCTATTCTTTCTTAATATAATCCCCTTTGGGCGCCAATGTGTCAAGTTTTTTTAATTAAGGGGAAGAATGCATGGTGTTGCAAAATACGTAATGATTTATTAGAGAAAAAATTAAATATAATAACGTAGATGGATGAGGGGGGAGGGGTTTGATAAATTTAAGTAGAAAAATAATGATTCTGGACAGAAATATTTAATATAATTAAGAATAACCTGATTTTAAATTCTTAAGAAAATAGTGTTTAAAAAGACAGTTGATTTGGATGATTTAATTTAAGTAATTTTTATCTTCAGCCTTTCTTTCTGGAGATCTGTATACCGAGATATTGGAATTAACTTCAATTCCAATTCCACTACCGCCTCGAACTTGTAGTTTTTGTTGAATGTTATTAATATTGTTTGTAGATAGAAGTTGTTGAGAAGATTCTTCCGTAGATTCATTATTAATAGATAGAAATGTATTATATGGCATCAAGCCTACTCTTGATTCTATTAATGCATCCGAATATACTGGTATTGGTACATTAAATGTACGTGGAACATGTCTTTGTATTATTTTTGGAACATGTACAACTTTTTCTACTGATATAGGCACTGGTACTTCTTCTTCAACGATCTTTTCAACAGGAACAGGAACAGGGACTTCAACAGTCTTAAGTACATATTTTGGTACCTGTACTTCTTGATATCTATCGACAGGAACCGGTACATATTTAAATTTTTCTAATATACAATCTCTTGGGACTGTTTTAATATCTATCATTGGGACGTTAATATCTTGTTTAATCATTTTATAATGTGGAACTGAGGCATGGACTAACTTTTCTATTGTTTGTATGACTGGAATTTCTACGATTTTCTCAGTTTCAACATATCTTGGCTGAATATTTGGAACAACTACATCTTTCCATATAATCTCTTCTTGAATTTGTGGTATTTCTAGAATCTTTTCAACGATAACCTCTTTATATTGGATTTGTGGAACCTCAACAATCTTTTCTTCTATTACTATTTTAGGTACTTCTACAATCCTTTCTTGAACCTCAACCCTCGGAACAAATACAGTTTTTTCCTTTAATACTCTTTCTTTTTTTTCTACAAATTTTTCTACATATCTTACTTCTGGAACATAAACAATTTTCTCTTCTTCATTAATTTTGGGAACTTCAATAATTCTTTCTTGTATTTCAATTTTTGGAACCTTTATAATATTCTCCTTGTAAATAATTTCCGGAACTTCTACCAACTTTTCTCGGTACTCTATTGTTTCTATCTCAACAATTTCTTCTTCATTAATAACTTTTGGTTTTTCCACAACTCTCTCCTAATATCAAAAAAAAAAATGAGAATGAAATCTAATAAATAAGGAAAATGAATAATATTAGGCTATAAAAAAGTCGATTAAAAATTTCAACTTTTTCATAGTCTCTTTAGTAATTCCATTTATCTTATCAGAATAATAAACTTACATGATATAACCCTTGTGCCATTAGTTTAGTTGGTATTTCTGGAGGTACAAGAGAAATATTTGGAGGCAAATGCATCCCTTTTGAATCAATATCTTTTAATAATTAAAAATTATAATATTTAATACATTTCTATATAAATAAACTAACCATTCTCCATCTTCCTAGTGCAATTTATTATGTGTTGGACTCAAAAGTATTAATTTGTCGCCTCAGTGATGGTTAAATTTATGATAAAACTCTGAATGGATGTATAGAGTTCTCGAATGTTTTCTGCAAATATTAAAGTTGTAGTTTAAAGATGTACTTTGGTACTTTTTTCTTCTTCTTAATCTTCAAGAAAAAATACAAATTGTCCGGTCAGCTTTTAATTTACAACAAAGATGATAGTCGGAGGATATAATTTTTTTTCTTTCTGAAATACTAAATATTTCCAATTTCCACTATTTTTTTCAAGCATGCATCGGACAGGCGGTAATAAAAAAGTGTGGGCATAAAATGGCCCCGCCGGCGCCACATTGTTTAGTCAAAAGTTGGATAGCTAACTATATCGAGGAACAGGGAGAAATAAAATAAAAAAGGCAGTTTTTTCCTCCAAAATTGAAAATATAGGAGAAGACTGTACATGAAATGGGAGAGTTAGTGAGTTTCGAGAATAGCCGTTTGATAGAGTCCATTCGACGAGATGGAATACAAACAACATTGGAGCTAATAGATACTTTAGATAGTAGTGAATTATCGAAAAGATGCCCAGTAACAAATGCCAATGCAATATTTTATGCAGTTCAAAGGACAAATGATGATGAAGCACTCCAAGTTTGTAAGAGGATTTTGAAAAAATGCCCAGAATTGGATGTTGCATCTACAGACTTTAGCCTGCAAACTGCATTATTTTTTGCTTGTAGAGATGGTAATGTAAAGACAGCTGAATTTTTAATAGATAATGGGTGTAATGTCAACCATACCGATAGAGTAAACCAGACAGCTTTATTTTATGCAGCACGAGATGGAAGATTCGAAACTGTCCAACTACTCTTGGATAAAGGTGCAGAGCCGAATCTTTCAGATAATGTTGGCCAAACAGCTTTATTTTATGCAGCAAGAGACGGAAGATCTCAAACATGTATGCTGTTATTGGATAATGGGGCTGATGCAGGAATTAAGGACAAGAACCGACAAGCAGCTCATTCTTATGCCTTGAAAAGTGGGCATAAACAATTAGCGAACATATTAAAGAGTAGGATGGTTAGTTCAAGTGGAGTAGGAATGGGGGCTAGTGCAGTTGAAGGCTCGAGCAGCTTGGAAAAAGATGCCAGTTTTGACAGGGCATCTCTGTGCAATTCTATTGTAAATGAAGGAGGAATTAAAGATTCTGAGATAAGACAGTGCTACAGATTACAGTTTAAAGGAAACGACGGAAAGTGGTATTTTGCTCCAAAAATAAAGATTGAGGAGTTTGAGAAGAAATTCCCAAACATTGCAGTTTGGTCAAAAGAATCACCAATAGCAAGTTTAAAACCAAATTCAGACCCTTTTAGAGCATCTTGGTATAAAACTATCAGTGAATGTGTAGAAGAGCTTAGGAAACAAGAAGGTGCTTGGATTTTTGACAAACCTGTAGATGAGAAAGCCTGGAACTGTTCTGATTATTATAAAATAGTTACAAAGCCAATGGATTTTAGCCTAATACGTAAGAAGCTTAGAAATGGCGAGTACGAGCTTTGTAGTGAAACTATAGCAGACATACAACAGATATTTTCTAACTGTTATCTTTACAATAAACCAGATTCAAGCGTTTCAATTCTTTGTAAGGCGATTGAACAACATTTCAATAGTTTGAAATCCAGTAAAGATATTGATTCAATTCTTAAAAAAGAAGCTGAGTTATTTAATTTAAAGAGTGAAGTCCATATTAAGGATAATATCAAAATGGAATGATCAATTATATTTTTTTTCTTTGATAGATGTATTTATTATGCTTTGTAAGATATATTCATAATTTTATAATAAATGTTAATTAGTTAATGAATTCCGACTTTAACATGAATATAAACATGCTTGTTAGAGCCCATTTTTGACCCTCTCTCCAAAAATTGCACTTCCGATTCTTATTTCATCCGAGTAATTTTTAATTGCTAATTCCATATCTCTGGTTGTACCCATACTAAGCTTACATTCAAGGCACTGGTTGTTTTCAAGACTTTTTGTGATCTTTTCGTTAATAATATCTCTTAACTTTACCATCTTATTAAAACAATCACTATTGTGATTTACATCAGAATTACCCATTGTCATTAAGCCTTGAAATTTGAGATTCTTACATTTAGAAATTATATATTCAAAAATCTCTAAGACTTCAGAAATCTGAGCTCCTGATTTACTCATTTCATCGGAAGTTTTTACCTGTATCATAACTTTCAAAATTTGTCTTCCTTGTGTTTGACATATTTTATTTAATATTTCTGCAAGTTTGATTGAATCAACTGTTTCTATTACTTCTAAGTTGTCTATAGATAACAAGGCCTTAGCCTTATTACTTTGTAAATGACCTATAAAATGCCATTTAATTGACTTGGGTAAATTCCTTGATTTTTCAATTAGTTCCTGGACATAATTTTCTCCAAATATTTGTTGATTTGTTTTTTCATGCAATAATTTGATATTTTCCTCACTCTGGTACTTACTTACTACCAGCAATTCTGGGCATCTTTCCAAATTTGAACTAAGTTCCTTAATTTGATTTCTAATTTTCATATAATTTTCAATAACTTCATTTTTTGACATTTTTACTTGAATTAAGACTTCCCCCCCCCAAAAATCTATATATTGTTTTTAATTGTGCTGAAATAAAAATTTCAAATTTAACTTAAACATAATATTTTATTGTCCACATGACAAATGTATTTAAGTAGTAACTAAGGAGGTTGGCGCTGAAAACACGTCATTTACCATTAAAAAAAAAAAAATAAATTTTTAGACTTTTTAAGTTTGATTTTGGATTTAAATTTGCGATAATATAAATATAGAATATATATTCATATTTTGATATTTAATTATAGCTTCATTATTTTTTGTTTGAGGGGTGGATACAAAGTCAGTAAATATGAGTACGAAAGCCAATGATTTGGGAAATACTGGAGGTTCAAGACAAAGAAGGGACAAATTACTTTCAGTGCAACATCAGGTCCAAAAACTTTGGGAAGAGAATCGAATTTATGAGGCAGACGCAGACCCGTCCCGTGAGAAATATATGATTACATTTCCATATCCATACATGAATGGAAGGTTACATTTAGGACACGCCTTTACTTTAACCAAAGCAGATTTTCAAGCGAGATTCCAGAGAATGAATAATAAAAATGTTTTATTTCCATTTGGCTTTCATTGTACAGGAATGCCAATATGTGCAAGTGCAGACAAATTAAAAATGGAGTTGAACTCTACAAATTTGGTTGGAAACGGTAAAGAGAAAGAAGAGACAAATCAAGTACAACTTAAAAGTAAAGTTGCAGCTAAAACAGGAGGGGCAAAGAGCCAATCAGAAATTCTTAAAGCAATGGGTATTCCTGAAGAAGAGATAAGCAAATTTACTGATCCAGTTTATTGGACTGAGTACTTCCCCCCTCTTGCACAAAAAGATTTAAAGGATTTTGGAACTGCTGTTGATTGGAGGAGATCATTTATTACAACAGATATTAATCCTTATTATGATGCTTTTGTTAAATGGCAGTTCAGAACTTTGAAGGTAAGTTGCTAATAAACATTTGAATTTTGAAGATATTAATTGAAAACAATTATTAGTTTAAAAAAGATAAAATAAGATATGGATTAAGACCCGCAGTATTTAGTAGAATAGAAAACCAGCCATGTGCTGACCATGACAGATCTTCAGGAGAAGGAGTTGGACCTCAAGAATATACTTTAATTAAATTGAAAGCACTCAGTTTACCAGAAAATATTGAGAAACTAGTTGGCGGAAGAAATGTGTTTTTTGTTACTGCAACTTTAAGACCAGAAACAATGTATGGTCAAACTAACTGTTGGATATTACCTACTGGAGAATACGAATTAATATTGGCTTTTGACTATCCAATATGCAAATCATTAGAAACTTCTGATGGAGTTTTAAGGAAGATTTATGAAAGCAAAGAAGAAGCATTAGCTGATTGTAACACGGTCTTTGTATGCTCCAAAAGGAGTGCTTATAATATGGCTTATCAGGGTATAGTACCACTAGTTAATGAAAATTCCTTAATACAAGGTAAAAATGTTGATTCCTTACCGGAGGTTATCTCTTTTTCAAAAATGAGTGGAGAGGATCTTATTGGAATTCCATTGTTACCTCCAAATGCATATTATTCTAAGATTTACACCTTACCAATGTTTTCAATTTCAATGGATAAGGGTACTGGAGTAGTTTCATCTGTACCATCCGATTCTCCTGATGATTATGCTGCTTGGAATGATATTAAAACTAAACCAGGAATTAGGGAAAAATATAATATAAAACAAGAGTGGTTATTAGATTTAGTTCCAATTATTGATACTCCTGAGTTAGGAACTTTAGCTGGCGAAACAGTGTATCTAAAGTACAAGATTCAAAGCCAGAATGATTCAGCTAAATTAAAACAAGCTAAAGAAGAAGTTTACAAAAAAGGTTTTTATGATGGAGTAATGATATCAGGAGATTTTAAAGGCATGAAAGTTTCAGATATTAAGGAAAAAGCTAAACAAAAGTTGATCAGTGATAAAAATGCTCTAATTTACTTAGAACCCGAAAATACTGTAATTAGTAGAACTGGAGAATTTTGTATTATTGCTTTATGTAAACAGTGGTATCTTGAATATGGAGAAGAAAAGTGGAGGAAAGATGTTTATAACTGGGTTAATGATGAAAAGTCATTTGAGACATTCTATCCACAAGTAAGAACTTCATTCTTGGAGGTTATTAATTGGTTAAAGGAGTGGGCATGCTCTAGATCTTATGGCTTGGGGACTTATCTTCCATGGGATACTGAAAACAACCAAAAAGTTTTAATTGAATCTTTATCTGATTCTACAATTTATATGGCTTATTACACTATATGCCATTTTTTCCATTCTGATTTCGAAGGTAGATCAAAGGGATTATTGGATATTCCTATTGAATATGTTAACGATGATTTATTCGACTATGTCTTTTGTTTGAAGGATGAACCATCTGAAGATTTAGTTAAAAATATTGGCAGAGGACAGCTTGATATCATGAGACAAGAGTTTAAGTGTTTTTATCCTCTGGATTGTAGAGTTTCTGGAAAGGATTTAATATTTAACCATCTCACAATGTGCTTATATAATCACGCTGCTATTTGGGAGAATAAGAAAGATTTCTGGCCAAAAAGTTTCTATTGTAATGGACACCTTATGATAGATTCTATGAAAATGAGTAAATCAACTGGAAATTGGATTACTTTGGAGGATGGAATTAATGAATATTCTGCAGATGCTTGTAGAATTGCTTTAGCTGATGCTGGAGATATGATTGATGATGCAAACTTTTGCAGAGATACTGCTAATTCAGCTATTATGAGACTTTATTCTTTAATCCAATCTGCTCAATTTTATGTTGAAAATAAAGAAAAACTTAGAGGAGGATCTCAGGAAATTTCCAACTCTGAATTGAATAACTTTCTAAAGGAAAACCCAAATGCTTTAAATGCTTTGAATCAGGCAGATCAAATATTTACAAGTGAAGTTATTCGTCTTACTAATGAAACTTTTAATTCATATAAGAATTTTGCATATAGAGATGCATTAAAATATGCCCTATTTGAATTTCAACTTAGAAGGGATCAATATCGTTTATTATGTGATTCTAATGATTTATTCTTAAACACCAATATATTAAAATTATTTATAGGTAAGTTAAATTTGTTAAGAGAAACATTATTTCAAGTGTAAATGGAACTGATAATATTGCTATATCTGTAATCATTATTACTGAGATTCATCAAACATAATCTTTTTTTAATACATATAAGTGATATTAATGGTTAAAAAATAATTTAAAGTATGAAATATGTTGATTTAATATTCAAATAATAATCAAGTACAATCTTAATATGATTTAGAAGCTCCTGTTCTAATCCTAACTACAATTATACTTTGTTTTTAGATTATCTCCAGGAGTATAATAATTTGGGAATGAAATTTATATTAATGCTTCTAAGAATAAGTTAAATACTTAAATTTGATTCTTGGAAGATGATCTCATTTTCAACATTTTTATGAATTGTTTTTGTTAATGATAATTTAATTAATTGGGATCTTTACATTCAATTAATGGAAAAAAATGGTCGAATAAATAAATATATATAGTGATGGTGAATCAAAGTGAATTATTCATTAAACTAATAGTTTATTGAGAATCGATGAAGAAACAATATTATTAACTACACTTGGATTGAATGAAATGAAAGGTTTCTCTTTATATAATTTCCAATAATAACTTTATTCTTTTTGTTTATTAATTTTAGAAACACAAATAAAGATTTTAGCACCAATAGCTCCACATACATGTGAATATATTTGGAGAGATATTTTAGGAAATGAAAGTTTTATTGTAAATGTTAAGTGGCCAGATTTTAACGATAATTCAATTAAAGATTTTAAATTCTCTTTAAGCCATAGCAAAATGTTGAATTTATTAATTAAATCTATTGAAGATTTTCGAAAATCAATGGATAAGTGGGTTAGTAATAAAAAAGGCGGAGCCACATCAACAGGAGGTGGTAAACCAAAGGCAACTTCTGCAACAATTTATGTTTCAAATGAGTATCAAGATTGGCAAATAGAAGGCTTGGATCAAGTTCAAAAGATGATTGATGAAGAAGGAAGTCTTCCAAAAGATTATATTTCAAGGTTAAGAAAAACTCCTGTGATAGAAAAGATGGATAAGAATATGCTTAAGAATGTACTTTCATTTATTTCATTGAAAGCCAGCGAATATAAAGAAAATGATTCAGCTTTTAGTAAAACTCTCCCATTTAATGAATTTGAACTTTTTTCAACTCAATCACATTTCATTTCAAAATCATTAGGTTTACAGCAAATACAAGTAAAACATACTAAACAAGATTGCTCAGAAATAACAGCTGATAAATTATCTCAAGTTATCCCATCAAGGCCAATGATTGTCTTTGTTTAAAATTAAATCAATTGAAGATAAATATTTGCTCCTTTAAAAGATGAAACATCTCTCATAGGATCATCATGTACATAGAACTTGTATTTATTTAATCGATCAATATCTCCTTTCAGCTTACTGTTTAAGAATAGTTTAGTTAGATTAACTTGGATTCTTTGAGGAAGTCCAATAAATAGTGATGACCTTCCAGTTAAAAAGATATTTTCCATTAAAAGAGTTCTTGTATCTAATGGGCATTTGTTAATTACTTTAAGAATAGCCTCACATATAGATGGAGATTCAATTCCAATTTTGTATGGTTTGAAGAATACATCTTCAGTTACTTGAAATCTTTCCTCTTCTAAAAAAATAGCTTTATTATTATTTAAATTTGAGTTGACTTGTATAAGTTCCAAATAAGAAGTTGTACATGAAATAATTTCTCTAGTATTCTTTTCATTTGTAGAGACAAAACAATTCTCACTTAATATATTTTTGACTATTAGATCATCTTTTGTTTCTTCAATACATTTTGTATGTTTTTTTCCAGAAAACTTTAATCCTCTTCTAGATAATAGGATTTTCATATAATCTTCCAAACTTCTTCCACCAATTGGAATACTTAATGAGTAATTATCATCAGAAACACCCTCAATTACTGGAGTAATATTAGTCCAAAATGCTCCAACATCAACAACTATTCCAGTTTCTTTACCATATGAATATAAAGTTAGTAAGTATCCTGGAACAAAAATTACCTGTTCAAAATCATAATTTGTTTTAAGCCATTCACTAATTTTTTCTTTGATCAAAATTCCTCCTGAAGAAGGTAGTATCACCATTAATACCTGCTTTTCAGATTCAAGTTCAGATTCAGTTTCAGTTGATAACTTGCTCTTTAACTTTTCAACTTTGTTTTTGATCCCCAATTCAAACAATACCTGATCCCAAATTAATTCACAAAGAATCCAGTCGCTCATTACCAAATTCCTATGTAAAGGATAGATTAAATTCCCATTTACTGATTCTAAATGATCAATTGCTTCATTTCCAACTAAGAATATTTTTTTTAATTCATCTTTTGAGATATTATTGCTCTTTAAATTGTGAGTACTGGTATTGTTATTTGTTTCTTTATTTATACTATCAAGTTCCGAAATTTGATGTTCATTATTTCCTTTCTCAAAATCCTTTATACAGCAAACTGATGGGATTTCAACAATTGGCAATAAACTTTCACTATTCCCTCCCTTACATAGTGTTCTTCCTGGCTCAAAAATTATTGTTTTCATTGAATATTTGTGCTTGCATTTAATCAAATATATTTATCAATTTAGAAATATTTGCCTAATAGGATTATATATTTATACTTTTTTTTCTTATTTGTTTACGAAAAAATGTTAATTTTCTAATAATAAAAAAATTATTACACGTAATTTTTTTTTTTTTCAATACCGGTATTACATGTAAACACGTAATATTTCTTGTGGAAAAATATTTTTTTAAAAATTATTACCGGCAATTATAAAAAAAATAAGAATATGCTTGAATATTTACAATTATTTATTATTAAAAGATGGAATTTAACAATAAATTGCTGTTTAAGCCATTAATAATAAGAAACATATTAAGGGAAATCAAATTAGCTAATTACAATTCAATATATTTACCAATTTCTTCGTTAATTAAATATAGATTTATATTAAACAAAACAAATACTTTTAATAATAATTCTTTTTATAATATAAATAAAAATTCTTTCAAAAATTTAAGCTGCAATTCAACTAAAAGTTTGAAATTTGGCCCATATAATCATTGCATTTTGAACCAATATATTAAATATAATATGAGTTATTTAAGCAGTAAAAATATGAGCATCAATAAATTAAATAAAAAGTGGAAGATTTTCAACCAATTTAAAAAGATGAAAGATTTATGGAATAAATATGGTTATACCAGTATTTTCACATATTTTACTATATATTTAGTAACATTCAGTTCATTCTGGATTTTAGCAATTAATAATGTTATGAATGCATCAAAGATAATAAAAATGATCTCATTGTTAAAGTTAGATAATCACATTAATACTTCTAAAATTGAACAAAAAATGGAAACTCCATTTGGCAAACTATTTCTTGCTTGGATTTCAACAAAAATTGTTGAACCATTCAGATTATTTTCTACTATTGCTCTCACTCCTTATATTTATAAAATATTAAAAAGATGACTTTTGTTTTTTTTTTTTATAAATTTAAATATATTTTCACTTAATTAATTCATCAGGGGTTGATGGGAAAAAAGGCAAATTCTCATGATCATTAATTCCTTCTTTTTTCATTATTTCTTTAGGCTTTCTTAATCCTGTTTGATTTGAAAATAATTCATTATTATTTGGATTATCGTTACAATTGCTTTTTATATGATTTTTTTCTTCAGTATCAACATTTGAATTCATTTCTTTATGACTTGAAGATTCCCTTGGAATTGAACTTCTAGGCCTTTCTGGAATAAATTTAGAATGCTCTCTTCTTGACTGAACAAGCTGGCTATTTCTGGTAACAGCAGGGAAAGTACCTTCAGCATATAATCTAAATGTGTCTTTTAATCCCTTACCATGTAACTTACAATTAGACTCAGTTTCCTTTCTACAACATTTGTGTTCAGAATCCAATGTTGCAGCAGGTAACATTGATGACAAATAGCTAATATCAATTTCTTTTCCATCAATTCTTATTTTTTTCTCACATAGTTCTTCCAATACACTTTTAATTGTCAGAATTAATTTTAATATATCATTGCAATCTTTCTTACACAATTCAAATAACTTTGATTGACCAAGAGAAGTTTTATTTAATTCATGTAATTCCTCAATAGTTTTTAAATTAAAATATAGACAAAATTCACTACAAGCTATAATTGATTCTTGTACTAAATCAGATGTTTTTCTTGCTGAAGTATTTAAATAATGCAATGCCATCTGTAATGTATGTAATGGTAATCCTCCCATATAAGTATCTTCATAAGATTTACGATTATTTTTAATCTGATTCAATATGTATTTGAGCCCTGTTCTTAATATATTCCATTGAATGAATATTTCATTAATCTCAATATCTTTTAATTTGTTTAATTTAAATACAAGTTCTAAATGAACTTTACTTATTGAATCAGTTATTAATGAAAATCTATTCCAAATACTTGTTTTATTTTCATTCATTAATACTACAGACTTGATAATATTAGAAATAGTAGTGTAATCCATATTACTATTAAGTAGTAAGTTAATCTTTTCTAAATCGCAGTTTGTAATATTATTGATTAATTCAATGAGACTTTCAGAATTAATGATTGCTTTACATGATTCTTTAATGATTTCACAATGATTTGATAATATATCTATTGAATTTAATATCAAATAATATTGGATTTCTGTATTAATCTTTTCCTCTAGTGAATTAATTTCAGAAAAAGGTTTTATTATTGTTTCAACTTGACTTAATGATATTATTTCTTGAATAGACTTTAATTTTTCCATTACTAACATATTTGGCAATACCAACTTTAATTTCTCCAAATCTTGTATTAGATCTTTTTTTGGAAGATTCATTAATCTGATGATTTGTGGATTTCCAATATTAGTGTAACATAATGTCATACTTTTTAATAATTCTTCTTTTAAATTCATTGGAATTTTGCTTTCTTGAATATATTTGTTTATTTTGAAGTGATCAAATGAACTTAGTACTAGACCTCTACATTCCTTAAATAATAAATATAGTATAGAGCCAAAAATCTTTTCAATGAACACATTAAATATGATATCCTTAATAAAAACAAGAAAACTTTTAAATAAATGTATGGTTTTTGTAACAAAAGATAACAATAATTTCTTTTCTTGGTTTGATTGTATATCTGTGGCATCAAAAATTTCTTGAATTCCATTTTTACTTGTTATTTTTGTCCTTATTACATCATTCAAGTACTTAATTCTGTTCTTATTTAAATCTCTGGATGACGATTGTTTTTTTTGGCATGAATATTTTTTAATACTTTTACATTTATTTTCACAATTTGAAGAATTTGAATTGGTCTTAGTAGTTTTTAGTAATAGGCTTGTCTTTTTGTTTTTTTCTTTAGATAATAAAGAATTTTCTTTAATTTTTGGTAAACTATTTTCATTTGTTTGAACTTCCTCTGAATATAACTCTTTGTCTTGGTTTTGTAGGATTATTTTTTCAAAGTTATTTTCCGAATTTAGTTTGGATTTTATATTATTAATTAACTCAAATAATAACATTAGAAAATGCTTATGATTGGTTATTAGTTTCAATGATAAAAATAATAATATAAAGGTAACTTGACCTTGTTCTTTATATGCACCAAATTTCTGAATATTATTTAATAGTATAGGAATAATCAAACCTGAGATAAAAGTAAAAAATGTATACATTTTTGAATGAGAGGTTATATTGATGTTTGCGTTTATTCTTTTATTTTCACTATATAGTACAAAAGTAACACTTAAAGTACTAATAGCAAAAACGAGAATTCTGGATATAATTTGTATTTTTTGATTTCCATTTATTAGATAATTACAAATATTTTTGGAAATCTGCCCATTATATTTTAATTGGTTAAAAAAAGTAAATTTTTTAGTAATTTCATTTTTTAATTGTGGTTGTGACCTTTTTTTAATTTCATTAATAATTTCCACCCCTTTAAACACACTTTCAAATTTATGTCTTTTCCACCATTCATTTGAAATAAATGTAAATTCTTTTATGTTATAATATCCGAATTCGTTATTTGGATTATTATCTGAGTTTAAGAAAGCTCTTGAACAAAAACCATAAATATAATTATAATATTTCTCAATAAGGTTACTGGCAAATATTTCAATATTTGATAAATAAAATACTGTTAATAAGCTTGAAATAGTACTACTTACAATCTTTAAATTGCTAAGCCTATAATCTTCAACAATATTTTTCATAATAATGTTTTCCCAAATGATTACATTTATTACCAAAAATGATAATGTTGTAAAATAAAATGTATAGTTTGAAGAATTGATAATGAAAAATTGTATGTTTTGAATTAGGTCCAAAATCTTTCCGAAAATAATTTGAATTCTTTGGCTAATTATTTCATGTGTAAACATTATTATTTGGTATTTTCTGTAAAGTTTTTTATATTCAAATTTAATATTTGAAAGTGACAAATTAATAATATATTTAGCCCATATAAACATTAATTTTAGTTTATTATTAATAAATAATTGAATATTACTAAAGCTTGAACATATATTATTCAAAAATTTACATGATTTTTCATTAATAATTTGAATTATATTCCCATTAAAGTTGAATAAATTATAATTTTGAAATTTGTTCAAACTTGCAATATATTTATTTACTAATATACTAATTTTTTCTTTTAAATTTGTTGAATAAGCAAGAATTACTTGCTTATTTAAAATTTTGAGCGAAAAAAACAAAGAGATGATTACCAATAATAATATAAATATATATCTTTTCTTATTGATTATTTTTTTATTTGTGGAATTGGACATTTCTTTACTTATTTCAATTTGATCAACACATTTTTGAAGATTAACTTTCGGATCTGGCTTTTTTTGTGTTGTTTTAAATGTATTTTTAGTCTTAAAAAACATATTTAATTAAAAAATTCATATTTAAAATGGGTATTATTTTATTAGGTTAGGGATTTTTTTTTTCCATTTTTATTAATCATTTTTGAAGTAGATTTTATTTCATTTATTTTACGTTCGGGATTAAACTCAGCTGCTGTCAAGAAGTTAAAAAAAATACTGAGTAATATTTATAGAAGAATTGAATTTGAATATAAAAAATAATATTATATATCTTTCCAGATGATGTCTATATGCTAACATTTATTTTTAGATATTCCAGTAATATTAGATTTATTATTTCTTATCTTTCAAAATTCTCAATTTAACTCTAAATAAACCATCTTTAAAAATAACTTTTATTTCTTCCATTGAATTTTTATTAAATGCATTTTCGAAAATTTCTAAAAATAATTAAATTGTACCGTAATAGTCAACACATCAGGCGCCAAAATTATGTGGACAAAAGTGCATGTACGAATGCATGCAACATTTTTTATTGTGATAAGTGGGAAATTAAAACAAAAAAAAAGTAAAATAAGAAAGGACAAATAAATTGAAAAACAAAGTTTAAAAAATGAGGCTCGGTAGATTAATGAACGTGCTTCATAAAGCTAATTTAAGTAATACAGAGAATAAGGAAGAAAACCCAGAGTATACAATGGAAGAAAAGTTAACAAAAAAAGTAGAATCAGGAAACAAGCCGACACAAGCAGAAAAAATAATAGCACATTTTAAAGGTTTTGATAAAAAAGGAAAGAATAGAGATAAAGGAAAGAAGAGTAATGATGACGGAAAAAAGAAAAGAGTTCCAACAGTGGAAAATCAAATAACATCTTTAAAAATAATATCAAGAGCAGCAGCAAAAGTTCGTGAAATGGAAACTAGAAGACAGCCTTTTATGGACTATTCAGTGGATTATCATCCTCACATTACAAATAAAAATGTAGATAAATTATTATATTTAGAAACAAATACATTAGCAGTTAAAAAAAGTTTAGTAAGGAGCAAAATTCAACATGAAAGAGAGACTTTGCAAAAAATGAGAGGTGTTTGTATATATATTAAGGCTAAATTGCCAACTGCAATTGAAAAATTTAGGGGTAAAAATAAATTAAAATCTGAATTGAAGAACGAAAAAAGTTTAAATAGAGGAAAAGAAGAGAATGAAGAAAATAATGAATCTGAACTATCTAATGAGACAAAATATGTGGATGATTTAGGTAGAGGTGAGAGAAAAATTGAAATAGATGTAACGACTATTCACAGTGTTTTGGGATTATCTGGCCTTGAATTATTAGAAGATATTGATACAACTGAAGTAACAAAAATAAGGCATAGATTATTACATGTAAAAGAGTCAATTTTGTCAAAAGTATTTGAAGCAAGTAACGATTATGTAATAAAAGGATTAATTAATTTTGACCCAAATAGACTGATAGGATTGGTCCCAATGCTTTTATCTGTGGTTAAATATAAATTTAATAATCCAAATTTTTGGGCATCAGTAGTACATGAATTATGGTTTTTTATTATCATTTCACAGCACAATAATTTGAAAGTTGGTGATCATTCAACTGAAAAGGCTGTTCAAAGTTTAAATACCACAAATGGGTTAAAAAGCAATTTACAAAGAAACCAAATTTTTCCTGATTATTATATTGCTATAAATTATTTGCTATCAGGAATGGTTGATACCAAAATTCCAGGTGTACTTAGATTATTGGTTAGGCTAAATATGATGTATTATTATGAATGCAGAATCAATACATTAATATTGTTTTGTAACAATCCAATGGAATTATGGGTTGATAGCATAAAAATCTCATCATTACTTAACAATATTGACTCAATAAGGACTTTATTAACTTCATTATCAGAATCAAAAAATTTGGATATTCAACAACTTGCTATAAGAGTCTTTTCAAGCAATTTAACTTCAATTATATTTTTTCATTTAATTAACTCTCCAATTAATTTGGTACATGATAGAGATAATCTTAAATTGATTACGTGCTATATCGAATTTTTGAACGAATGCTTGTTAATTGGGCATTCAAAAGAATTATTAAGTTACATTTCAACAGAAGAATTTGTGAACAAATATACTGTTTACTCAACTTTTGGCCAGGGATATAGATTTTATTCTGAATTGGATGCAGACAATATTTATTTGGATAAAAACGGTGAAAATATTATCAGAAACAAGCAAGATCCAAAGGAAGAGTATTCAATTTTTGGGTATAGTAGAAATAAAAATAATATGAATTTAAGGTATAATAATGAAAAATACAATGTTTGGGATATATTTTCAATAGTTTGTGATCCAAAATATAAAGAGTCAATATTATATCCGGTTGTGTTATTTTTGGCTGATGCAATGTATTTTTCTTTTGTATACGAGATAGATTGGGATTATGATAGTTTAAAAAATTTATTATTCTCAGTTATTCAGCTAAAAAAACATTTTAAAAAGGCTTTAATAGTAAGTTTATTATCAAGTTTTTTTTTCATATATTAATTACTTAAAGGAAATTGGTACTGAAGGATCTTTTTCACAGGTATTATTAGAGGACACAAAAATAGTAAAAAAGTATTTGAGATTATTATATAATGGGGAGGAAATTGATTTAAAACGTTTACAAGAATGGATTACAGATCGCAGGATAAAGGTAAGCGTTAATGTTAAGATTAATAATTAATGACTAATTTTGATTATAGGAAAGTACAATTTCAAGAAAATTGGAAGAAAGTGCAAAAGTACCATGCTTTCACCCAAGTTGTAATAATTTTACAGTTGGATCAAAAGTTAGGACGGCCAAATTAAATAAAGTAAAAGCCAAATCAGAGAAAAAAGTGGAACTTGATTTTAGATATTGTAGAGGCTGTTTTGTTGTTAGTTATTGTTCAGATAAATGCCAAAAATCTCATTGGAAATTATCGCATTCATCAATGTGTGGATTAATGGCAGTACCACCAGCATCTTTAATATTTAATTCAACAGTCAATTGGCCAATAAGATTACATTTACATAGCACAAAAGACAAAATTTTGGAGTCAGAGTCTATTACTTATTTGCAAGATAAATACTATAATAATGTATATAATAACTTATCGTTTAAAGTATTTTTTGACTCATGTAATTTGTCGATACCATTTCCATTATCAGTTGAAGGTTCAAGTAGTACCCCATATCATTGTGGTTTAAGGGAATGCTTTAGAGATGATTGTTTAAAATTCCCACCCAGTGAAAATGGATTAAGAAGAGTAAATGTTTTTGAACATAAAAATTTGTTAATCTATAAAGAACTAGATAACAATCAAAAATTATTATTGCAAATTGGCGATCCAAGAGCTTGGAATTCATATATAAAACTAAATAATAAAGAAAAGGTTAAATCCAATAGAAAGAAGAAGAAAATATGTTTAACAAGAAGTTTTGCTAATATGTACAATATTCAAATGATTAAACAGAAGTGAGTAATGATGAAATAATTTCACAAACTAATTCTCTGGATTCACGGTTATTTGAATTAATTATAAAATTATTTGATGAGTAAATGATAATTTTACAATTAATTGATTGTATTGAAATGGAAGTAACTTTTTCTTCTTGGAAAAAATCATTATAATTAACGAAAATTTCATCTAATCTTCTATCTTTAAATTCTTTAATTAAAGTTTTAATGGTAATATTTCCAAAAAGGATTTGTTGATCATTATTAAGTTCGTATTCAAGATAATCAAAAAAATCATCAAAAAGATGATCAAAGTCATCAACCATAAGAATACAATCAGCTAGATTATTATTATCAGTGTTTTCAATTTCAGTATCATTTCCATGATTAATTTCTGAGATATCAATATTTGAATCATTTGAGTTATTACTATTTTTTTTCTCAATTAATAATTGCCCTTCAACGTAATTAAAAACAGCTTCAGTCTTACCAACAAATAAATTTGGATTAATTTGCTTTAATTCTGTATTATCTGCTATTTCAGAAGATAAAGTTACAGGAATCCAATTACCAGTAATATCAAATATCTGATTATGTTTATTATATATTATTTTGTTTGTAATTGGGATCAATTTAATATAACTTTGAAAAGTAATAAAATTCTCATCTTTTGAAAGTTGATTATTATATAATATAAAATCACTTTTGTTGTTATGTGGCATTATAAAGTTAAATTTTTCTTTATTTTGATTGAAGTATGGAATAATATTTTCAATCAAATGATAAATATTTGGTTCAATATATATTGGAGAATGTATAATATTCATAATGGGTTTCTCTTCAAAATTATGAACAAATTCTTCAAAATCAACAAGGCTGTCTATAATTATAAGTGCATTATTTGGATTATTATTTAGTGTTTTAAAAAGATCATAACTTGGTCCAAATTTCATATTACTGTTTGTTGCAAAAAATATTGCAGGTTCTCTATAAACTGTTGATAATTCATCAATAGTATGAAATGTATAAAGTCGATTAAATTTTTTAAGAAATGAAAATAGAAAGGGAGGATTGGGATTTGGTAACATGACTTTTCTTGTTCTTGATTGTGAAGTCCATTCTGAAGAAATATCAGCATTTAATAATATAGTAGAGATACCACCACCAATAATATACATTGGTACTTGAACAGATGTGATTAATTCGGAAATTTTTTGGCCAATAAATTCAACAACTTCTAAACAAAGTAATCCAAAACAATCAATAGGAATTAATATAGATCCATTCTTATTTAAAGTATCAGATATATGTTGAATGATATTATCTAGCTGAGTTTGGTAACTAATTGAATTATAAATGGATTTCTGGATATCACTTTCATTTTTTGATTCTTTATCAATATCTTTTATTGCAACACCTGGCAATATTGAAGATTTTATTTCATCCTTTTTATCTTCATTAATATTGTAACATTTATTTGTTTTCTCAGTAACACAAAAGTTACCATAAAAAACAAGATTATCAGAATTTAATAAATCACCAAGATAAAGTGGAGCAGGATATCTATCAAATTCTAAAGAAACAGGTCCAATAATTGTAAGATTTTCAATAGTTTTTTTAACATCAAAATCTATATTATTAGTGGAGATATGAAATCCAACACCACCAAGACAAAATCCACTATCAAATGCATGAATATTAAATTTCGAAAAATTTTTATATTTATGAGTAATTTCACCAATATGAATTAATTTTATTTCAAATTTACTATTTTCATTTGAAATAAAATTACTATTAATATCTTTTGATATTGAACTTTTTGAATTAATGAATTTATTTTCAATTAAAGATCTTGGTAAATAAGACATCTCTTCACCTGTAACTTTTCCAAAAACAGGTGGATGACTAGTATTTGAATTGGAAGTATTACAACCAATGGTAGTTGGAATATTTTGAAGAATATTACCATCAAAAATATGGCTAGCAGCATTAATTGCAGCACCAAGACCAGTAGTACTACCTCTTGAATTAATCAATTCACTATTAGTATTTTTTGAATCAATTATACTATTAAAGTTGTTTGAATCGTTATTATTTTCATTATCATTGAAACTAAATTGATTATAATAATATTCAGGCCCATTTTCTGGAAGATTTGAAAATATTTTATGTCTAATTTTTAAAGAATCACCATTTTCAATATCAATACTATTATTAATAAGATCTGATGAAATAATATTATATAAATCTGGAGTTTTTAACCAAATAAATGGATCAATAATATTATTAAATGGATTATTACTGTAATATTCAATTAATTGTTGTAAAGATAATATTGTAGATTGATAAACTGGTGGTGTAACTAATAATTTAGAATTTGTAATATCAAATTTACTAGGATATTTATCCAACCATTGATAAATATTTAAATAATTGTTTTTATTATTTTCATCATCAGAATGACTATCATCACTACAATGATCAATATCGTATTGGTTATTATTGTTATCATAATCATAATTACAATAACTATCATTATTATCACAATCATCATAACCATTATATTCATTTGTACTGTTAATATTATCATCATTGTAACTCAAATTTGAAGATTTTAAATAATTACAATAGTGATTATAATGTAATAAAAAAGGAATACCAATAAGACCATGTGGATTTGAAATCAAAATTAAATCAATTTCAATTTTCTCATTTTCTTTGGTATTAAATTCATTAAATAAAAATGTGGCAGGAAAAAGTGTATCTTCATGTAATTGATCAATATTTAATTCTTTAAATAATTCTTGATTATGATTAAAGTTTAAATCATTTTTACATACTAAAGGACAATCACATAGAATATTAAGATCATAAAATTTAATGAAAGCAAAATTTTGGTATGACTTAAATTTTATATTTTCATTATTATTATCTGAATATTTATATTTATCATCAATTTTTATTGGAGAGAAGAAAACTTCCATAGTTTGTGTATATTAAATGGTTATAATGATTCATAAATTTAATATTGACATAGAATGAATTATAGTTTAATTTCAAGAAAATTAATAAAATTAATAATAACAAAATATGTGGGAAATTATATAATTTTTATTTATATAATTATATTTAAAAAAAAAAAAAAAA